GCAGTGTTGTCAAGTTTATATTTGGCCATCAGTTGTTTGATGGCTGGAAGATCCGCATCCTCGACATTGGACAGGATTAGATGCTGATTACCGGTAAGACGGAATTCTCCCTTGCCGAGCTCTGCAAGCTCTCGCAAGCCGGTTCTCATTTGGAAGTCCGCGGTATCTTCCACACGGCCGTTTTCAATGAAGAATGTGAAGTGGTTAAGCCCCTTCTCGTCTTTCTGCCAGCCGAAAGTATCGACGTTGGAATCAAATTTGAACGGACGAGGTGGTGCGAAACGAAGCCCGTTGGGAAGGATCTCCTCGACCTTGTCCTTGAAGACGTCGACCCCCATATCGTCAATTGTGTACTTTAGACGAGCATGCTTACGGTTCTTTCGATCGCCATGGTCTCGTTGCACCAACATAATCTTCTCACAGACGATGTGTGCCTGATTGGCCGGAACGTAGCCCAACATGCTGCCTGTACGAGGATATGTCTTCTTGTTGTTATGTGTCATACCCATTCCACCACCAGCGAGGATATTAAACCCTTCGAGATGTCCGTCAGCTCCCTTGATAGCGATCAGACCGATATCATGAGCGTAAACATCTGTATCGTTGTGAGGAGGAATAGCGATGGTGATTTTGAACTTGCGAGGAAGATATGTTGGGCCATAGAGCGGTTCATGATCAACGATCGCGTCGCCAGCAACTTGGATCTTCTTGTCATTTTCGTCCTTTAGCCAGATTTCGTGATATGCGGTGGTGGCAGGTAAAAGATGGTCGCTGATCTTTTTCGAAACCTGGTGGACCTCACGATGGTAAGTCGAAAGCTCTGGGAGACTGCTGCACATGACGTTTCGGTTGACATCACCACATGCAGCGATAGTGGTCATCAAAGCCTTGTTGATCGCCTGCATGGCTGGCCGAAGCTTGCCTTTGACGACACCGTGGAATTGAAATGTTTGTCGTGTCGTGAGCTTCATAGTCTCGTTACCATATGCGCTGCTAATTGCATCCATTTGCAGCCATTGTTGCGGAGTGGCGACGCCACCTGGTAAACGGCAACGAATCATAAAACTGTATGCGGGCTCGAGGCCCTGAGCCTTGCGCTCGTCTCTGACATCGCGATCATCTTGCATATAAGTACCGTGAAACTTCGTGAGTTGCTGATCAGAGGCGGAAATTGCACCAGTCGAGGTATCCCGGAGCCCTTCAGCGATAGTTCCACGGAGATAATTCGATTGGATTTTAATATCTTCGTTCGTCAATGGCGGTGGTTCCTCTGGCAAGCCTTCAACCTTATCAACACCGAGAGCCTGCCATAATCTGGGCTCCCATTCTTGGTAGCCTGTCTGGTAACCATCTGGATCTTGATCGTCACCCAATCCAATATCTGCAAGTTTCTTTGCGCCGAGAAATGAGAGACGACTATCCAAGTCCTTACCAGGCTTGTTATAGTAGATCTTGTCTTCCTTTCGCGGCCAATAGTGGCTATCACCAAGGCCAAATACGGAGTAATGGACAGAACTAAGGTCAAGATCTGCAGAATTCTTAACGGTTTCCCAGAAATTGCGCCCGTTTTGAGGGAGCTCTCCCTGGCCAGCCGTGCTGGAGATAAAAACGATATTCTCCTCTGTCGGCAGATCTTCAATTGGGTAATCATCCATGGCCATAACAGCGGTCTTCAAACCTCGGGCTTTACCCCGATTGCCCAATCTCTTTGCCAAATTCTCTGCGTTTCCATTGTCCGATGCGAACAAGATGGTGAGAGGAGCCCCAAACAGGCCTTCTAATAGTTTATCATATGCATCTTTTGCAGCACGCTTCTGCAAAGCACGTAACTCGGCGCCGTATGACTCCGACAAAGCCGCAGAGAACCTAGGATTGCGCTTCATGATCTGGGTAAGCTGGTTATCTCTCCGCAAAAATTCCTCTAATTCTCTCTTGATACGCTCAGAATCCAATGCAAAATTCGGTTCTCCTTTCTCAGCGTTGTTCGGATTCCATCTATATAATGGCCAGTATCCCAAGTCGACAGCTTTCTTGGTCTCTTGGAGCACGGTCAAAGGAGAGTCATCCTCTTTGTTGTACGGAAGATAAGCAACAACTACGGATGGACCCTTGAATTGGTCTGCCTCCGTGATCGCTTGCAATACCTGGGTATATGAGCTGTAGACGGCAACAGAGGCGACATAGGCATTGCCATAATTCATGGCGTATAAACCAATGTCCTTTTTTCTTCTAGTCGGATCAGCCGCAACACGTTCTGAATAAGGCTGGGAGTCGATAATGAGCATATTCACATTTGCACCGGAAGCAAGAACGTGATGCACACCGGAGTTGCCAAGGTCATACGCCCAAGCATCGGACCCGATGAGCCATTGAGACTCTGCGAAGAAGAACTGCTTCGAAGCGAGGAGCTTCCTGGACAGGCTAGAGCCGTCAACTAACAAACGCGTGATTACATCAGGGGCAATCTGGTTAATTTTCTTGGGCTCGGCGGCATTTAATGCCCATTTAGACAACCAGTTCCTCGGAATATCTGTAGCGAACTCGTTGGACTTGACAGCCTCCTGGACCTCGCCGACAAATCGTTCCCTTCGTTCCATCCGCGCAATCAGCGAACCAAAGCCATATTCCGGGCTGGTGGAAACCGTCGCCGAAATTCCAGCGTGCTGGGAGCCAAGTTGGTTTGCAACATGCAAACGGCCATCGAAGAGTTGGTTGAGGATCTTCACATATGCATTCTCGTTTGCAGGTTGCTCCAATTGCAACTTGCTCGCTACCTCGGATGGTTCTTTCTGCGTGCCGACATCAAGATTCTGAATTGGAGAAGAAGCGGTTAAATTCTGGAGGATGCCACGCAGAGCCTGTCGTACGGTTGAAGGCTCAACATATCCCAGTCTGTAGCCGACAGGGAGAGGACTATTTCCGCCGCCCTGCCGGGCTAAACTGGATAAAAGATCTAAAAATGACGGGCCCCATTTCGTGGTCTTGCGGACTTGTTCCAGCACGGCTATCCGCTCTACCGATGTTGGGATTGTTCGTGATATTTGACTGCCCACCCAAGGACGGTATAAGCGAGCCGTAATGATGCCGATACCCGGGAAATCTCCCTTGCTACTAGGTTCGCTGAGAATGTCGACGAAAATGCGAGTGGATCCGAAGATAAAAAGCGCATTTTTCGCATTTTCGGGACCAACGTACTCGATGGCATGATAAGTTCTCCCCGTTCGAGCTGCTAGGGAGTCCCAGATATGGCCTGCGATTTGGAAAATATCCGATGCATCCACCGGTCTCCGAGTTGGAGCCTCGACTGTTGTTGCGGCGGAGCTGGGAACGGCACTCCCGGAAATGCTATCCCCCTGTGAAGAAGCAATAGATGAGGCCTCTGTGCTTGAAAGATCCTTGGATAAAGCTGGAAGTTCTGAAGTTGCCACCGCTTGGCTTTGCGCAGCGGCCAAGCCTTGCTCTTCAACTGTCGCGATCCGCCCAGAATTTGCATAAATGGTTTGAGAGGTTCCATTGGATTGATGGAGAGCCCTTGCGCTGTTCAAATCAAGTATTTCGGTAACAAGTTCCGGGTCTTCTTCCGCAATTGGAACGTCACCACTAGCATTGCTGCTGTCGAAGAAATGAATGACACCCTTTCCAGACTTAATTGCCAAAGCATGGGCTGTCAAGGCAATATCTTGTGCTTCTTGGGGAGTCTCAGAGTGAAGAAAAGAAAAGCCACATTGCCTAATGGAACTGATAACAGAGAAGTCCGGGAAGGCAGCCGGCTCCAGAGAAACGTGGAGGACGATGGGATACTGTGCAAGTCGATAAAGATGCGGGATTGAGGAAAGCAGGATAGATGAAGAAGTGGTCACAGATACATATTTCCCATTTTGCAATGGATGAAACGCCGAAAGCAGAGGGTCTTCATTTTGACGTACTGCGCGAACCTGATAGGATTTGGTCAGCACACTTCACTAGCGCCAGAGCTGCCCGTGACAATTGGGCATGATAAATCGTGAGAGATGGAGACACCAACTTCTGGCACTTCATGTGACACTATTCCCTGCACATTATTTGCAGAGAGCTGCTTCAATTGCTGAGAGAACTCCGAATCTCCCTGGAGTGATGGCTGCACCGATAGCACCAGGTCGCTGGAGAGATATGCAACCCTAGCAGCTAAACAAAGCACATATTAATTAGAAAAGTGACCAGCTTCATACCAGGACAATCTCATGAATGGTAAAAATTTTCTCACCTGCTTCAGCCGCTGTGTTGACACCCATCTCAGAGAAATTTGCAGGGGCGGACACCAGGTCTATACAATTCGCGAGGCACGGAGGAGTGATATTACGCGCGAATGCCACCACATCCAGCGAACGCGAAGAAGAAAATTCAAAAGACCAAGGGAAACAAATGTCTAGCTTTGCTAATGACTTGATAAAAGAAAAAAAAAAAAAAAAAAATCACGAACTGAGAAATAAATTCCCATTCCCCTTTTCACAAGTCCGCTGCTGGCAGCTCATACATGCCGACCGAACAGCGGGGCGCTGATTGGCCAGAGATCACGACATCGATGCAAATAAAGGGTGCTATCACAGCAAACGGTGCAAACAGTGCAAACAGTCGACCGCCTCGGGTTAACTATCTCCCGAGGCAGCGACCAGCGGGCTCTCCAGCATTTTGATGCTATGATTAAGGAGCTCAGGACTACGCTATTTTGTGAGCAATTTTGACCATGGGAATCTATATTCTACTGGGCAATGTATACAGATACTATGGTGGAAAGGCCATCGAATGTACTGTTATACATCCTTCCCATGAAGCCACCATGCGCTGATGCCTCGGGAAAAATCGTGGAGAGTTGCGCGAATTGCGTGATCAGCCAGGTAAATGCCGCCAAATCAGGGGAAAGGATTTGCGGCTCCAATCTGCGACAAGGGTAAACCCATGTGGGCGACTGCAAGGCGCAGAGTAACAACAGAGGGGTATTAGTAATTCATCTACTCCGTAGTTATCTAGATTGTAATCCGTAGAATACGTCTCAGAGCATTTCCCAAAGCACTCCACATCTTCCGAGACATCTCATTAAGGCGGGTTCAACCGAACCGCAGATTCAACAACATATTATTCAATCAACCCAGAAAACAGCCGTGGCCCATGTCACACTCCCCTAAGTAACGCACGGTATATGCCTCAACCCCGGACCAACGCCAGGTGTCACGCCAACGTCCATCATAACCACTTCGAATTCAACACAAGAACCCAGGAATAATATGTATCAATCTGATTGGGGGAAGGGGAAAAAAAAAAAAAAAAAGGAGCCACAACCGTTTATAGAACACTCCCGCTGAGCAGGGGCATTAAAGGCGCCGCCGGGCCGCCCTGTTTCATTCGAAATTGTCAGCTTTTTCTTTTCAGTTTATCGCACGAAACTAGATTTCGACGACCAGCGCTGCTGAAATTGAAAAACACTTAAAGTGGTATGCACCCAAAAAATCACATAAAATCACTCCACCGGTTGTTGCAGTCGTTTCACATAGGAGGGTAAAGCCACCATGTATGTACGCACGTACGCAGATATATGCAGAACGATCATGCCAAATGCCAATAGTACCAGACCAAAAGAGTTCATCCGGGATGTTGTGAAATCCGAAACATCCATCACATTCAATAACGTATCGCAGCTAATATATCAAAAGGCTACCAAGGGTTGCCTTCCGGTGCATTTTGTGATTTCGGTACTTGTGGGTTCCCCGGCGGCGGGAGCTTGTTGGCATCCTGGGCTGCTGCACCCTGGTGCAGGGCGATGTGTTGCAGCACGGACTGAGATGGAACTGGAGGGCCAGTCCCTGACCGTCGCCGCCGCTCGCGCTCGCTGAGCCCGCCATCCGAAGAATTGAAAAATCCACGGTTCCGATGGAATTTTCGGTTTAGACCAAACATCCAACCATCGTCATCGTCTCCATCGAGCCAGTACCTCCGACCAACGGAAATCATAGCACGGCCCAGCTTGCCTTTCCATCCTTGTCCATCTGGCAGTCGAGCAGAGAATGGATTCGGCTCCAGTTCGATATTACTCACAGTGGATGGGTTGCGACTATGAGCAGCTGAACCGTGGCGAGAAAGTGGAGATCTGGGGCTGAAAGCATGCTGTCGGAGGCATTGTCTCGCAAAAGCCATCATCACCAGGACGAAGTAGACGCGGATTGTCCACAGCGTGCAAATAACCCCAATGCTCTGAAGGCCCTCCGGTTGAAGGACACCATTCCCTAGGCTTGGCTTCCCATCGAGTCCATCGACGGCTCCGGCGGGGGCGGATGCAGGCTCCGTAGAAGCAAAGGTACCGTCTCCAGGTGCGACGTGAACGGACGAGACGTTGAATTTCGGATTGGTGAACCCGGCCGTATCGCCCATGGTCGAGCTGCCCGGACCAGACGGTGGCGCAGAATGGTGGTGCTGTGAGATAACAAGGAACCATGTCACCGCAAAGGCAGCTGTGTACGCGGCATTGATCAGACTGTCCAGGAGATAAAACCATGCCAGGGCCAGGCAGTAGAAAGGCGTCTGTTTCCGAATGTGCGGCGCCAAAAATGCGGTTAGAACGAGGGCAAGGATGGAGTATATGTACATCGATAGCTGGAAAGGAGAAAGGCGGAAACCGGTAAGAATGGCGAGGAGGCCGTACAGTCCGCTGACTTTGTTAAGGAGGAGGGAAAGGGTAATAAGCGACGCGCCCGTCTGTAGGCTCATAACATAGAGAAATGTCTGCGACATCCTGACGGTTAGTTTCCAAATAAAATTCCCATAGTTTTCCAAATGCTCAAGTCTTTGGATACAAGGCTGGATTAAGCTTGAAACATTATACCTGTGGCCGCGGAAAGCGGAGAAATCGAAACGAGCGGCCCATCTTGCGCTGTCATACAACAGCAAGGGGGATTAGACGTTGCACAAGATCGCAGATTCTCAAGCAATGCAATAATATTTTATTTTATTTTATTTTTATTTTTTTTCCTTTTTTTCCTGAATAACACCGTGCCAGGACTGGAGGTCAAAGAAAGAATGCTGCTGGTTTTTCCAGGCTGGGTGGAGATAAAACAGTCCATAATCCTGCAGAATAATAAAGTCCTGTTTAAAGTCTCCGTTCGATCTGCAAAGGCAATTGATTGGCTGCCGGCTTGGCATGTGGTTGGGCAGCGTGTCGGCGACAGAGTTGATCCGGTTCCGGAATATCAACCTGGCTTGCGGATTGGCTTCAGCACCCAAACAAAACGGCGCCGAACTCACGGACGTGGCGCGCGTGCCCTCTGGAGCAGATGCGCGATAGCCCCCGGACCAGTGCGCGGTGATCCCCGCGCACTCAAAGCTCAGCTCCCTTCAAGGTCATTTACGCTTGCCTTTTTGCGCGGACGAGGGATGGACCCGCGACGACGGTGCCACGACCTGGGAAGGGTGCCGGCCCCGTAGATGAGCCCGTGGCTTACTGGGACATCCGTGTGTGCCCTTGCTACGAACCTGAGCACGTAGTAGTGCGTGGTCTCTGTGGGCCGCGCGGTGGTGTAACCCGTTGAGATGAAAACTTACGCCCATCGGCAAAAGGTGAACATACCATCGTACACGGCGCAGTACGGAGGCCCTAAGCTTGAAATCTACCAAAACTTCTCCTCAATTCTATCGATGAAATGCGTCTTGATGGGTCTAGATCAAACCCCCATAAGGACACAGATGCCAGATTCATGCCATTCTGCCCGAGCAAGATTCGACTTGGGGAAGTGAATCGACCATTTCGTGGCGATATCAGTCAAACAATGCCAAAAATAAAAGGCCGTGAAGGAAAATGCTATGCAAAACAGGCGTGAAAGAAGACAAGAAAAGAAAGAGAAGAAATAAAATATAGCGAGCAGAAAATTGAGCCGAATGACACGTAACAAGCCCGTCTAGACGCCACCCAAGCTGGAACGAGGAGAAAAAAGGTAATAAGATTATACACAATATTAAGTGCGACCGTAGGATATGCTGGCGAGGTGGGTCGGAAGACGGTGGTCCTTAGCAGGCGCAGCCTTCGTTGCTGACGGGTTGGGTGGGGTTGATGTTCACATCGATCACTGCACGACACAAGGTGAGCTCGACGGTCTGATGCCATAGGATTCCCATGGAAACAAGGGACGTGGGTAACACGTACTCTGGTTGTCTCCTCTCCCTGCCTCACCCTCCATCCCTGGCAATGCCTGGGCTATTCTTCGAAACAGCTGCTTGACGTTATAGCCCACTTTTGCGCTAGTCTCGATAAACATCAAGCCATTCTTCTTGGCCTCTTCTTCGCCTTGCGCCGTCGTCACTTCCCGCTTGTCATTCAAATCTGTCTTGTTCCCGACCAAGACAATGATGACGTCGTTCCCCCGTTCCCCTCGCACATCATCAACCCATTTCCGCGTATTTTGAAAAGACTTGGCATTCGAGATGTCGTAAACAACAACGGCTACACTGGAGTCACGGATGTAAGAAGGGATGAGAGATCGGAATCGTTCTTGGCCAGCAGTATCCCAGAGCTGCAGTCGAACTGTACGGTCCTCCAAATACATTGTCTTCAGAATATAAAAACGTCAGCGACTTTCATTACCGCGAAGTCAGGAGATACTCGTGCACGGTTTGAGCGTTGCAAGCGGATGAAAACCTCCGGCTTCGAGAGGGTCTGCGCACCTTCGACAGGAAATCAATGCCAATAGTGGCTTGGTATGTGTTGTCGAATGAATCATACATAAACCTCGTAATCAACGATGTTTTACCGACTGGTGAGCAGCCAAAGAAATGTGAGTCAACGGCCGTTTACATGTAGGGTTGCATGCTCGCGGTGGATGCCTACCACTTTGCTCTCCGAGAAAAACGAGTCTGTTGGGTGATGGTTAGAATATTGCCACAGATCAATCGGCGCAGTGTGAGGAAACGTACTTGAACTTCTTTAAAGGATTCGAATAGGACCCGACTGCCGATTGGGACGCCATGGGGAACGAGATGAGGAAGGGGATCGACTTAAGGGGCGAGTAAGTCTTTGGAGCAAAGCAGGGGGTTTAAAGAGATGCTATGGAAGCTAGAAACCAGTCATAAAGTCATAACAAGAATCAATCCTAACGAAAACAACAAAGCAATCAAAGAAGCGCAGGGAGAAATTGCCAGCGTGAATGTGTTTAAACAGTCGCTCGAGATGCCAGGGTGAACGGCGGAGTGCGGCGCTAAGACCAAAACTCGCTCCACCCAAGATCGTTCTGCCCGCAAACCAAGCCTCGCCGCCTTCCGTTGACACCTTCACCAACCGAGCACCAAAAACACAACCACGGGAAGCCGGCCCGTAATCAGTTTTCTTGAACCCCAACACCCGTTGCTTGTCGTGTCTCCGGAGCAGAGGCAGGCTGCTCCATCATTCACTGCCTGCGGATACGCCTCGTTTAATGCAAGGATGGGCCTCTACTATCCCGCAGGAGGCGCGCTGGTCGCCCTCACCGTGGTTGGAGCTTGTACGTCACTCATGTCCATGCTTGAAAGACCTCCAGACTAACTCTATCTAGACATGCTCTTTAACGGCGAGGGAGAGGCTTTTAATGTATGTTCCCCCCCAACCTCTCCCCGACGCCCGAAAGTTGTCTCACTGCACGAATAGGTCGGTCAATTCCTCGAAGCGGTATCCCCATACGCTTGGGCCAACATTGGCATCGGACTCTGTGTCGGGTTGTCGGTAGTGGGAGCGGCATGGTTAGCCTAGCCTTGATCGACGATACACAACTCGGATAAGTCTGACACGATTGCTTTGTAGGGGAATATTCATCACTGGTTCCTCCATCATCGGCGGTGGCGTGAAAGCACCAAGAATACGAACAAAGAACCTGATTTCGATTATTTTCTGCGAAGTCGTCGCTATTTATGGTGTCATCATGTCCATTGTATTTTCTTCGAAGGTCTTCTACGTTCCTGGTGAAACACTATATTCAGGAGATAACTACTACACGGGTTATGCTCTGTTTTGGGGAGGGTTGACGGTCGGGATGTGCAATCTGATCTGCGGCGTTGCAGTCGGCATCAACGGAAGCAGTGCAGCCCTGGCAGACGCTTCTGACCCTAGCTTGTACGCCAGCCAAATATGACCTGTTTCTTGACGCGGCTAACCCATCTAATACATTAGGTTCGTTAAAATTCTGGTCATTGAAATCTTCAGTTCTATACTCGGTCTTTTCGGCTTGATCGTCGGACTCCTTATACAAGGAAAGGCAAAGGATTTCTCCTGAAAACATGACTATTTCTCGGATATTCCAGAACGGCATCAATGCATTCACGGTGGCATCTGCAATCGTCCCGTTAAAGGCATCTTCTTCTTCTTTTTCCCCCCATCTTAATTTGGATGTATGTACAAATGGCCTGGGCGTCTAGGTTTGATTTCATCATCTTCATAGAGAGCTCTCGGTCTGTTATGCGAGAAGTTTTATATTTCTACTTGGTCCATTTGCGCTGTATATTAAATGCGGACAGTAAACGGGGTCGATTTTAGCTAGGATGGTTTCTTTTACACTCATAATGGGAAGATTAATCGCGGTATAAAGCCCATCACTCCTCTCAATTTTTAAATTGGAAGTTCGGGAACTTCTTGTGTTTGTTTGCTATCTTCCTAGTAGCAGCCGGCATCCCGGCGACCCCTCAACATGGCCACTGACATAAGTAATTATGGGTTAAGTTAAGTTAACCTCGTAGCTTGTTACGTAGCTTAACTCCCCGCCAGCTTCTACCAACATCGTTCCAGCCGACATCGAGCTGCTACAAAGCCTACCCAGTCTAATTATAACGCAAAGCCATAGTGCAACCATAGTTTTCCCCGTGTAACTTATTTGATGTATTAGTGATGGCCCAGCTGAAGTTAAAGCCCGCCATCTTGGTGGTTTCGGACACCGCATCGAAGGATCCATCCACTGATAGAGCCGGAGCAGTACTTTCTCAAGTCTTTGCAGCAGAGGAAGAAAGATGGGCTGCACCCGTTATCGAGATTGTGTCGGATGAGAAAGCTCATATCGAGCGACAGATCCGCAAATGGTCCGATCCAGACGACAGTGACATTAATCTTATTGTTACTGCCGGCGGGACCGGGTTCGCGGTGAGGGATGAGACGCCAGAGGTAGGTAAAGAGGAATAGCATTTTTTTTTCCACTCATGTTTCCTGTGTTAGTTTATACACAAATCGCGCCTTTGCTGTCTATTTGTTCTACGGATGAACATGGCTGACGATGGAATGTACAGGCGGTTCTGCCTCTGATCCATCGTCATGCTCCGGGGCTTGTGTAAGTTCCGCAAGCGTTGCCTGGAAAAAATAGAGAGACGCTAACCGGTTTCCAGACACGGGATGCTTGCTGCCTCTCTAGAGGTAACACCATGTATGGATGCCTCTCAGGTTCTGCTTTGATCCAAATGCTAAGAAGAGGAATAGTTGCGATGATGGCACGTCCGGTCGCGGGGGTACGGTACAGGACTCTGATACTGACCCTTCCAGGATCACCAAAAGGCGCAAAAGAAAATCTGGAGGCCGTCATCAAGCTTCTTCCTCACGCTTGTATCCAAGCGGCCGGAGCCGATTCACGCTCAATTCATGAGGGAGGTGTGAAGAAGCTTGAGAAGGAAGCCAAAATAGGACATGAGCACAGCCATTGCCATCATCCCCTTCCTATCCACGGTTATTCCCCTCAGCATGATCATACTCATGCTCATACTCATGGGCATGGACATGGCCATAATCCTCCTAAGCCTCACACATCTAATGACCCAACCGCGGGAGCAAGTCGACGCCACCGTACATCTCCTTATCCTATGATTTCGGTAGACGAAGCTCTTGGGTTAATCTACGACCATACGCCTAAACCAGAAGTGATAGAGATGCCTGTGGGCCCATCACTTGTTGGCTCTATACTTGCTGAAGATATCTACGCGAGTGAAGCAGTTCCGGCATATCGGGCGAGTATCGTGGATGGTTATGCAATTATTGCCCCCAAATCAGCGTCTGAAGGAACCACCAAAGGGCAGTTCCCTGTCGCTTCAGTATCTCATGCACAGGCTGTATCAATGCCTCCACCGTTGGAACCTGGAGCCATTGCCCGCATAACAACTGGAGCACCGTTGCCTCCCAACGCTAACGCTGTTGTCATGGTCGAAGATACGGTTCTCATTTCTTCAACTCCTGATGGCGAAGAAGAAGCAATTGTGGAGATAATGGCTGAAGACATTAAACCAGGAGAGAATATCCGTGAGCCCGGTAGCGATGTTACATTGGGTTCCAAAATCCTTCAGAAAGGTCAACTAATCACCGCAGTCGGAGGAGAAATTGGTCTGCTCTCATCAACTGGGACTCAAAAAGTCAAGATATTCAGAAAACCGCGAGTCGGGGTCATGAGCACTGGAGATGAACTTATTGAGCATACAGCCAACGTAACCTTGACTGGTGGGCAAATCCGCGACTCAAATCGCCCGTCGCTCATCTCTTGCCTTACTGCATGGGGATTCCCTACTGTCGACCTAGGCATCGCCCATGATACCTCCGATGATCTTGAACTACGTCTTCGCAACGCATTAAGAGACGGAATTGACATAATCATAACCACAGGGGGTGTATCAATGGGAGAACTTGATCTCCTCAAACCAACAATAGAGCGCAAACTTGGTGGAACAATCCACTTTGGCCGAGTGACCATGAAGCCCGGCAAGCCCACAACTTTTGCAAGTATCCCATTCAAGCCGTCCGGCTCGACACCCACAGGCCAGTCCGAAAGGGAGACTCGCCTCATGTTCTCTCTCCCAGGTAACCCAGCCTCCGCCCTCGTCACTTTGAATCTCTTCGTTCTTCCATCGCTCCATAAATACATGGGCCTTGCCTCCCACTCCACAGCCCCCGCATCGGCTGCCTCGCCTCACAGCCTTGGTTTAGGTCTTCCCCTCGTGCACGCAACACTGACGCACACTATCCGTGGCGATCCTAAACGGACAGAATACCATCGCGCAATAGTCTTTTGTTCCGGGCAAGATGGGCGGTTATTAGCGACAAGCACAGGGACGAGTGGTACGGGTCAACGGAGTTCGAGAGTTGGCAGTTTGGCCGGGGCAAATGCCTTGCTGGTCCTGGAAACAAGGGAGCGAAATTTCGAAAAGGGTGAGATAGTCAAGGCACTATTGATGAGCCAAATAGAAGGCATATGATTGGCTATACAGTATGTTAAACAATGTGAGCACGCCTGGAATCTTTTGTCGATGCTGAGACAGACGATAAATTTGTTCTATAAATCCAAAATTTTATCTAGCCGCTCTACCAGCAATCACGATCTCAAGTTTCCTAACCAAATTGGCTTCCGTAATGACTTTAAACGCCAGATTTCATCAAACAAAGTAGGCCACCAGGCAACCTGACGCTCAAGTATCAAGTTCCTAGACCCATATGTTATTGTCCGCCCGGAATATATCAAATATCACAATAACTGCATAAAATACCTTAAAAGCCCGTGCGTATTCCAAAGAAAAGCCCGATAGGTATTGTTGAGGTATCAAATTTCCGGACTCCAGTTTACGGAAACACCAAAAGATTCGTGAAATTCGTTACTTCCGCTTCCATCCCTTCTTCTTCTCTGCTCTCAAAGCAAGCAATGTACCACTTCTGCCCACTCTCCTTCCAATCTCAACGACTATAAACCTCACAAAGTCGGGCAGGATCCAATAACTGCTGTGTGCACTCAACATATTCAAATATTGAATATTCAACGGGCCGCCGCCACCGGAGATATAGTAATCAATCTGCCCATTGTCATTGAGGAGAAGCATGCGTTTTTCGGCAATCTCTTCACGGGTAAAATCATGGGTCTCCATTTCAATCGTAGACGGTAGTTTAGTAAATATGCCGGGTCGCTGCTGGGCTGCAGTGGACGAGCCGGCAACAGAATGGGCAGGAATCTCGAGTCGAGAAGGTTGAGGTTTGGAGTTCCATCGGAAGACGCTGCTTATCGTTTGGAAAAAGGACATTGAGGAAGTGGGAACTGAGGCGGGTTTAAGAGAGTTTGCAAGATCACTGTCAACTGCTGCATTCAGCCGATAGGCAATTGCTAGGAAGGGGCTGATTAGCGGTATGGTAAATAGGAGAAGATCGTCATTTACTTACGATCGGTTTCATGCATTACATTATAGAGGTTGTCAATCGCGAAACACCCATATGTCCCTGCTTCACCGGTGAGACCAGGATCCGAAACATCTTGCTCATCACAGCCCGGTTTGTTTCGGTATCTTCGAGGCAGTAGACTTGCTAGTTCAGGTTAGCATAAATTAAGCTTGACTGCAGCGTGCGGGTCGACGAACACTTATGGAGCAATAAGAAAAACCCGGCTGGGCTACCACAGAAAAAAACGTTTCTGGTATCGAATTCAAAAATACTCTCGCTAATGTCAGTCTTAGAAAAGTCAATATGGGGTAGTATTGTTGGCTGTTGGCTGAGGATGTCCATTGCCATGATACTTCCAAGCGAATGAGCTATGATATGCACTTTGCCACTCTGCTGGAAGCCTGGATTATTTTGACACCAGAGCCGGTATATCCTATTAGCCTCTTTAATTACTGCACGAACCATCTTCTGTTTATGATGGGAAAGATAATACGGAATATCAAGCATCACATCACTGATTAGATTCCGAACAGCCGGTATCGTTTCGGGGGTAATATCCTTCAACACAAAGCGGTTCGCATTATGCTGATCTTCGATAGCCTCCTCGACATCCGTATCTTCAAGGGAAAGTGTTGATCGCCAATTCACAGGGAGCACCATGATATTTTCCAAGTCAGGACGCATGTTCGGCCAGACGGAGTTGCTGCTGAGCTCGATATTAACCTGTCTTCGAAAGGAATTCATAGCATGAGTAAAATGGAAGCTCTCAACGCGCTCTGATAACTTTTGGCCGATCCCATGAATAACAAAGACCAAATCGCTGACTTCGGGCTTTTTTTCCTCCATCTGGCAAGCATAACATATTTGACGGCGAGAAGCTGCCTCTCTTGTTGCCGCCTCCTGCATCTTCATAAAGTTTCTTACATTGGGTGAAACGAGCTTTGGGGGGTGAACTTTCTCCCATTCTCGGCGATTAAATCCTCGTACAACGGCAATTCCAATCTGCCTTCCCTTCCGGATGGCACTTAGTGGCCGTCGGCCACCAGCTACTGATGGCAGCAGACTTGGTCTGAGTATCTGAGCATCTTTGGAATCAACGTACATCACGCTCGAATTCTTGAACAACTTCGCACTGGCGGCAGAAGTGGCTGTGGCACCTGCCGCATAATTCCCTTGAAAAGCATGATCGCCAACCTCTCTGCTACTAGACACAGAAGCCGAGGCCTCAGAACCCGGACGGCTTCCTGGTTTAATAGGCAATTTGGTATCTTCAGGCGGCCAGAGCTTATACACAACCTTCATCTCTGCTTCAGCTCCGTTTTCAACGCAACTGTTGAGTTCGTCCTGCCAGGTTTCCGTCCATGGTTTAAGGTACATATAGCCAGCTTCAAGTCGATTTGCAACTTCCGGTTCGACGGGGAGCATCGAATTTTTATAAAACCAAGTAGCTCTAATGACGGGAGATATGTCATGGACCGGGCTCCAATAGATGGGTTTCATCTAATCCACGAATTAGAATATAACATGGGAAGATTCTCAAAAGAAAATAGACTACCTGCAGCCTCGGAAATTCAACAAGGTGAAGCCGTGAAGCTCCTACTGTCACAGTCGCCTCTGGCTCATCGTTTTCCAGACTCTCGCTCTGAGTATCCCCTTGAAGTTTATCGACGTCTGCGCTTGGTGAGGCAGTTACTTGGGCGGTGGGAGGGCTCGTGTCCGCAGAATCTTTACTTAACCTCAATGTTGGAGTTGACCGGCGAATTTCGCGGTCTCGGATGGGAGCTCTGATGAATGGAGATCCGCTAATATTTGTATCATCAGAAGGCCGAATAATGTGAGGAGTCGAATGCCCGCTTGCTTCTTCAGAGACATCTTCCTCAAAGCCCGGGGAAGAGTCCCTATTTCGCCGTGCGGCCTTTGACCTCCGTTCAATGGGAATACTGTGCCTCTTCCGAATATTCCCAATCTCGGACGCCCCGGAGGAACCCCAGTCCCGTGTCACTCGTCTCTGGGCATGGGACTCAACACTACTCCCTCGAAATATATGGGAGGAAGAAGTAGAGTCGCGTGTTTCATGGATATCAACGATTCCATCGTTACTGTGGTGCAGCGGAGTCCTCGAAGTCAACTCAGGCAGCGTTACGGTAGTCCGTCTGACATCAGCATCCTGGCTAGCTGCCTCACCCCTCTTCTTTCCTTGAGCAGTTACTCCGCACCTCAAACGAACCTGGCCTTCCGTCTCATCTGGATTCTTATTAGGCTGCTCCTCAACGGCACTTTTTAATCTCTGCCATGCTTTCTCGAGGGCAATATTATCGTGCACCGAAAACGGTCGAGGGGGCAGTTTCGTGACATCGGGATTGCTCGAGGGAGCCGGAATCGCTGTAAGAGGATCATCTATTGGCAATGATGACAGGTAAAAGTATTGCGACTGTATTTTTGGAGGTTCGGGAATCTCCAAAGTTGGATCCAAAATCGGTCGCCTTTGCTCTGGAGGCTCGTAAAGAAGGCATGCCGGGCCGTATGTATGCGCCGGAGTTGCCATTCTCACATTATTTTCACTCAATCCCGCTCAAAATCGTACGAAAACAAATTTCATCTAGGGAGACACGTCAACAGAGTCCGCACTGGCAAAACTAGCGGTTGGTTCGGATTAGCGACAGGCAGCGGCATTATCGGGATGGTGGCATTTGCGCGAGGCAGCAAGAAGCTCTGGATTTAGAGCACATGTATCTTTAACTAGCCATGAAATAGCACAGGTAAAAGGTGGATAATATATTTATAAACAAGAATGAGCACAGAAAATGAATTACATAAATGCAAAGCGTCAACAAGTGCGTGTGTGAGATGAAGCTTCAAACAAGGACAGCGAGATGCCAACACGCCCCCAACGTTGAGTTCGAGCTTCTGGAGTGAGGTAAGGTTAAGCTTGGGCTTGGCGGGCTTGGCAATGATGTCACCGGCAGCCTCTCCCGCTTGACTAACCGTAATGGGCAGATCGAAGAATCCACCCACACGCCGGTCTCCTTGATGCCGGGGGCTAGTGATTTAGTATTGGGTCTGGACAGAGGACAAAATGAGAGATCCGACCATAAGATACACACGCTCCTTTGATTAATTCCATGTCCAGTGCTTAGGATGCGGAGAGATGGGGATCAACAGCTTAAACACTCATGAAAGCACATGCGCTCACAAGAGATTCCGCCCTGCGTTTGCACAAGACACGACATCATAACTACTTACTTTTATCGAATGACCCCCGGGGACATTTAATACATCACAACCCTCCTGAAGAAAAGAGAAACAAATACAGGAATACTGGCCTCGTGGAATTCCAACCCCGGCAGTGGAATTCCTTGCCAGTGCTACTCGTCCTTCGAGAGGGTAGGAGGGTGATACTCCTTTGTAACGCCATGATCCCTACTAAAATTGATTCTTCTTTCCTGTTCCTGCTTCATCAAGGCAAGCGCATTCACCTGAAGCTCCTGAAAAGCAAGAAAGGTGACACATGGCGCTCCCAGCATTTCCAATATCTTGTGAGTATCGTGCATATGTTTTCGAATCACGCTATCCGGGTAGCAGAATGTGCGGACGTTCATCTCTTTAGTGATAATTTTCCAATTGTAGAGAGTGGCATTTAGGAGAACTGAGTTTGCAGCACACTCTCCGTGAAAGGCAAAGTTCTTGATATTGTAAAGAATTAAATCCCGCTGGGTTGCTTGGTCGAATTGGAATTGGACCACTTGCGGCCTGTTTTTAGAGGTCCAGAAATTGATTATCTTCGTCACCGATTCTGCTGACATACGCCCTTCGCGATATTGGTCCATAAGAAACTTGTTTGCGGTCACACAGATCATCAGCTCCATTTCGGAATAGAGCTTAGCCTGGGTCGGAGGATCGAGTGATATGGGGCACTTTGATATGGCCGGTGTCGATGATTTCGATTGGAATGCTATAGAAGTGGTTTTCATGACATCTCCAGTCTGTATTTCGTTCCGCAGCAGTTAGATAACCCTGAAATCACAGCATATGAAAAGTAGAGTTCCATACCATATCCTCGACGCGTTGTTTGATCTTCTCTCCAAACGCCTTGAAACCCGGCTTTTTCTGCTTTTCAATTGTTGGTGACTTACCCAGCCAACCGTTTTCGCCAAAAAGCTTTTTGTGTGGAGAACGTGGTCGACGGGAGGGTGTCGATAGATAAGCAATTTCTTCGTATTCGTCAAGGTCCTCTAGGACTTTCACAGGAGATCGCGATCTCTGTCGAACTTTTGTTCTGTCCGGTAATTCAGACAGATCTTTGCGCTGCTCTGGATAGTAGCTCGCGCTTGGATACCACTGATGAAAATAATTACCTGAAAACCCGGCGGAGTCGCAACCAGAATGGTCAAAGGACCTGACGTTGCCCTCCGATCGGGATTGAGGAAGTCGCATCGAAGAATGACTGAGCTCCGCTTGGTTGCGAAACGCGTTAGGTCCAGGAATGGCAACCATTTCGGGAGCATGCTGCCACAAGGTATGACGCCCCAAAGACCCGCTTGAGTCGGTATGGCTGCTGAGGGAAGAATGGCCACTGCATACTTAGCTAAGATCACGCAAGATGTATTCGGGTCAACGAACTCACGCGTTATACATTATCGGTACTTCCATAGATAAAGGATCAAACTTCACAGGATCAAGTTCTAATACTAGATTTTCGATGCGACTCTTAGGCTGCTCTATTAAGTTCAAAATCTCACGAGTAAGTTGACGAAAGATCTCTCGGGGGCCAGAGGAAGAAGAAAAAGAATATGAAGAAAGAAATGAAGTATTTGATATTGTTATTGATGAATTTGTGTGGTGTGGCTCCTATTGTGGTTGATCAGCTTCCGTTGCTAGGCAATGTCCGTAGTGTAAATATTTCCAAAGAAAATGAAGGGTACCTCGACGTCATCCTCAATTGCAGTTGGAACTTTGTTAAAGAAACCACCATTGTAAGTACTGATCATATCCAGTGAATTACTCACTGAATAGAGATATAAGAACTTAACCTTAGCAGTATACACTTATTGTCTAAACAGGAATGGCTTCCAGTTAGAAAAAATAAAAATGAAAATAAAACAGCAAGAGCATCCAGTTATCCAAGTTAACATACAGGGAATTAGGGGCCAGACCCTAAAAAAAGGTATGAAAGCAGAGTATCTGGAAAAAGGATTCCTCATCAGGAAAAAAAAGCTGGCGGTTTTCGAGAATTGATAGTGTAACAGAAAGGGAGAGACTTCCCTAGGACTTGAGGGCAGTCTCTAAGCATTGATATAAACAGCCCCCAGTGCTGAGCCAAGGGCGGCGTTAAAGTTAAAAAAAAGAGAGGACAGAACATAAGAGAACAATCCTTCACAGGATCGGTTGGATAGTCCCATGAATGTGTGTGTCCTCATGGAAAAGATGCCAAGGACAGGACTCCCGGCGAATGCCGTCTATCTGGTACTGATGAGATATTCCAGAATTATCCAAGATTGACAATCAAGATCACAGAAAGCCAATGTATTATATGCGAACAAAGCATACTGAAGCAAGATATTGACCGAGTCTGTTTTTTATTTGAAAATAGAATCATCTCTGATTGTTGATGTCCTCTTTGCACATCACAGTTTCAAAGGGTGGGATTCGCTTCAGGCTTCGAGGTTTCTTTGGCTCGAGGCCAAACAATATTTCGCGTTTTCGGTATTAAATTCCGTACGTCAGTCAGAACGAAGTGTTGTTGTGAACTCCATGCCCCTGGAAAACAACGGTGAGGGAGGCGCTTCAGTCCATCATCGAGTCAGCATGAGCTGTTGCCCACAACCCTCGAACATCTGAGTAGTGCGTTGAGCGATTAGAAGAGTTTCATCGAACTCCAGAACTGCCGGCAGTAGCTCCGCTGCAGAGGAGGTGAGGGGGGGCGAGCGGGAAACTTTAATATCTACCGAAGTTTTGGGAACGGCGCGCGGAGTGGGATTCCGGAACCGCCCACGTGACCGGGCTCGGCGGGACCTCACGGACCAGTGCGCGGCGGGAAAGGATTTATCCCCCGCTGCCCGGTGTGCTTGGCGCTGTGAAGCGCTACCGCATCGGGCCTAGCAGCCTACCCCAGAGAGGCACTGCGGTAGAGGGCGAGCATCGTGACTAATCGGCTCGCCGTTGCACTGTCACCGAGTTTGAATCCGAAGCGACCTGCAACCCCGTCGATCCCCACTCGATGGCTGCTATCTGGCCCCCGGTCAGTACCGACTTTCGTTGGAGACTGCGCCGACGGTACCAGTCTCGAGCAAAAATGCTGTTGTTGCATACCCAGTCATGGAGCCTGAAATTGGCCGCTATCACTGCCGTGTCTCCAGGACACACGATTCTCTTCCCAAAGAGCGTATCCGTCACGGCTCTGCTATATTTATTATGGCGCTCTGTCCTCAATAAGGAGTGATCCTTGTTATTTCCTTCTCCCTCCCTGATACTTCGTTACAGTAAGACGTTAGGCGGAAGAGCCATCCTTTCACTTCCTCTCCATCACTCACTCTCCGCCGCACGCCGAGACACGGCAGTCCTACATCATGTCGCAAGAGAAATACGACATCGTTATCGTCGGGGCCGGCCCCGTCGGCCTCCTCCTCTCCCTTTGTCTTTGTAGATGGGGTTACAAGGTGAAGCACATCGACAACCGACCCGTGCCCACCAAAACCGGTCGCGCAGATGGAATCCAGCCGCGTTCCATTGAAATTTTGCGCAACCTCGGCCTGAAGCGCAAGATAATGGCATACGAACCTGCAAAGGTATACAACGTCGCGTTCTGGGACCCGCTGCCCGATGGGAAGGGAATTTGCCGCACCGGTAACTGGCCCAGCTGCCCCGACTTCATCGACACTCGGTATCCGTTCACAGCTCTCCTCCACCAGGGCAAAATTGAACGAGTCTTCCTAGAGGAAATCGAAAAGACTGGAACAGTGGTTGAACGTCCTTCCACCGTCGTTGGGTTCAAAAATGACGGAAAGGACCCCGAATACCCGGTTGAGGTGAACTTGAAGGATTTAGATACCAATGTCCACACAACCGTGCGCGCAAAGTACCTCTTCGGAGGCGAAGGAGCTCGCAGTTTCATCAGAGAGCAACAAAACATCGGCATTCGGCACAAAGACCCCATTGCCCACGTATGGGGTGTCATGGATGGCGTTGTGAGAACAAACTTCCCAGATATTAAGGTAGGACTCCAGTCCCCGTTTGAAATAAGAAGCTTCTCTAACAGGACGTCTAGACCAAATGCACAATTCACTCTGACCATGGCTCTATTATGGTTATCCCTCGAGAAGATGACATGGTCCGTCTATACGTCCAACTGGCGTCATCGACCGACAAGGACTGGAACCCAAGAATGACTGCAACGGTCGACCAAGTTAAAGAAGCTGCAGCCAAGGTCTTCAAGCCATTTGATATCACCTGGGATCGCATCGAATGGTACTCAGTATATCCCATCGGCCAAGGTATCTCGGAAAAGTATACTTTGGACCACCGAGTATTCATTGGTGGTGATGCTTGCCATACTCACAGTGTAGGTTCCACTCACAATGAAAAATCATTCCTAGCTAACACCTTCGCAGCCTAAAGCCGGTCAGGGTATGAACACAGCCTTCCATGATGCATTGAACCTTGCTTGGAAAATCCACCTCGTAGAGGGAGGAATGGCTAAGCGTGATATCCTAACCACATATGAATCTGAGCGAAAGATGATCGCCGAGACCCTCCTCGACTTTGATGCCAGATACGCGAAACTCTTCTCCACTCGCATTCCCTCCGTGAGCGAAGTTGATTCTGCTCTCGGCCGCTCCAAGTCAGACGAGACCAACGAGTTCGTCAAGGCTTTCAAATCTGCCTGCGAGTTCACCAGCGGCTACGGCGTCGTCTACACACCAAATATTTTCACATGGTCACCCTCACATCCTGCTCAGTCCCCACTCTTCAACCCCAAGGGCGTGAAACTCGTCCCCGGCCGCGCTCTTCCGACATGCACCGTGACCCGTGTCCTCGATGCCAACCGTGTCGCCTTAGAACAAGAAGTCCCGGCCAATGGCTCCTTCAGAATCTTTGTCCTCGCCGGCGACATCAACAAAAACAAGACCGCTCTCGCTGACTTCAACTCCAATCTCCTAAAATCCCGCTCTTTCTATTCCACATACTCCCGTCCCGCCGACCAAGCCGTGTCCTACTTTGAGCGCCATAATCCACACTCACGCTTCTTCAGTCTCCTACTTGTCTTCGCTAATCTGAGGGATGAGGTCGAAATATCTTCGCTCCCAAGCACTTTCCAGGCATACTCTCACCATATTTATACGGATGATCGGAGCGACCGATTCGTTCCGGATGCCAAGGCACCAGCACATGAGAAGATGGGTCTGGAGAAGGGTGGCGTAGTTGTGGTAAGGCCTGATGGACATATTGCCTGCTCGGTGGAGTTGGTGGAAGGATCAGGAACCGTGGACGCATTGAATCAGTTCTTTGGATCGTTTTGCGAGAAACCCCTCGGTGGAGAGGCTGGGCAGTCGAGGCTTTGAGAGTAAAAATAGGGTAAGAAGTTGTTCATGCCATGATTTCTAGATATACCTTCGAAGTGTACAGATCACGTTAGTTAAAATGATAATCCATGTTATGTCCTGATAAACTCCTATTATCTTAGCTTCATACAGTTGCGCAGCTTGTGAAGGACAATATTATAACTCCCCTACAGCCCTATGATGTTAGACCACACCGCTTCGTAGATAGCACCGCCATTTCCAAAGCTGAGCTTCAAATCCACCTTTCGCGCAAGACTGCGTTCTGCACTCCACACGTACAGGTTCGTACCTTGCCTTGCCGTGTGGCAAGATGACTCCCAAATGATAAGTCTGTCGGGGATAATTACATCTCATGCATTATTTCTCTCCAGTTCTTTACAACTTCCGTAGTCATGAGTAGAAACACTCCGAATAAAATATACAAGACGTCCACGCCGATACATGGACTCCATCTCAGCCCTCTGCATTGAGGTTCATACGCGCTTGATCTCCCATTTCAGCCCCGTAACACTAACTTCCTCACCCGCCTTCTCATCATAATCGTACCATTCTCCTTCCTGCAAATCAATCCCCGTAAAGGGATAATTCGACTCTGCACCTTTGGCTTGCCATTCACCCTGAAAGGCCGCGCTCACAGTTTGCCATATTAGAATCTAGAACTCGTGGTCCCGAACAAGGAGTGGAAAAGGTAACTTACATCCGGTATGAATTCCGTAAACTCAAGACCTCGACAGTCGAATTGGATAATCTGCTGTTGGGCTTGGGATTCGGTGTATGCAGATGGGTTGTTGGTGAAGGAGGCAGAGTTTTCGCGCTGCAGAGTTATATCCTTAGCCATGCTGCCAACGGTAGCAATAGTAAATATGTAAACCACAACCGAGCGTGGAAAATAAAAGAAAAAGGAAAGCAAAAGAAGAAAAGAAAAGAAAAAGGATGACGAAATCACTCAAAGCATGCACAGCTCAACACTACTGCGTCATTCAACCTCAATAGAAACAGCAAAAGGGATATCATTCGGGCCTTATATCGGAAAGCAAAGAGCAAACTTTCCACCATTGGCTGATAGAATCCTTATGCTCACTATAGGATGGTAGAGAAAATAGATATCATCGCTCTGATTCAACAAACTCCCACCACTTACATTGCAGAATCCGCATTTCCAGACGAAATTCGCATCGCCCCTGCTCCCCGATAGGCTGTGTTTCTCCTACATTCATATTAGCTGATATTGTCCCTTCATATGCGTTGATGCATGCGCCAAAAAAGCGAGTATTAACGGGCCGATAAGACTCACCCATCTGTTAAAGCTCACCAGTTTCGGGTGTACCTCCCGACATGATGTGCACTGGACTCTGAAGGAGTAGTGATATGGTGAGTCCTCAGTGTCAGTGGGCTGAAGATCAGTGACTCTAGAAGGCTTGTCAGCTAGATGATCTGCTTGGTCTCCTTGGTCCTCTCAGTGACATATGTATAAATATCCCGAGCATGTTTTATGGTGCGGGCTAACGTACCCTGCGAGAACTGCGGAGACGGTAAGGGCATACATCGCGCCAAGATTAAGAAATCTCTAATTTTACGCAGGATCTGATAGGTTTTCTCGACGTAGATAAACTCAACAATGCCTGCTTGATATTTGAATAGATGTACGGAGGCTGTATTCAATGCCGCTTGTTGATGGCGGGGGCGTTGGTTAGCTGGCGGATAAATTGAGGCTTTGGCGGGGTGGGAGAATTCTGAACTCATGCTCATCTCACAACCACCAGGGTTTTTTCCAAAAGAAAATAAAAACCACTGCACATTATCAAATTATGATGAAAGCTGTAATAAACGATAGCTGGCCATACAATTCCTTCAGAAGTTACTGCATTGAAGTATAGTTTTATACGCCCTACCAATGCTTTTGGTTGACTCTACCTGCGTATGGCCAATTCCAAACTCTATCGCGGAATGTGTTACTGGGAGAATGGGTAGAGCGTTATTCAATTTCAACCAACTGAAATTGTACGTAGCTGCGCGGGCTATGCTAAAGAACAAAACCTGCCCAGTAAAACAGTTCCAAATCGTACGTAAAGAGGCCACCAAATACATGACGCCATTTCTCCAGGGGACTTTTGGACCGGCTTCCGGGCTTACGGTGATAGACACGTGAAGGAATATCATAAAGGAGAGGGGGTATCATCGCAAAAACAAATACAGAGTGAAAATAGACAAGAGCTGCAGATCTAAGGGTATCGGGTAAAAAGGAAGATCCAAGAGCGCATTTAGGCCTGTACATGCTCAGAACATGACCTGCTGGCCAACGGAAAGATGGAGAAAAGGTAGGCTGCGTGCTCTGGACATAAAGTTATTGGGGTGCAAGGAAACAGGAGATGCTGTGCATAAAATGTGCTAGGTGATGAAATAGCGTCAAGATATGTGCGCAAGAATCATGTAAGGATTTTGAGAGATGGAGTTCGTGGTCGTGGTTTGCTCGTTAGAAATGCATCGCTCATTCATAATCGTAACTTTCGTCGCCGAATATGATTAACCAAAGAAGTATTGAATCATCGCCCAAATTGCGGGACCTTGATCTTCTTTTTCCATGTGGATTTCTTCATGCGGGCTTCTGATCGCTCTTTGTCCATGCTCTCTTTGCCCGAAGAGTTTGTCGACGAGCCGGAGCTGTGTACACGACCATACTCCTCGGCAAGAATCTCTTCGAGCCGTACATCTGCTTCCGAGGATGCGCGTGGCTCTCCGGGACCGAGATGCTCGATAAACCTCGACGTTAATCCCGGCATTTTGGACAGTGACGCGTGTATTTAACAGGCAGTCTGAGGTGGAGTTGGGAGAACTATTAATAGGGATGCTGGAACAGCTTGATGATGGAAAAGCTTCAGATATTGGGAGCAAGCAACAAATCGATATGTTTGTGGTTCTTCTGCAAGTATCTTCGTTCTCGTGACGACGTTTCGACTGTTTTCGAACCTGGGAACCTGGCTAAACGGCCAGCCCCGTGACGAATAGCTCTGGTGTTATAGCAAAGAGCGGTGGGCTTCCCGGCGAACGGGATTCTTCAGGCTGCCGAGATATTCAACGTCCCTTTTTGGCGCTAATGCCAGATAGTCACTGACAACTCGGCATTCTCCTCACATGTGGTAAATAAAAAGCAGAGCAATGCGCAACAGATGCTTGCATTATCGGGATATTGCAGAAAGGATTAAAAACAAAGTTGCGAGAGCTGGGGGTGTTCGTATGTTTATTATTATATGCATCAAAGGACGTTTGAAATTGATCCTTTAGTCGCTAATATTGACTGTCGGCACCCCTTGGAGATGGTGAAATGGACCATGGCTCTGACATGTTGAAGCAGCGACTGCAATATAAAAATAAATGCATGCAGTTCTTAGTGGAATTCCGAGGGGGTTTGGAGTCGCTTTTGTATGGGCGGGCTCCATCCTCCGAGTGGAAGCGTCAGCTAGCGCCCTTTGCTGAGGGGTTGTTGCAGATTGCACAGAATTCTCCAGTCGGTCGTGAAGAGACAGAGGACCCGGCGCCCTTACGCATCAGTAAGGGGCCCTTACCCTTGTGATGTCCTCCCATATTGGTTAAAACGTCGACTGAAGGTTTTGCCCCAGCGCTCGGGGTGATGAAGACGAGCGGATCGACACGTTTAGCGTCCTTCACGCCAAGGGATAAACCCGAGCACACCCTAGTCCCGATGATGATGTTTGTCCGTGGAAAATGAGTTCATCGCGGGGCAGTGTATATTGTCCACCGATGAATCGACTGCTGGAGGATGGCGGGAAGGTTCATGTGTGGCGTCCTGGCCACCCTCCATCGCCTGGACTTGTCATCCGATGCTGGTGATCAAATCACACGGGCGCACTCTTTTTCCAGGGCAAAAAGACGCACGGCTGGAAAATCAGAATTTCATCCTGCCTACGAAACGGATTTCTACTGGACCTGTCTCATCCTAGGGGCGATTTATCGACAGCCTCTTCTCTGCTGCCTTGGCTGCAGACGCTGTGGTGGCGGTTCCCAAGCACCAAAGGCTTCGATCTCAGCTTTCTCACAGCCTTGGTGATGTCAGTCGCCAGCTAGTTCACTAGCTATTGCGTACTTAGAGGAGTGAACTCATCACTCAAGCCACAAGAGCAATTGGAGTCTCGATCCAGTCACTAGTTATTTCACCGCTAGCTTCAACGAGACCGCCATTCCCAATCCTTGATGACTTCCAGACGAGGACCCAAAGCAAGAGTGAATGTACTTGATTTACGCACCCCGTTACCCTTCCCGCGTCCAATGAACCCGTCGGGTTCATGGCATTCCCACGAGATCCATGATTTTCTAGAGCGTCGATCTCCAATCATCCTAGATACCGGACGGGGGCCTCTTTCAAGGCACTCGGTCTTGTTTCAGGCCGGGATGATGCTCCTTGAAACCGCAAGGTTTCTGATTGGCACACAATGACACACTTTGTCCGCAAAACTCTGACACATCGAAGCCACTGGAGAATCGAGATCATGAATCCTAGGCATATACAAAACAACACGGACTACCAGGTAGCCGCTCCAGATCTTAAATGGAATATGATGCAAAATGAGGCAAAAGAGGCTCAGAGAAGACGTAGTCGCTGACCTACTCCCAGCGGACGTTTCGCATAACTTCATCGTATACGCAATGAGCTGAAAACCCTTTGATAACCTTACGGAGTATTTTCAAATAAATTCTTCTCTTTAAAGTGCGCGTGAGTTAATTTGATCAAGCGCAGCATCCGAAATCACTTCAACTTCCAAACCCGCCCAATCCACAAGTTCGGGGTGCCAATGAAGAGACAGGAAGCGCTCGCGATGCGATCAGCCCTTCCCGATATGTATAGATCCTAAGTTGCGTGTTCCAAGCACTTTTCCTGAGCTCCCTTTTAAATATATGGAGGTCCACAGGACGCGTCTCGCAATCAGCCTCATTAGTCAAAGGTCTTTATTCATCCCGATAACGCCGTTCCCATGTATAAAAACTCATGATTGCTTCGATACGCTCATCCCGCCATCTCTACGTCCTTCATCTCCACCCCTTTCGCGGCTGATATCCAGAGAACGTTATTACACCTAAGGACATTGAACTCAGTTAGGACATAGTGAATTACACCGAGGAGAGACATTAAAATTCGACGAAAACTCTCCCATTGGAAGATGTAGCCAGAAGCGCCTACGTACCGTATCAAAACTTGACCCAAAGTCCCCGTATTCTTTCCATCGATAAATTCTTCCGTATTGGACAGCTGGATATTCATATATGAATCCACACTGACTAATTGACCCTTATATTCGGTCTGACCCCATTTCAGGCGAACGATAACATCTTCATTGACCCTGCAAATGGAAAAAAGCACCCATACATTAGCAATTTGTTGTTTAAAACCGAAAGGCCGGCACATGAGATCGCTCGGTTAACAGCACGCTTGAATAGGAAACACACAGAGACTGCAGCATAGGCCTCGGGTTGAGAGGAACAAACTAGAATGCAGGAAGGAGTTAGTACATAGAGAGCAAATTCGCGCGGGATCGCAGGGACAAACATACACTCATTTTTTGTGGGGAGAGATTAGGATAGTATTAGCTAGATCCCAGAGAGCAATGCGCGCGAAATAGAGGAAAGGCGGAAGAACAATATGGATTGATACGCCGAACCTCCTCTAGCTTCACTCACCTTGACTCTCCAAAGTGAAAGCCTCAACGCGACGAGCTGGACGGATCTGGCTAGTCTGCATCGCCGCTCTAAGTCAAGATTATGTCATCACTGGGTACAGGTGGTTCAACCCCCAAACAAGGCAGAGATACCTAGCGTGGAGGATGTGAAGATATCCTTGAACATGTATTAACAGAATTGAGATTTGGGAAATAGATTGTGTGTTGTGAGCAAATTGGGGGATGTGTAGTTAGAGTGTCCGTTGCCCACGGTTTCTCCACGCTCACTTCAACGAGACGGGATATTGATTATCGCGCATGCCAAGTCCATGAACTGTATCAACATTTTATACTCCCTACGCTCTCTCTGAATTAATCGTATGCGTTGCATACTTAAGATCCTTCGGAGCTCTGGTATTTGCTCCTCTCGGCAGACCAAGTCCTAGTATAGAATGTTAACTTGATCATAGGAACGAAGACATTGGATCCAGCCCCATGTTTTCCGCCAGCAGTACGATTATATCAAGATTGAAGAATAATATAGAGAAGCTACCGGTACATTAAAGCTTTTTGCTTTTTATCTGGCTATCCTAGTCTTTCAAAATTTACCTATACCCGCCGACCAAACATGTCTTCATCCCAATCGCCTGGTTCAACATCATACTTTGAACAGCAGCGCGCGGAGCTGCTGAGAGAAATTTCACTGGTGAGATTTCACCTTGTCTTTTTCGGTTTACATGGCTGGGAACCGCCTGAGAAATGGCTGTGCATATTGCCCTGATTAGCAGCTATGTTTCAAGGCACCGCAACCATGTCTCTGCATTCGGCCATTCTTTTCAATTGCGAGAGTTTTCAAGGCCCCGCCCTTTTCACCTGTCCAGACCATTCTAATCACATCCTCTCCCGATTTCCCAGAGTTTTGAACAAGTCCTCCAAAATATAAACCGATTAAATCGAAATCTGGAAAGTGTCATCGCAGTATGTCACCCAACCCGTTCCTCTCCCAAACCAACAACACGCTATTAGTACGCATTTCTTACCCAGGTTTAGGTTGGAAATGAATTTTCCTCCGTAGAAGCTCTATGGTCTCAATTCGAAAACGTCATGGCCAAAGATGGCGAGGGCAGTGGGGAAAAGGAACATGACGAAGAGCGTGCGAGAGAACGGGAAGATTCAGAAACAACTCCAAAGGGGGACGGAAGTCAGAGCCCGGGTGCGGATGAGGTAAAACAGGAAGATGATGATGAAACAATAAGATGATGGCGCTTAATGATAACAGTGGAGGTCGCGGTTGAATTCTTTTGCTCCTTTGGCATTTAGCGGAGGAGATGGCTACTTCATTTGTCTGATCGTCTACGGATGCAATACCTATCAAAGTGTGTTGGCGCCTCATGTATATAGGACTAGTTAAGTTTGCTCCAACCCGAAGAGAATTGAATAGTTTTGTCTAATCAATGTCGTACACATGCTGCATTAATCTGGTTCCCCGACGTACAAAAAAGCTAGCCTCAATAAACACCGAACCCATGCATGATATCCTCCAGAAAGCCTACCAGATAAGCTTTCGTAGCAAAACAGGTAAGTGATATAACAGTATGAGTAAAAGGAAAACATTTTTAGAGTTGACAGACATAATCCGCTAGGGGAATGATACACATCATGAGGAGCAGAAGTGAAAATGGACAAATGGACAAGGGTTGTAGTTTAAGGGGCCAAAGATAAGGATGGGATCAGAGCGTCACCGGTGAAAATAAAAGAAACGGCACGCCAGAGAGAAAGAAATAATAGGGAAGCGCATGTAGCATGGCAACAGGACATACCATATCATCCTGTTGCTCATCATACATCATCGACAAACTGAAATATTCGCATGTCGCTCGCTCGAATACCGAAAATCGTCTCGCAGGCATAAAACTTAACCTCGTGGCCTAAAAAGCTGTTGCTCGTTATGTTTTGTTTACGAATCGCCTCAAAGAATCTTGCAAGATCGCTTCTTGATCTTCTTGCCTCCACCACCTTGATGGCCACCTCCGTGGGAATTCCAGCTGCTTTCTTGTATACCCACCGCTGTGTTGACTGCAAGCTCAAACACCTCATCGACACCTCTCATCTCCTTGCTGCTGCATTCCACATAAAAGGCGCCCATCCGTTGAGCCACAGCTTGGCCCTGTTCAGGCGTGACTGGCGTTAATCCTTGACTCTTGAGAAGTTCGATGCAAGTGCGCTTCGTCCGTAAATCGGATTTGAGGCCAACTAAGATGAGCGGGGTGGTGGGGCAGAAATGGAGGACTTCAGGGTACCACTACAAATAGAGATGAGCTCTTTGTTTGATTCTCGATTTCTAGGCAAATTAAGAGAGAAGTTCGAAAATCGCGTACCTTGTCCATTACATTTTCGAGCGAGACCGGACAGTCAATGGCGAAACATACAAAGAGAAGGTCTGTTTCCGGATACGAGAGCGGCCGAAGTCTGTCGTATTCTTCTTGTCCTGCAGTATCCCAAAGGGCTAGCTCAACAGTCTTGCCCGACGGGGTATGCGTAGTTTGGGTGATATAATTTTCAAAAACTGTAGGAACGTATTTCTGCAATGCGATTAGCTTCCGTGTCCGCACGAAGATCTCATGCACTTTATCGGGCGCCAACTCACCTCGGGAAAGTAGCCTTGGGAATAGCTGATTAGCAGGCAAGTCTTGCCGCAGCCCCCATCGCCGACAACGACAAACTTTTTGGAGTACGATGGAGGTTGTGTGATGTTTGTTGCTTGAGACAATCTTCCTGTCGATACACTCATGGTGGTGCTAACTGTGCCATTGCTTGCGCGCGTACTTTGGCTTCTGACTGGCTTGCGGCGAGGCGATAAGGAAGAAGGGCCTTTCTCGTTCACTACCGATGAGTGACGTCGGATATGTCCACCGTAGGTGTGTTGTTCCTCGTAGGCGCGACCTGACATTGCTGAGACGGATGCCAAAGAAAGAGGGGTGATCCGAAGGAGAAAAAAAAAAGGAAACGGAATCAAAGACCCTCTACGAGCTATTCGTTCAGTGTTTGATAGAGGACTTAATAACGACAATGCGGTTTGCAAGGATAGAGCTCTAAACAATAGCGGCTCACAGAATGGAGAGGGAAGAGAGAAATGTTGCTGCGGGAGGAGGATTTCTGTTTGTGATCAAGTGAAGAACTCCTGGGGAGCGATGCGACTCCCATCAAGAAAAAGAGGACGTATAAAAGAACACGCACAGCGACGCCAATTGAATCTGCCCTGTAAGGCACGGAACGGAAGCCCACTGTTTACCCCAAGACGCTGCCATGGCAACGGGGCGTTTGGGCACGGGTGCAGCCACGCTATTGGTGCCAACCCCTGGCGAACCCTCCGATCTGCATGCTCACTCCATCATCAGACCGGGCGAGATTGCAACCCGTCGCGGTTTCAGGAGCTTGAGGAGGATGTCAAGATGCGATATTTTTGGGCGATGGGCCCTTGCTGGAGACGGAGAATCGCTCTGGAAAGGGGAAGAAAGGACCAGCCATCAGCAGTCCGTGAATCAGCTCGGGTCTATTTCGTACTACTGGTGGATCATGGGGGAGATTTCGACATCAGTGGAATCCACCTGTGGAGTCTGTTCAGTCCGCTGCAAAGCTGGTTTGTACGGAGGACGCATCCTACGCAACTCTCCTCCGTGCATCGGAGGGGTTGCTTCGACCCGTTACGGTTACATAAATAAAGGGCTGACTGAAGATGGGAAATACGGAAAAGTTGGCATGAACCTTAACTCAAGTCTCCAAAAAACTATCAATATCCTGGAATGTGGCAGAGTCATACTGTCTTGGAGAGCAAGATACTACAAGAGACAACCCCATTCACAGGATAGAGTATTTTCTGGCTCTTGATGTGTCCATGCATATCCATTAGGAAAAACGGTTGCACAGATACGGGAGCTCTTCCGGAGTAACACACACTCTAATCGTATTTTGGATGGATGACCGTTGTGGGCTTTGCTGTTTGGGCTGCCGTTCTTCGGCTAAACATACTGGGCAGTGCTGGGGTGCAGGGTCGGCTATTCTTGCACCCCGCTGGGCCTTGGCGCACACACCTTCCGTCATCTCCCAAAGGGACTGTTTGAAACAGCCAGAAGCTGCTCGGAGAATTACCTCACGTGCTTGAGGAGAGATAAGGATGGCACTGGATCTCTCCGAGGCTGTCTTGTAAACTCTTATGGACAACAATTGCTCGCCTCTCCACTCTGTGCAAGTTTTTTGCAGAATCACTTTCCCCCATGATGCACTGTTGTTGAACAAAGCCGTTGTTGAAGTTGAGGGCTGCTTGCTCTTATGGCCGGGCCGGCTTATCCAGGGAACAAAAGTATCAAAGCTCTTCTGAGACCTGATAATCTTAAAATATGAACAAGGACAAATCACAACCAGACGCAGGCCTGAGAAGTCTGACCCATTGTATGTGCCGTACATTCCCAGTAAACACAGGCACCGTACACCCGGAGTATCAAGGAAACACATTCCGAAATCTGCTGCTGATTGCTTGATTCATCCTATCCCAGATCAGCGAAGGCTCCCACCATGGCGGCACTGGATGCGACAGAAGACCCTCCCTCTGGTCCGATGGGAGACACCATATCTCGCGTGGCTGCAGGAACGCATGCGCACTCCCACCCTTGATACATGGTTTGCCATCAGTGCAAATCTCGGCACTCACACATTCTACATGATCATGCTACCCATCCTCTTCTGGTGCGGGCATTCTCAATTCGGCCGCGGGTCAGTGCACACAACCCTAGCGGGATCATGCAAAATGTTGACAATCCGAATAGCACCGTTCATCTTCTTGCATCTGGCGTCTTCTTTAGTGGGTTCATCAAAGACTTACTATGCCTTCCTCGACCGCTTTCACCTCCTCTGCAGCGAATTACCATGTCCGGCTCTGCAGCACTGGAGTACGGATTCCCCTCGACCCATTCCACGAACGCCGTTTCTGTGGTGGTCTACGCGATGCATAATTTGAATTCCGCCGCATCTGCCTTCTCACCCACGTCAAAGGCAGCTCTCCAGTTCCTTCTGTTCATATACGGGACATCTATCGTTCTGGGACGGTTATACTGTGGCATGCATGGGTTCTTGGATGTGGTTGCAGGCTGTCTACTGGGAGCTCTTTTGGGATTTATTCAGTGTTCGTATGGCGCTGCGATCGACGCTTATGTTCTTTCGGGAGGCATTCAGGGACCACTTCTCGTGGCTTTGGTGGTTCTTGTGTTAGTTCGGATTCATCCGGAACCGGCGGATTCTTGTCCATGTTTCGATGATAGCGTTGCTTTCGCAGGCGTGATGATTGGGGTCGAGCTAGGCGGGTGGCATTTTGGAAAGACGAGATTTGGGCTACCAGATCCTATCCCAGGCAGTATCGTATTTGATCTTGAAAAGATCGGTTGGGTTAAGGCGGTGTTGCGGATTATCCTTGGCGTTGCCACGGTCTTTGTATGGAGAGAGGTCATGAAGCCGTCCCTCCTCCGAGTTCTTCCCCCGCTGTTTAGACTTATCGAGAAGTCGGGTTTTAGTTTGCCGAGACGATTTTTTACACAAGCTTCGTACGGCCACCCTTGTTTTTTGTTTTCTATGCGAAATCTAGCGCAAGGGTGGATGGCTAACTGGTTCCTTGGTGTAGTGAGTATAAACGAGTCCCTGATCACCTTAAAGACGACCATGTTATCCCCAACGTCGCCGAGATACCATCCATGCTCACATCCATCCGCCATCCACGCCGGCGCGCGATCTCCATTGGACCGCAGTCGGAAGCCGACGCTTACGAGACCCTCGCCTATCGCGAGCATCGAAGGCGCCTAAGCACGTCCTCTCCGGATCTGATACGAAGTGCTCGACCGTCGCCCTCCGCCGCTGGGGACGACCATAGTAATATCCCCACCCCAACCTCCAACCCGATACGCCAACAGTCACAAAGATCGGCCAACAGAAGTCCACTGAGGCTCGATGAATACAAAAACATGATGGGAACCGGGTCTCCAACCTGTGAGAAGAATGGGATCAATGCGTTCCCCGGCGCGGCGGCGCACTCACTGGACTATCCATACAAGTCCCAGAATGAAGAAGAGATGTTCTCGATGATAACTAAGCCACGGGTTCGCTACGACGTTGAAGTTGTCACGAAATTGATAGTGTATTCTGGTTCGCACTGCCCGCCCTTCGTTCAACTTGGTCTTCTCTCTCATGCAGCAGAGTTTCTGCTAACTCGCGCACTCAGGGATCGCATGGCTAGCGGTTGAAGTGAACCCAATTTTGTTTCACTTTCTCGGACTCGACCGATAGAGGCTGCACGTTGGTTTCATTGCCAGCCGGATGTCGGCAAATTATTTTCGATTCTCCATTTTCGGCGCCCCTTTTTGCTGTTACGTCAAATAAGAACGGAGAAATTAGAATGGTCCTAGATTTCCTGGTGGGCTTTCAATTCCATAATCATGGTTGCTTGAATATTTGCATATTAGAAGCAGGCTCCTAGATACACGTTTAATGATGATGCGAGTACGGAATTTTGCAACCAGTCCGGGGTATAGGAGACTACCTTCTAGTCTATTCACACAGCAAATTGAATGAAGTAACTGTCCCTAGTTAATGAACTTCCACTTCACCAAAAAGAACCATCGCTACTCTGTATATAAACTGCCAGTTAAACATTGCAGCTCTGAATCGCGGCAAAGCCACCAGTGTCTCTTTGCGCCACCGTCAGTGTCATCAACCCCGTAAACGGCTGCAGATGTCAGTTGTAAGCTCGGAAAGATCTACCCAGCATCATGATAATGAAATTCTCGATTTCCGGTTATCGGGGGTTTGCGAACTCCCCGCCAATAACCACCCATCATCATGATCTGCCAACCCGTTTCCACCGATGGCCCGTGCGCCCGTCGCCTCGGCCTCAGCGCGCTAAGCCCCAAGCGGCAAGGGCGTCTGTTTATCACGTGACCGCGCGCCAAAAGTCGTGATGGGCGGCAGCCGCCGACCAGCAGAGCGCAACTCCAGCGGGCCCGGCGAGGGTGAACTGCGCTGGATTTCCCTATCAAGTAACCTTGACGTCGCCTCTGTCGCCCCGGACTACATGTCTGTCGCCAGTCTCCGTCCCTACCTTCGCCCTTTTCCTTTCCCCTTCCCTCTCTTCCCTCTCCTCCTCTTCCTCCTCTCTTCTTGCAATCTTCCTCCTCCTCCTCATCCTCACCACTACTACAAACCTTTCCATCCGCAATCTTCATTCATTGTTTCAGCTTCATTTACTCACTGCGTCTCATTCTGCTCCATCTATCTACAAGGAACTCCTTTTCATCTTTGCATACCCCACATTGCAGCTGCCAGCATTTGATACCCTTGAAGCTGTAACAAATCAATCCCTTACTCCTTACTTTTTTGCTTTGACTCTCACAAGCAATCTGCTCTCTACTGCCTTTTGTGATTGAGTCCATATCTGATATCTTGCATCCTTGCTTGACAGAGACTGGACATATCTTGTCAATCCAGCCTCTATTTCAACTTGAGCTCATCCTTCTCTATTTTGCTATCGCCAATTCTTTTTTTTTTTTCCTCCCACACCTATCTTACTCCTCGATTACTCTCTCTTGCGAGCATTTTCGCCAATTGCTAGCTAAAAGGCCTCTGGAAGCTGCTTCTTGCACCTATCGTCTTCATAATATCTCACTTTTCCGTCCTCCTTCGCACCTAGCAACGCGCATCCTTGTCGATTTTTAATTGCCAGTTTACCTCTTGGGGGGGGACACGATTCTACGTGCAGGGACGCGGTGCTATATCCTCTCAATTTCCTCACTTTCGAAGCTCTATCCTCACTACGCGACTGAAGTGAGACTCTCTGTTGTGTTCCTCGGCCAGAATCGCGTTGACACTGAAAAAAAAAATTTCAAAACAAGGAACACAACATTCTAATTCGGTAATAGTCACGCTTTGTTTACAAACTTGACGGGACTCTCCTGACCTCGCTTCACTTGTTATCAAATTTTTACCTGTCCCACAGATCCTCTACCACGGCAACTTATTTTCTATCCTGCTGCCACCGTCTCTCCTCTTACTACCTCCCTCTCCATTACTACATTACATCTTAACTCTTCTCGATCAGGCTTTACGCTTGCCATTTACTTCTTCTTTACCATTGCCAAAAAGCCTTTCACAAATCACATTTCTCGTACATACACCACCAACGCGTCATATCCTCCTCCTCCTCGCTTGTGTCCACAACCTCTCATCCCCTTCCTCCTTCATCTCTTATTCTTCTTTTGGCCTTTGCCACCTTCCCAAACCTAGCTCGTTCTTGTATCCAGTTCCAACGGCAGCTTTTAACATGGACTCGCAAAGCAAGGACCAAGGCCAGAATAACGAACAGCAGATTCCCCGAACGCCACCACGACGTATTGTCTCAGGGCTACAGGGCCTGAACTTAGTCTACGCTCCCCAGCCTGCGACCTCGAGTGCTAATATGGAGCAACAACCGCCCCAAGCGTCACATGAACGTATCCTCCCCGGACTTGGGAGCTTGAGCTTAGACTCGCCGTCCCAGCAGAAGGCGTCTGAGAGCCCCAAAAAGACCAAGCGGGAGCCTTATCATGTTCCTGGCTTCATTGTAGAAGACTACAGTGATGGCGAGCAAGAGACTCGAAAAAAGGCAGCAACAACAAAGGAGCCTACCGACCCTTTGGCCTTCTTCACTGAATCTCTTGGTCGCCAGCGAGAGGGCGAGTCTAACAAACCAATAGGCCATGATAGCGATGACGAGCTTGATCGGATTCTATTCGGAGGAACACCACCCAAGCCCAAGGAAAGTCGTCAGAACGTGCCACGCCAAAGCACGCCCCCAAGTGGATACGACTTTGATATCGACCTTTTGGCCGAGCAAGCAGCCCCTGACGGTGTAGAAGTGCGGCGGGACGCCCAGGAGTCGCGTCAAGCCACATGCCCAGGTGGGTATGAAACTCCTGTGGACTCTAACCCTTCCGGCCAGGCCCAGGGAGAAGTTTTTGGCGACGTGGAAATGAGCGAGGACGACCAGCAACCTCGTCAAAGCACACCTTCAAGCGGACATGTAGATCCTGCGTGCTTCGACACCTCGGTTTATACGCAGCTTGCACCTCCTGACGATGTGCAAATGAGCGAAGGCGAAAGCCAGGATTGCCGGCAGCAGGTTCCGCAAAACCCAGCACCGGCTGGCTTCTCGGCTGCCCAAGGTTTCAATGTATGCCTGCCCCAACAAGAAACTCTTGGTGATGTGACAATGAGTGACGTCGATCAGGGGGTTTTTCAAAACCTCTCGCAGAGCGACCATTCGTATCCCCCGTCGCTAAACGGCGCCTTTCTGGCTCAGCAAGCAACCTCCGTCGAAATAACAATGGGCGAGAGCGAAAGTCAGCATCCCAGGCAGGTTCTTCAAAGCCCATACCCGCCTGTCGTGTCACAGCCTCCGAATTTTACGACCGTGCCCCTGTTCCAGCCTGCTCCTAACATCGGAGTACAATTTAATGCTTGCACTCAGACAACTGGGGCCCTGGACACAAATCAGGGTCAGGCTGTTGGACTGCAAACATTGCCGTTGTCGCTTGCTAACCCGCCGCTCCCTCCAGTCTCGCCTTTCGACAACGGGTATGTTTCGGGCCCGGGACAGGTCCAAGCCCAAGTTGGGCCAAATGGTATGCCCTTCAGAGTTGCTGATCTACTGGACAGTAATCCTTATTGCCCTGGATTCGACATTAGCCGGCCGTTCGTCTCTGCGTACGCGAAACCCGCGCCTCCCAAGCCCGAGTCCCAGCCCCTGGCAATCCCAATATCCAAGCCGAAGCCCAAGTTCGTGCCAGCACGGCCCAGCTGGCAAAACCATTCGGTCTATGGATATCTCGGTGGTGGTTTCAGTGCTGCATTTCCAAAGGTATTCAACCCGGCTTTGCCTTACCACATGCAACTCCGCCCAAGATACCATCCCTATCAGATCCCTTCCCGTTCTATGGTTAAGTTCCCGGATCCTTGGAATACATTGAGGCCAAATCCTCGGAGAAACCTGCCAAAAGTTGCTAAGCTCTCTGAGCCTATCCTAAACTTTGGCGCCGTTGCCTCCCGTTCTTCTCTTTCAGTTCCCAAACCGCAGGCTGTTCCGTCAACACAGCAGGATGACAAGTCGCTAACAGAACGCCAGGAAGCTAGCACGGACGCATCGCGTAACGTCGTATCGGCGTCACAGCCGCTCGTGCCGACCCCGGACTCTGATCCCCAAAGCGACGAATCAAAACGCCAACAAGGATGTGACGGAGACACTGTTGTGTCTGGCAAGACACAAAAGCTCTCTCCGGTCAAGCGGAAGATCGATGAGGTTGAGGATCCAATGCAGAACGAGATCGACACAGGGCGGGCAAGTCGATCCCCATTGGTAAGTCAATGTTTCCCGGTTAAACGCACAACGGCAATATGATGATCCTAACTGATGCAGGTGGAGCTCAAGCTGGCGAATACCGTCTCTCTTGGAACTGTTGCGAAGTGTGCTTGTCAGCTTTCAGGGTCTGAAGGATCTAAAGCCGACGCAGGAGATGTAATATCTCCCGGAACTGAGAAACTGAACGATTTTGGGCTGACTTTTCTTTCAGTTTGTGATGCAGCCAATACCCGGAAGCTGGCCGCGTACCCCAACGCGTCCATCTCCCATCAATCACGATCTCTCCAAGGAAGCTTCTGGCAATGAGTCCGGCGTATGTGCCAAGTGCAAACATGGTATGTTATTCGAATGTATCACATTGATACATCCTCCCCCCACCGAAAAAAAAAAAAAAAAAAAAAAAAGGAGAACCTGCTCTGACGTTAAGAACAATAGGCAATGCCATGTCGAGTTCGTCCTTTGTGCCCTCGCCAATTCCTGCACAAAATCAACCAACCTGGGTGGTGTACGCCAAGAGAATCCTCGGAACCGTCAAACGCCAGGTCAGCGAATTCTGCAAAGCCTGCCCCCCGGCTCGCAAATTCATGACCTGGTGCGAATACAGAAAGAGACAGCGAGAGGAGCAACGGAACCAGCGCCAATCCCAAGTTCCAGTTGTTCACGTAACCCCGGCCTCGCTCCCAACGGTTACACCACCCGGTGTTGTCACGCCGCCGACTCATGTCTCGAGTCGTCGATCTACCGAGCCGCGTCCAACGAGCAAGGCTGTCCGAAAGGACAAGGTGCCGTCCCAGCGTGCCAAATCCAAAGATTCCGTCCAGGGAATCTCCAGCGGACGCGTCACGAAAAGCGAAGCTAGTTGGAGAGGTAGATCGATCCAGAGCACCAGCGAGCCCGGCCCTAGGCGCCAGCCAAACAACCGAACACCCTTTAGGGGCTTCGGTCGGTCTAGGGCAGCGAGAGAGCAGGTGCGTCAAGAGCTCGAGACAAAGATGGCGGCATGGTTTACTTCGTCCCCCCGCCCGAATCTTCCATCTCTCCAGGAAGAGATGTTGCCAGTTCAGCCTGAGACACCGGCCAGAACCCCTCTGACTATTGTCGAGGCCCAAGGTGTTGCCTCTGCTGAACCAACAGCAATATCTCAACCTGCGTCTCCCGTCGCCGAGCCGGTCCGCCCCAGTGAAGAACCGCGGACCAAACAGAAGTCTGTCCATTGGTTGCCATCCACGACCCCGCGTGGACGTCCAATCTCGTCAGTCAGGGTTTTTGACCCACAGGCTTCTGTTTTCTCGGTGGCAGCCAAAAGGGAAGATTCGAAACGCCCAGCCGGTCGACCAACCCCCCGAATCCGTCAAGGCCCGATCATCCGACCACTCCCGGCCAAGTGGGAATCGAAAGTCGATACGGCACTGTCCCAACCCGACAGTCGTCAGCTCGGCACCACACTCAGTGGAGATGCCCTGACACGCCGTGACTTTGCGACGTGCGCAACACCGTTGGCTTGGCTCAACGATGAAATCATCAATGCGTACCTCGCATTAATTATCGACTACGCTCGTCGGTCATCGGGTAATTTGGGAAGGCACCACCAGCCAAAGCACCACGCCTTCAATACCTTTTTCTACTCTAGCCTTCGTGACAAAGGCTACGAATCCGTACGGCGTTGGGCATCTCGTGCCAAAATTGGGGGTCCAGCATTGTTGAGAGTGGAGTCAGTTTTCGTGCCCATTCATAACCATGCGCATTGGACTCTCATGGTGGTCAAACCGGCTGTTCGAACGATCGAACATTTTGATTCCCTCGGCGGCAGCTCTTCCGCCTACGTCGCCAAGATCAAAGAGTGGCTCCGAGGTGAATTGGGCAATCTCTTCGTCGAAGAAGAGTGGCGGGTTCTCCCATCGACCTCCCCGCAGCAGAATAACGGCAGCGACTGCGGTGTGTTCCTTTTGACGACCGCCAAGTTGGTGGCGTTAGAGCAGCCCCTGTCGTACGGGCCAAGGGACATACCCGCGATCCGCAAGAGGATAGTTGCCGAGCTGATGAACGGGGGTCTAGATGGAGATTTCGACCCGAAACGAGAGTTCGATGTTAGATCGTTGCTGTAATGGCTTCGTGATAGCACGGCTCTCTCCTCGCCAATTTGATTTCGGGTTGGATGGGATGAGGTTAAACCATAAGAGCGGTATGTGCAGTCAAATTCTAACTTTTCTAACAGGGGAATGAGGGATCAGTTCTGTATATAGCGTTCGTTCCGGGCGTCGTTGGGCAACCTGCGATGTTTCTGGGATGTTACTCCTTTTTTTTTTTTCCAGTCCCATGTAATACGCCTGCCGGACCTGCTCACAGGGTAACCTGCTGTAGTATTGGGCTGGGGGTGTTTCGCTTTTGTTTATAGTAATTCGCTCATCTTGTCCGCCTGGCTGGGGTAACCTGGCTCAGTTGACGGTGAGAAGCGTCTTACGCATTGCAATGCGCCCTCGTTGGCTGCTGGCGGTTTTATTTCGTTGTTGTCTCTTCGCAAAGTCATGTAGTCCCTCATTCCCCTGTTCACGATGCACTTACTTGCTCTCAAGGTCGAACTCGCTGGCAGTATTACGGACAACCACCGGCAAAATCAAAAGGATCGATCGATCTCGAAAGGGTCTCTCTCTGTGGCGGGCAGAAACAGATATTAGCTGGGCATTATTCGCTGACTTCGCGCATCTTCCAAAATCGATAACAACGGGACTTCTCTGGCGTTGATTCGGTGTTTCGACGATGACTCTTTTACCCTGACTTTATATTTCCCTCCGTCGGACGCTGAAAACTTGACATGAGCTTGGGTTGGGGCTCTTAAATATTTATTTCGAACAGGCGTCCAGTCGGCTTGTACCTCCATTTTGGCATATGATAATGGCGTTTTGCGGCTTTACTACAACTTTTGATACAAAAAGACCTGGTCTTGGGTGGTTTACTTGGAGTTCATGAACGATAAGGTTTGGATCTGGTGTTTGGTTTGCTGGGATTGTGCTATAATGAGTGTCTGCTTCTGTTGTTTTTTGACTGGTTTTGCATTCTGGCATAGCTTGGTGCTTTGGTTGGGGCTTTTTTACTTGAAGAGCATTTACGGATGGATACCCCCCTTTTTGCCTACCTTCTGCGTTGTCTTATTTTGCGAAGGGTTCGGTTGAATTGCTTGAAATGATCGAACTGAAAGGAATGGTTTGGGAAGCCCGTCGCATCTTTGGTACTTGGGAATGTTCAAGGGGCAAAAAAAAATAAAAATAAAAATAAAAAAAAATGTACAATATGTATTATTATGCAAGACCGGAAGGCGACGCTACCCCATGAAGGGTGATTGATAGCGTCTAAAAAATTTGAAGACTTTTTTTATCATTTGGTATCGTTGTATCTTTAATTATGGCTTATTGTCTGGCTGACTTTGCTTTTCTTTTTTTTTTTTTTTTTTTTTTTGATCCCTCTCCTCTGGAGGGATAGATCTGAAAAAAGGGTTTCCAGGTGCATAGTTATTTATGTAAAGCTTAAGAAGGCTGAGACTCACTAAGTGTTGTATTTGTGAACTTAGTCCAGGTAATCATCAATTTTTGGGCTATGTATGCTGGCATATCGTCTAGTTACTTGCTACAGAGCAATTAGAGGTAAATAAACATTTGGCCGTCCTGAACGCTGCACATTCTTGATTCCCGTCGTTGGCGTCTCAGTGTTGCTCCCAAGATGCGTCCCACACAACCTCAGGGACGCCGGTCATACCTACGTCGTCAATCTGACAGACAACGGCGCATTCGAGTTTCTCGGAAGGATTCCCACCATCACGATCACCGCTGTGACTATCTTCGTGATCATAATCAGAAGCATACTCGCCCTGGTCGTAGTCGTAATCGCGGTCTTGGTCTTCCTGTTGAACCGGACGTCCATCAGGATTGCCATCATTGCCTTCAGGATCCTTCTCTGGCTCCCCTGCTGCAGGTTTCATCCTGCCCAAGTTGAACCTATGACGCCAACGACTCCTCCAGAAATAGCTACGAAACCGCTCTCCCCAGCGATTGCCATGGCCCACATACTGGGTGTGGGGGTCATGTGTTTCTCCAACGTGCTGACTGGAGGTATTGTATGCGATTTGAATCCATTCAACCCCCATATATACCGATTGGCCTACAGACATATTTCCCGACCACATACCGCCGTCACTCCACAAGTTTAGAACGAGAGCGCTCGGAGACGAAGGCACGCCATAGTCCTTTTCAAGTACTAGGTCGTTATTGAGAAACCAGCGACTTTTGCATCGGAAGCCAGTCAAGACGATGATCAGCCCAGTCCGTCCAAGGAACTTCAATATCGATATCGTCACTGGCCTCGGGGATCATTTCATCGGTGGTCGGGTCCCAATCCGGCTGGTTGGAGTAGTGCACACGATTAGGAGGGTCAATGGTAAGAATTTCAATGTCCGATTCGCTGTTTCGGGAGTGATAGGTGAATATCCCGGCAACGGCACCGCCGGGGGGAGGTAGTATCTTGCCCGACCCACCCTGGGAAGTTGAGTAGAGCCGCATGCGAACGCGGTAGGAACAGTGGAGAATATTCTCCGCCGAGGTCTGGACTTCGGCAGTTGAAGTGTACTCCTCATGTCTGGTTGAGCGGAGTACCAAATGGTATGATCCGTCGGAACTGCTTGCCTTGCCTTCGGTGATGTAGACGTTGTCATAGGAGTGGACGATGCTGATGGGGAACAGCGTAGACCCGACACGGTGCCAGCTCTGGATGTTCCATTCCTTAAAGAAGGCGTGTCCATTCAGGGCGTGATGACGACTGTTGATCCCCGTGGGTCCCATATTCTCCCTATCTTTCTCCTTTTTGTCATTTTTCTTCTTCATGCCCTTTTTCGGGGTGTCTCTCGCGGGAGCAGGCCGGAAATCATAGAAGCGGTAATGCTGGAAGTAGCCTGGCTCCGGCCCGGAGACCACGTAACAGTCACACTTGGGTGCGACAATATGTTGCGCGACCCGCTCGGTAGTGCTGTTAGAAGTGGAAACATCGCTCTGCAAATCTGTCTGTGACGACAAAGAGACGAGAGATCCCCCTAGGAGGATGATGAAAAGGAGAGAACTCATGCCTGCGACAGTCTCTATTTTTGAGAGAGGAAAGACGAAAGAGACAGCGGAGAATATGTATACGTTCTCTGTATGAAATTACGAGTACTGACTATGGGTATAGATATGGAGCAAGCAAGGTCTGCTTTGAGGAGGAAATTTCTGGCCGCCAGGTTCCCCTATATCGAGGGAAGCAGATGCCCACCAAGGTGAACGCACGGTGGAAGGTGCTCGCTGGAAAGACATGCTTTTCTATGTTTCCGTGGTTCCAGCGCAGTTAATGGCGAGGAGCGGCATCCGGTAGCCTCAGGGGTATGGACGAGGTCATCGTCCCTTCTGTTGAAAAATGCCCATGATACACCGTTTTTAAACTGCATTTCTCGCCAACAAAGATAGAGAGGCTGTATTTGCAAGACATCTCATCATCATCATCATCATCATCATCATCATAATAATATGGACTACAAGATCGACAAGAACTTCGTCTTATAGGCACAGAATATACGGCTCCATCAAGGAAGGGAAACGTAGACTTCGTTATCAGGGGCTGGCTCGCTGTGGCCCCCCTTTTTCTGAGCGCCCGGATTTGTTTGGTGGGTTCTCGTCAGGGAACCAATCACATCGAAACCAGCCTCATGATTAGTCAACCTGCATCGGAATGGAATATCATTTATCCACTCAGCTGCCTATTTGAGCCATGTCCAAAAAAGGAAAGTGACTCTTTCCACGTCTGATCATAGGGCGGAGGGGAAGGAACAATCCAGCAGATTCCTTCCGATTCCACCTTTGACGCTGTGTTGAGTCAGCTGAGAGTGAAATGTCAGCGAGTGAGACGGAGAGCGTGAGTGAGACAGGGAAACGCCACTACATACAGAGTACATACATGATGTTGGTTGGGTCCACTTCATCTCTTGACAAGAGAGCATCGACCTTGGCTGCCATTCATATACTGCTGTTTATAACAGATATTAACCCACTGCGTCTGCTCTTCCTTGCATCTCTGTGTTGCTGCTCCACGACCATGTCCCCCTGATGAAGCTGGGTATTCATTACTGGATCCAAAGACGAGCCAACTACAAACGGCCAACCTTTGCCAGAACCTTCAAGGACTCTCTACCTTAACCTGGGAAGCCCCCCTGGATTGGTCTGGGCCCGGTACCCAACCCTCCTGATCTTTGAGGGTTTCACATCTGGTGGAATAGAAATGTACTGCTCCAGATATGTGTCTGTGAGGCAAAACGCTTGTCAATCGACGTTTGGCTCCCTCTGTGATAGGTGCCTAGCTTATCATTCCAGTGATGATGTGAGGACGACAGACCCTGGACTGAAAAAGCCTGCAAGTGCGTGTTTTGGAATCCGCCTACCCCCTTCATTGAAGGATAGGCTAACAGACCCTCTGTAGGCTGCTCCCATGAATGTCATACCCGCGAATCTATTGTGTCATCTTTGAAAAAAGTTGACTACAACTCTTCACGGGGGTACTCCGCTCGTGGACACTTGATTTCGTTGATTTGCCCTTGGCTCTTTCTTGTCAGTATTTCGGGACAAGGAGACTGCCAATCGGGACGTCTGCCCTGCCGTCTCAAGGAGGAAGCCTGGCGAGCACAGTCGCCACCAATGCCAGTACCAATGACTCAAGATTTCGGGGAAGATGAAGAAGTTTTGTAGACAACCGCAGTCGTTGCAGAATACGCCCAGCTATTTGCGGATTATTTGGAATGCCGCAGGCGAAATTATGCCTGTATTCCGCAGCGGGCTCCCAGCAACCCTGGGCACACCCGCCTCAGAAATCCTGCGGCCACAGGACAAATGATTATTTTTGAATCCAGAATACTCGGATCAGGTAATTTGCTCTGGTATGTTCAGGGTACTGCAATGATTCGCCCCGGTCTTTCCAATGATGGTCAGTTCAATAGGACCAGGATAACGATCCAGGAATGAGCGATGCCGCAGACCGGCGGCTTGTCGTCAGGATGAATCATTGCCTATTGTCTCTGATTCCAACAGTCACCCATCGCTGTTCGCATCCTGTCACGTCACAGGACCTGTGAATGGCATTTGGACGGACAGCGCCGCGACGCGGGAATCACACGAAGTCATGTGCCCATCATGTCAGCCAGGGTTTGCCGCCCATTGGCAGAACATCAATTTTCTTTTGCAGTTTTGTTGTCACACCACCTTTCTGTCTGATTCTGAGGTTTATTAATTACAGAGCAACAGGCACCAAGCCACTAGCGTCATACGCCCTTCTTACCTTTGTTACACGACCCTGGAACAGAAGCAAACTGGATCAACGCCACGCGCAGAGACAATGATCGCAACAATTTGCTCCTGGCCAATCACCCAGCAACCGGTTGTCCCTTTGAGGCCCGGGCGGAACTGGTCGGCCAATCACTGGTGGCTGCCAATGGCTTTTACGAAGCCGACGCTGCCTTGGTTTTGAGCTTAACTATTTTAAGAATAGTTAAGTTTCTTCCGCACATGAAAGGAACTGGTCACAGGTTGTTTGGTCACAAATGGCACAGTTCTGGTCTTTCACCTCTAAAAGCCTGGAAGGGTTGTCCTCGCCCTGCTATGGTTAATTCTTTGTCTTTATGACTGTTTGGGCTCCTTTGCTGCTTTTCTCCAGTCGCTGGCACTTCTGACTTGTTGCCTTGCCTTCTTTTGCCACGTCCGCAGGGCCTTGGGTTGGAAGAAGTGCAAAATTCTCAGCCCAACAGCTGCTGGGCACACTGCTGTTCTTGGCACGGAATCAGTACCGCATTGGGCCTAGTCGGGTTTCGAATACGAGGCCAGCGCATGCAAGCGAGCGCCGAGCCTGCTGAGCTTCCTGATCCGGCATAGTGCTTTGGTGTTGTGCATCATCCGCTCATGTCCGGGCGGCTTGACTTTATATCGCCAACTTGTCGGTGTTCCCGCGACTCCTTTTGCCCTGTCTGCCAAAATTGGTCATTGTCTTGTCTCTTTGATCCCAAGTGCCGCTTCCACTTTGAATTCCATCCCCATCTCCTCCCTATCGATGCCGATAAGATAATCCAGATGATACCGATACAGTACCACACCAGCATATCCTAAATCAACTTGCAACTTTATATCTTTCAAAATGGACATTGCGTTGTGTTAGGGACGATTCCACGGTGATTCCCGTTCGCTGAAAGATGATGTCCACCGTGGAGAGAGGGAGCACCCTTCTCAGCAGATCCTCAAGCATGACAAGCACTATTTCAGTGAAGCGAGAACTTACACCCCAATCCTCCGTATCCGATCCTGCTCTTCATCATATCCACGACCGCCTTGACCAGCTCGACTGCAAAGTGCGAGAACTCCATTCCACCGTTCTGACAAAGAACGGTTATGTTGACCGACGAAACAAAGAAGATGAATCAATACTACGAGAATTTGACGCCCAAAGATCCCTCACATCCAAAATTGAACATGCAGTTGGCAAAACAAAAACCGACGTTAATCAGATCCGAATCGACGCCTCCCATTTGAGGACTGAAATCCTGCAGCTCAGAACCCATGTTGATGAACTCGGATCAAACGATGCACTTCTGCATAGCAATGTCAGTCGCGTACAGAACGCTGTCAACCAACTCCAACTCGATGTCCAACGGCTTCACACAAACGTATGCACAACAGGAGCCGATGTGTGTCAAGTTCAGGCTATCGTTAGCCAGCTTCGGACGAGAATGAACCACACAGAACGGGTTCGTTTTAACTCTCTTGCACACACTGTCCACGCTCCAATCACCCCTGTACCGTTTGTTGAAGAGGATGGAACCGTTCGATGGCCAGAATTCTTCCCTAGAACTGTCTGGAAATTTTGGTGTTTAAAACGACGAAATAGGGGTGAGCATTACCTCTAAAAAAACGCAGATGAAGTACTGATCTCCCTTCCCCCTGACTACAGTTCACCGACTTGTTGAATTAGCGGAGTTTTACCAGCTGGAGGGATACCAATACTGGGGACGCATGCCACACCCCCATGGTTCAATATTTCCAGGAGACGGATATTTGAGTGATTCCAGTGACTCCAGTGACCTACCATCCGATCTGACTCGCGCCGAAGCTGCCCGGCTTTATCCAGAGGCTTGCCATCAGGCTTTGGCTGCCACATTAGGTTTGGTCTATTATAAAATTCGAAATGAAGTGGGCGAAGGCCCGAATCAGCACATCATCACAACTACCCACAAACGGGCCCACGACGAAATTGGATCGATAGCCTCGGGGAAACCGAAACCAGCGAAGCTCTCTCGACGATCGAACGAAATCTCTCCAGCGGCCCTCCACAAAATCGTACCGCCAGGCTCTGCTGTTGATACTAAATCCATTGTTTCAGAAGGCTTGGACAAGCTCGGCTGGAATGCATATGGCTCTCAAGTATCCGACGAAGCAATGAATAAACTCAAAGACATTGTTACAGACGAAGTCAATTCCCTCCTTCTCCAGGCCTTGGAACGTGGTCGTATTAAGATTCAACCAAGCCGAATGGAACGAAATCAAGCCTCACCAACAGGCTCCGCGAAGCTCAGTGCCCTGTCAAGATCGCCTGGCGCAGATGGTGCTGCAAGCTCGGGTGATGAGGATATGCGAACAGTTGCTACGGAGATAATATCCCCTGTCTCTTATTCTGAAGATGGCCGTTGGGCTAAAGAATAGGAATTCGACTACCAGAGTCCCTTTCCTTCGGTATATATATTATTTTTTTTTCGGTGTTTGGCGGCGTTTATCAGGCATGCTTGCTCAAGCTTTTAACACAACCATACGAGTATTTGATATGGTTCAGGAGTCTTATGGGCTACGAAGTTCATACTCTTCCTCTTCCTCGACCTTACAATATTGGCGTCCGGCGGAAATTAGATCACGTTGATATTGTACCATAGCATGCATGATACCCCCAAGATCGCCTCATGACGGATATGACCTACTACTATTCATCGACAATGGCCGGATTGGCGTCGGAGTTTCCAACCACTAGCTTCGTCTTCTCTATATCCGGCGTTTTCAATTTGCGTCCCAAGGTACCGAATACCGACATACCTACGACCTTGCTCTCTATTATCTGATGAGATGTTCTATTTGAATCGCGCATTCTTTTTAATGGAGTTTTGTTTTGGAGTATTCTATTGTTTATGCTTTAGCTTGTTTTGTCTCATCCCACTATATACCCTCCTCGTCTATTATTCTACACCTTGGTAAAAGAAGACGGTTGCTCAGTATAGCCACATTGCTCCCAGCAAGATGGGTCATTGGCTGTGCGCGTATAGTCTTGTACTCTGGGCGTTGTTGTGTCTGATAACACCCTTAGCTACTTCGTAGATTAGTGACCGTGGGTAAATATGCTTATTAGCATATTCAACAATCCTACTCTGTGCCTTTCTAGATAACTATCATGACGCATGTAAACACAAAGCTGCCTTTGAATTTCGCCGCGACACGATGTCGTAAATTGAAGTAACCCTTGTCCGCTGTTGGATCACGCTCTCTCAGCCTCCATCTCGGATCCTTGACATGCTTACAGGGGCCAGGAGGAGTTTTCGGATCGTGTCGGAACATCCTTCTAAAACGGCCCTGAGCGCCTAAAACTGCGAAGTACGGATTCATGAATCCAGAAATTAAAAATGGAATAATATTTTTCAACCCTCCTAAAACTACTACATACCAATCCATATCTGACCAGAGGTCCCAAGGTTGCCCGGAGTGAAATATACCCTGACTGGCGCGTCAGGTTTCAAAGGTAAGGTACTCCGTACTAAGAAGAGGAGAGTACAGGCTTCCCCTCGTATTATCGACAGAAGAGGAAGAGGGAAATTTAGAGGAACCTTGGGAGGAAGGGGAAAGTCTGTACGTCGACAACCTGAAGGAAAAGAGAGGAAGAAATAAAAAGTTACAAGGTATACACGCACACACATACACACCCCCTGAATACATACGAAGAAGGGAATCTAAACAAAGGAAAGAAATACAGAACAGAAATACAAACCGTATGTAGGGGACACAAGAGGAAAAGAAAGAGAAAAAAAAAAAAAAAGAAAAAGAAAATAAGAAAAAAAAGAGACTAAATGAATGCAGAACAAAAAGAAAAAAAAAAAAAAAAATAAGAAAAGTGCCACTGCAAAAATGTATACATCATTCCGTTTCCACATTGCGGTTTTATCAGGACAATCTGCGAAGATAATTTATTCACGCAACAACATGTACAGTGCCGGCTCTCATCGTGTCGTGGCTGGCACTCTTGTGAACGGTCTCACCGCTCTGCTGGTCGTCGGCATCAGCCTCGTGCGCACGCTCATCATCATCCTCTAGGATCCTAGTTGGCAAATCACCAGGTCCGTATTGCTGACTCGATCGCTCTGGCATCGTGGAGCTGCTCACCATCGACATGGACGTGCTGGAGCGATTGTGCACGAGATCAGGCGTCGGTGGGATGCTGGAAATGCTGGAGTTTCGACCGTCCGGGGTAAGGAGGTTATCACCATGTTCGCTCCCTGGACGGGAAGATGGCTCCTGGCTACCGTCTTCGTTAGGGTGGAGCTTGTTGTTTCGTTGCTCCCTCTCTTGTTTATTGGCCTCATCCTCGAGCTCAGCGTCTTGCGCGAGGTGGAGGCCTTCGACGGCAGCGGCACACTGTTCGCTGATGTTGCGGATAATGTCGGCAATAGCATCAGTCTTGGCCCGGAGATGGCGGTCTGCGACGTCGGTGATGCTAAGCTGGGAATACCGCTTGTGTTTTCCGAGGCCGAGGAGTTGGCTTTCCATCTCTGGGCTCACATCGTCGCCATCAACACTGCCGGCACGGCTTGATGCACCGAGTCTAGCGATGGATCTGCGAGCAGAAGGGGTCTTGGATCGATCACCATCGCATTCTTCGTCTTCTGGAAGATCTTCGAAGCTCTCATCGGCATATTCAGATAATTCGGGTACATCGCTGATAGACCGGATAATGTGCTCCATATGGTGATTCTGAGCGTTGATAAGGCTCCGAAGATGAAGGACCACGCGCTGGGCTTCATCGCGCTGTCGGGTAAGGGTTGTATTGGTGTGTTGAAGGGCAGAAATTTCTTTCTGGTTGCGTTGCCTCTCTCGCTCCAACTCTTCTGCAATTTCTTGCTGCAGAACAAGAGCTTCCAAGGCGTCATCGCGCTGTTTCTCAGTACCCGAAAGACGCATGGTGAGACGGGCGGCATCGTCCTTCTGCTGGTCAATAAGTGCAGTAAGCCGACGATTCTCGCGCTTATGGCTTTCAATCTTGACTTTGAGTTCTGAGGTTTCTTTGGTGAGTTGCTCAGCGAATGCTTGAAATTTGAGGAACTGGATGGCCATGTTAGATAAATTTGTAGAGGAAATAAACGGCATTCAACCGGCGGGGGGGGGTTAGCGACTGACCTGCTGCTTCCACGTCTCGAGCTCTTCAACCAAGAAGTTGTTTCGTTTGTTGACCTTGGACAGTTCAGTATCCATTCTTCCTTTGAGGTTAATGAAGTCCTGCCATGCCTCAAGAGCGTCTCTCGAGTACTGATTCCGCTCTCGAACAATTTCATTAAGATGTCTCATGGAGATCTTGGTCATCAATGGCTTCTTCACGGATCCACCAAAGATCGCCTTCACTCCAGTGTTGCGGCCCTGCTCACGGTTAGATGACGAACAACCTGACGTATGAGGGGAGATCGAGCTCACCAATTTCTCACAAACATGGTCCATCACAGCCATCACTGCATCCTGGTTCCACCAGCTGGGGTCCTGGATGCTTTCCACTTCGCCTCTCATAACAATAATCTGACCGGCTGGGATCAACTTCCCTCCACCGTAGGCGGTTCGGAGATGTTGAGGCACACCGCTAGGGCTAACATCACCATTGAGCGCCTGCGTCAGGCGGTTAATCATCTTGGTTCTCTGTCCTTGGGTCAAAATATTTGGTGGGCTGGAAGTCAAGACGAAGTTACGATCCAAATCGACGACCAATGCGTCAGAAGGTGCTGCGAAGAGAGTTCGGCACTCAGCGGTAACACCCAAGATATAAGGGCCGGGCTCTTGCACCAGCTCCTTCACATGCCGAGCATGCACGACTGGGTTGTACAAGCCGCTCCATTCGTACACCCGGACGCAGAATCGAATGGTCTCGGCAGCAATTGTCAAAATGGCGGGATAGTGGCTGACAAAAATGATACGGCGCGTTGGAGAAACAGCCGCTTCAACAACACCAACGATGTTCGGGATAGACAAACAGTTGAACAGTGGCCACATGGCAAAGTTCTGGAAGCCAGTTGGCGAAGAGGGGAATTGATAGCATAGAGCATAATCTTTCATGTCGATACGGACCAAGTCGTTAAGACGTGGCGCGGGGAAGCTCAGAATGCGCGAGACCTCCTCTGCATGGAAGAGATTTGTCGCCTTGTTCCAGTGAATCCACATTCCACGGAGATAGTCTCCCAGCAGGTTGTAGAGTGGATATCGGGACAGGAAGCTTAGGCAGTACGGAATCCAGTAGGTCTCCTCTGGATTGTCATAGAAGTCGGGTTCAGTTTTCTTGCGAAGTTCTCTGATGGTCTCGGCGCGCTTCTCATCGGCGCGGGACCAGACACGCAGGGCAATGCCGTAGAGAGTGTGAGTCGAGTCCTGTTGAAGAACGAACGAATGGTGCACGCAATGAGGCTGGCTCTTGCCAGTGCAGATTTCAACGTCGTGAGGGAAACAGGCCTGTTCATCGATCAGTACATGTCTCATAGAGAGAAAGCAAAAAAAAAGGTCGCCCCATCACACAGTGCCTGTGGAGTTCCTTTCCTTTCCACTTACCCTCATTGCCGCATGTAATGCCCTTGCAATCTCATTATCCTGTTCCAATCGCGGGCTGCTTCCCAGAATCTCTGGGAGCCAAAACTGGCCGACCGCTCCCTTCATATGGCCGATCTTTCCCTGGGACGGTGGAGGGGCCTTAACCCATTGAGAAGGCTCACGGCCCACCCCACAGACCATGTAGGCGTGGGTGAGGGTCTTGGGAATCCTCTGGGCGGGCTTCATGTTCAGGGTTGAAGGAATGGGCTGCGTGATGCGCGAGTGCAGAGAAGAAGTGCGGCTGGGGATGACCAGCGAGCTGTCTCCCTGATCGCCACGAGTGAGGGGACGGTCGCGGGTTGAGGGACGAACGAAGGAGGGGTGGTCTCTCAATGAAGGCGCCATTGCTAACAAAAATGGCTGGATGATCGACTGTTAAACAAACGGTGATGGTGCGACTCGGGCACTATGTGTGTGTGTGTGTGTGTATATGTGTTGTGTATGTGTACAAAGCTTCAGCCGGACAGATACCCTTGGGAGACTTTGACCGGATGGGAGAACCTGCACCCAGTTTTCACCTGAAGCTCGAGAAGGACAAAAACGGTATAAGGAACCAACAAACACAATTGAAATCGAGATAAGAGCTCTCTGCCAGAGTGACAAATGGGGGGGAGGGAGTTGGAAGAGACGAAGGGTACCTCGACAGGTTAGTCCAAACAAGGCCTGTTAGGGTGTATTCTGTCTCTCTCTCTCTCTATCTCTCCCTATTAACGAACGATAGCGACAAGCAGTGAAATGCCTCGCTGCGAGCTCCAGGCTGCGGTTTAGGACACGAGAGGACACCTCATCCGTCACTGCTTCATCGAGATCAATTTTAACAGCGGGATTGGCAGAAAGGATTGGGCATGCAAGAGGGATAGCAGAAGGAAGACGACGACTACGACGAGGGATGAGAGAGAGGGAGAGGAGAGGAGAGGATATAGATCCGGGATGGGAGGAGAAGGGGGGGGCGCCGCAAGAAAAGTGCGGTTTTTTTGGGGGGAAGACGGCGAGCGGACAGGGGGCACAGGGAGAGCTAAGGCTTGACCCGGCCGCACCCACTCCAGGCAAGGGGAAAAAGCAACAAAATGGGCTCGACCGACGGCACTTTAGCAGCCCTCTCGCTCGCATCGCTGCATCCCACGGCCCTGCGCTAGCCACCGACGCGGCCGCAAACCTACGCTCCAAGCAGCCAATGATCCGTGATCGCGAGCCCACTGCTCATCTCCAGCGACATGCTCCACCCGGGCCATCCGCTGCCCTCCAGAAAGAAAGAAGAAAAAAAAAAAAAGGGCAGCGGGAAAGGCAAAAAAAAAATGAGTTTAGAACAAAACCTCCTCGGCCATGGCACCAGGCTAACGACTGCTATCCCCGTTGATTCGTCACATTCTAAGATGAGACTCCGCTCCTGGGCTTTCGTGACATCCGACGTCTGAAACTCTCACATCCCACGATCAGGCGCGGGTGGTTGAAACTCGATCGCTCCAAAAACACCATCGTTGAGCTGAGGGTGGCCGATCTGTTTTGGAGTGGTAGTTTCTGAAGGACAGCAAGAGGTGCATCGTTCGTGCGAGTTTTTCTTACGGCCCAGTTCGGCGAGCCGGTGTCTCTCTCCTCTTTTCCTCTCTATATCTCTCTCTCTCTCTCGCTCTCTCGAACGCCGAGAGGAACGATAGATCAGCATTCTTCCCCACCCACAATCTGCGGCCCTTCGACCCAGAGGAACTTGTCTTCTCGCAATCATAGTTTTTGCTCTATGTTCTGGCGTGGGTCTCCCAAGGTGCCTGGTCGCCCGCCTTTTAACCATGGTTCTTCCCGAACTGCCGGTAAGTCAATTCAAATAATGGGAACGGATCAAGGGACTGCTGTCAATGCACTCCGCATTATGTGGATGTTTATCTCGGCTCGGTTCAGGCGTCAACTACCCTCGGGCGGGATCTCGAAGGTACGTACGATAATACGGAGTAAACCCAAGGTGCAACTGCTAGCGACAGAGAGAGGTGCCTGGTTCCTTGAAAAGCGTGGCAGCACCTGGCCAATACCAGTCCGATTATATCGCACTTGACAGCGTATCCCTGCTCGACAGAAGAGTCTGCAGCTGCGCAGCTGCCGCTGTATAAAAATGAGGAGTCGATCATCTGATCCTGCTACTCCGTAGCTATGCATTATTATTATGATTATGATTATTATTATTATTATTCACCGAGCAGCTTGTTGCTTTGACCTCTTCCAGCTCCCTGGATTGACTTTGGTTCAAGTAGCCGGGGGTTGGGGGAGCGACGATGTGCGGCATTTCGCAACCTTCTCCTCTTCGTCTCTTTATTCCATGGGATCATCGCCAAGCAGGCCTGATTGATCCTTTCCAACTCTAGAAACGTCTCAAGAAACGATCTCTATTCCCTGGCTATGATGGAGGAGAAAAATGCTCAAATATCTCCATAAACAAAATATCGCTCCAAACCCCAGTTGGCGGAAATAGCCTTTGGCAAACAAAAATAGGGGGCCGAAACGCAAACAATTTACGGAGTACATATACAAAGTACAGAGTACATGAGCTCCGAATACAGCCTACGGTGAGGGCAAGGTTCATTGCCATCTCCTTGGATTATCCTTCGTCCTTTGGACAGAGAGTATATATGTCCGTTGGTAGAGTATATGAACCAGAGTGTGAGGTTACTCCATTTACGATCGAGTCGACCGCCGTACCTCAATGGAGTCTCTGAGCCACCGTGATTCGATATTTGCACACCGCTCCAATTAAAAAACGAAAAAGGCTCTCAGTCCAAGCTGGATCCTTCTCTTTACGCAAGGGACACTACCATCGTATCATGGATTTCTTAAGCTGTTGAACAGGGCTGATACGTTGAATGCGCTCCGTTGCTCCGTCACCGGGCTGAATATGGATGTCGTGGAACCAGTGCCAACTGGGTAGCCCAGACAACGTCAGAAATGACAGCCCATCATCTTCTATGCTCGTGAGGTTTGATCCTCAAGGTGTAGCAGAGACAGACCCTGCAGACGCATTTACTGCTTCGACTTGAACCCTTCATGCACATTAATTAAAAAAAAAAAAAAAAAAATGCACCCCAGCTTATTCTCTCTCTATAACTAATAGTATCCCGCAGCAATCCTCGTTGGATTGGGGATTCCGGCGACACTCTCAAAGAAAATGGAGATCGGTGAGAATATCGAAAAATCGATCAGTCTGGAGTAAAATGATCGACCGCGTTTGCGACCGAATTCGCGGAAGAGCCGGTATCAGGAATTCACACGACGTAGGCTGCATTTATCTTCAGAATATCAACTATCGAGATACTCTGTACTTAGATGCCATAGAGGTCCCCAAGACGGTATCTTGTTGAATTCCCGAGGCAGATGTGTGGCTGGCTGATCGCACGGTGCCGCCGCTATCGCAGCCTTGTAGCAATTGTCGGTCAATCGATCGATCGCATCGAGAGGAAATGGCAAGATTTGGCTTTCGGTTGGACTCTCATCCACCAAAACTCTGCCGAAACTTAAAAAAGCCCAGCCGAACGAAAACAGCAAAATAATGTCATCGTGAAGTGAAACCCATAGTTAATTAACAGTTACAAACTTGAATCAGCAAAAAATTCAAGCTGTGAACCCCCGGGCTGTTCAAGTAAAGCAGAGAATCCAGCTGAACCCGAGACAGGCCAAAAACGAGGTGCATATTTTTCTGCCGTCGCGAATCGGATTCACACCCAAGCTTCGAAAACATGGCCGGGGCATCTCTCTCCGAGCTATGCACGATCTGGTAAGCTCGTCCTCTGTCTGTCTATCGTGGTTTTGTCCATGATCTGACATCCTTGAATACGTGCAGCCACACCCACCTTCCCAAGTACACCTGTCCACGCTGCTCAACCCGCACCTGCTCACTACCTTGCTCCAAGCGCCACAAACTCTGGTCGCAGTGCTCCGGCGTCCGCGATCCAGCGGCCTATCTCAAGCGGAAAGAACTCGCAACGCCCGCCGCTTTCGACAAGGATTTCAACTTCATCACCGAGATCGAGCACTGCCTGGAACGCGCGGATCGAGATGCAGAGAATCGAGGGATCATGCTGGAAGATGAAGAGAGGAGCAAGAAGAAGAGACGGACGGGGGAGTTTACAAAGGGAGAGGCATTGCTGAGGCGCATCGAAGAGAGTGGGGTGGATGTGATAAGAGCGCCGAAGGGGATGACGAGAAGTAGGCAGAATATGTCGCAGTGGCATAAGAAGTACGTCTCGCTCTGGCCCTGGTGCCGACTCCGGCTTGTGCCTTGGAGTTCTGTTTCATGATCTCGTTGTAGCTACTGACAGTCGTGGTTTAGGCATAAGTGCGTGAATTGGACAGTAGAGTGGATCTTCCCGGACGGGCAAAAGACGATTACTAGGTGTCTTGAGACGATCACGATTGGGACTGCTTTTTCGAGGACCCCTTACGCGAAGGAGCATGACCTCGTTGAAAAAGAGCAGACAAGCAAAGCCGAGCCCATGCGATCAATTCCGAGTTCAGATTCAAAAGAAGAACCCGAGCCACGACCCGAGCTTGACGCTGGGAAAGAGATCACTGGAGAAGCTTCTCGCGATGGGGGAGAGCGTTCTCGTACCCTCACACCCGAGGAATCTCTACCTCTTACCGGACAATCAAACCCGGAACAACTGTCCACGAAGACTGAGGATCAAAATACCAGTACGAATGAGAAGGGTACACCGAAAATCAGCCCCGAAATTCACCTTTACCTCCACCGGCCCCGAACGCGCGCCAATATACCAGTTCTCGTCCCCCTCCCTGCATCAGTGACTTTATCCGAAGCTCTCAGAGGCAGGAAGGTCCTTGAATTTCCAACACTATACGCCTTATCTCTCCCTCCTGATCAGCTCGCTGGTGGAGAATATATGCTTGAAGCAGACTATCTGGCGCAATACGGAGCGGAGGAGAAAATGGCAGAAGAGCAAGGGAACAGTGATGGTCAAGGGGTCGGCCAATATATGGCGGATGAAGCCCAGAAGCTGGAAAATGTCGACGAGTCCAAGGTCTTGGAAGTTTTGAATAAAGATCTAGGTGGCGAAGAGTGACCATTGTTATGTCGCTGAGTCCATCACTGTCTGATTATGATGGTACGGCTTGCGACATATGATGTTGGCTCCGTGACTACCTCTGCATTCTATACCCTGCTTTTGTCCCATCTTGGCAAAAGGGTTGGATCGGGTAATAGATTACGAATGCCTAATGGCGAGCTTCCATGAGGGTAAAGAATGCCAAATTTGCAACTTCTGCCCTTTACCTAAAGTTGTACTATTTATAATAGTTATCATAAATTCTCAGCACGTTCGATTGAGGCTCAATGCAATCCAAGGATATATATGATGTAATCCTGTTTACACATTGCGTTTAAACGTTTAATCAATGACCCGAAAGGTATTCTGGATGGGAGTAGGTCTAAGTCATCTATCCCATTGCTCTAAGCCAGCTTCCCTGGAACAAACGGGTGACCGGCACTCAATCCTCCACAGACTGCCCAGGCCTGTCCGTTCACATAGCTGCTCTCATCACTGCCTAAAAACAACGCCGCTCTTGCAATTTCATCCGCAACAGCACCTCTCCGCAGAGGGTTCAATTGGCCGATCTTCTTCTCCGTACCCCTTGCCCGCGCCATGTCGTACATGCCTTTCGTCATACCTGTCTCAACCACGCCTGGGCAGAGGGCGTTTACACGGATTCCAGTACCGGCGAGCTGGAAGGCGCAGGTTTGTGCGAGCGAGACAACGGCGGCTTTGGATGCGGAGTAGTCTGTTGAGCCGGCGTTGGAGCGAAGACCGGCGACGGAGGCGGTGAGGATGATGCTACCTGACGGGTAGGGTTTGGAGGCAGAGGTGGTCTGCATTGCGAGAGCGGCGTATTTGGTTGCGAGGAAGGGGCTGGATAAAATGTGAGTTTGGCATTGCCCATTAAAAAAAATAAAAAAAAAAGGAGGGTAATTCTTTGTTTTATTTGGTTATGAGATGTTTGGATACGCACCCCTTGGCATTTGTTTCCATTGTCTTCATGAAATCATCTCCGGTGATTTCGGTGAAGATCTTGGGCTGGCCGACGATGCCTGCGTTGGCGAACATGATATCCAGCCGACCGTATCTCTGCATGGCCTCGTCGACGACGGCTTTAACCTGCTCTTCATTTCCTGCGTCGAATTGGCGAGCGTGGATGTCGACGTTTGGATAGAGGGACTCGAGCTCCCGCTTGTGCACGTCGAGATAGGTGGAGGAGAAGTCACAGATGAAGACCGCTTTGGCGCCATTACGGGCAAACTGGTGGGCAGAGGCGCGGCCAATGCCGATGGGCGAGTTGGTCCCGGTGACGATGACGACTTTGCCTTTGCAGCGACTGTTATTATCATATCAGTGAGTGTACAATGTCAAGGCCGTTGCAGAAGTGTATACGTACGGTCCCACGGAATCGGGGGCAACCTCCCTGATGTGAGGAATATTTTCGAAGGTGCCGGCGTCGGGTATGCCCTCGACGAGCTGCTGGCTCAAGGCCTGTAGCCTCCTTTTCGCAACGGCAGTCATATCGAAGAAGCCTGGAAAGTTACAGGGCAGAAGTGGACAGCACCGGGAAACGAGGGAAAAAGACCAAAAGAAGGGCTATGAATCCTCAGCCGGAATCTTTCCAATGGCTATATGAACAGAAGACGGTTGCCGGCAGCATGGAGGGCGCGCCAGTTCGGTGCTGCTGACGAGTGACACGGAGAGCTGCGTCCACTCGTTTCGCCGCGCTTGAACGGCTGAACTGCGCTCGAACTTCCGAGGTTCAACGAGCAGAAGACGAACCTTAATAAAACATAATCACACTAGTCCTGGTCTGGCTAGCGCAGAATATTGTTATACAATCTCGGATAAATATAGATCCATTTCTTGGCGTTTCAGCCCACGTGTCACGTCATCGCCCAAAGCGGAAAGGCGGCTGATCAGTCAGCAGCGGTCGCCCGCGATGACGAGATGATACATGATGCGTCAAGGACTGCCAGTTCATTTGTTGCTGTGATCCTTTTGCTCGCTGTGTCTCCAGGCCTGTGTCACTCTCTTCCTCGACGGTTTGCGTCCAGGTGGCCTCAAAGGATTTTCCGCCAGCAGAGTGAGCAAGCGTTGACTGGCCCTTCAATGATTCTAAGATTGCTTTCAGAAGCAGGGTTTCTTACGGACCCCCCTAAAATTGCGCTCTAGACCTTTTCTTTTTTTTTCCCACATCCTCGCCAGCTTTTTGCAGGAAGATATATCGGATAGAAAAAGGCATAAGGATGCTTACAATCTCAGGAAGACAGGGACTTGACTGATACACCCGTTCTTTTCCGTCTCGCCCCTCTTCACAGCACCATTCATGCATAGCAGAGGAAATCCTACTCGCTTCTCCTCTTGAGAGCAATTATGGCCGAGCCAATCGTCCGCCCTGCTAACAGCCAAAAGCGATCATCTTCACAGACCTCTACATCGTCTCGGAGGAGCCAGAAAGCGAAAACTCTTCGGGGAAAACCACCGCAACGACTTTCGACATGTTCCTCTACCCAGTCGACAGACCTTACCTCTTTCCCTTCCTTATCTCCAGATAGATCACCGGCGGGTTTCTACGGCGAGCCTGCAATAAATCACGCCCTGAGCCAGGCGTTATTGCTAGAGGATGATACACGGACCCAAGGAGCAGAGCGTGGACGCAAAGCTACCCTTGCTGGCCTCACAACGAGCCTGCCTCAGGTTGCCGGTCGGGCTGCCTTGTTCAGCGACTCTGTCCCGTTTCAAGACGTGCCGGGCTCGCTCCACCTTGCCGGTGACGACCATATTGAACGGCTCATTGCTCGTACAGGTGCCATAAAACTGGTGAGACAGTTTGCGAGGGATCTCGCCCTGCGGGATGCTGAAATATCGGCACTGCGGCTCCGTGCCGACGAAAGGGAGCGTGAACTGAAAAAGATGCTTCGTGAAATGGAAGTTTCGAATCAAGATATTGAACGTCGCCTCTATGTGCTTGAGAACCCGGCGGACGGACAGGAAGCTGACCGTGGGTCTGATCAAAAAACCTCGTCGACTGAGCAGCGGAATCATACCGTCACTATCGACCACATGATGAACCAAGCTATGCTCGATGATGTTGGTGGCCTGATTCTTGATGCTACAGCATATGATAAGGGAAAGGACGATTTACAGGCGACTATCCGTCCCAACCGCGTTGACGGCGATACACGATCTGGCAATTCGAGCCTACGATCTGTCAAGAAGCCAGTCGTTGCCACGCGTGGATGGCAGGACTACATTTGGGGAAGTAGGGCTCCTAGCCGCAAGACTAGTGGAGCAAGTAGCGTGATTAGTGAAACTGGGGAGAGAGACGATGAACCGGCGATTCGCGTGCCACAATCCCGTGTGCCTAGCGGTCCGGGTCGTCGTAAGGCTTTGGATTCGGATTTGTTTCTGCCGCCTGAGGCTGACTCCACGCCCACTATACTTACGGAGCCAGATAACTTGAAGCCGGGTGATGGTGACGATAGCAGCATCCGTTCAAAGCGGTCAGCAAGGTCCGTAACTTCTTGGACTGTGAAGCTGTTCGCAGGAAACCACCAAGCGAGCAAGGATGGCGGGACAGTTCGTAGTCGAGCAAGATCTGATACTCCAGACTCTTTGAACCGGAGCTCATCACCCGCAATGCCGCCAAAGGCAGCTGGTTCTGCTGTGGCGGCTTTAAAACGTATAAACGGCGGTACCGGTGTCCAGTCACTGTCCGGAAGGTCCTCTGCGGCGTCCAGCATTCGTGGCTCGAACAAAAGTGCTATTACTACTACTACTTCAGCTTCACGACGAAATACTGTTCAAACGGTCGCTCCAGAACAGAGAAGTGCAAAGGGCGATTCGACACATCTTGGCCCAGTTGAAATGGACGCCATCCTTCCGATGGAGTCTCGCCCCCCAACACTCACTCATATCTACAACGATTACAATCCGGGGGAACTGCTCACCGATCGTTTTGGGTTTATCTATGACCAACGAAGGAATAGACGACAAAAGGAGGCTAGCAGCGAATGTATAAAGCAGGTTAATAATAAAGACGTCAGTGGCTCTCAAAAAGGGAACCAGAAAGGCTCGGAAGATGCTGAAGGTGAGAGTACAGCTGCCAATGAATGGCAGGATTATCTCAAGGTTGCCACGAAACCAACTGAACTCCTCTCTCACACCCCCGCCGCTGGTCCGATTATTGTAGTAGAGCCTACAAAACCTCGCTCTTCGTCAGTCACCATTGGAAAAGATGGATCTCTCTCGGTGGTTCACTCAAGCCCTCAACTTTCTACCCTTACATCAACGGTTGTAGAAACATATGGTGAATTCGCAGGAACGCCCACTGAATCTCAGGCTTTAGAACCAGCAACATTAGAGCAAGAGCCGGTGAGACTGCTGCTCCAGCGTTTGACAGATCTTCACGATTCTTCTCAGCGAGAACGGACCGTCAAATGGAATGAGTTCATGCGCAAAGTTCGTGCCGAGCGACGGAAAGAAGGTGAAGCTGCGGCTGCTTCGGCAGCCCAAGACCGCTCCAATATTTCTCTTGACATGCCCGAAGTTGCCATTGCGGATGGAGAGGTAGTTGGCATAGCGGGTTTGGGAAATAAAGGCAAGGTCGGTCGCGCAAAGTGGCGGGAATTCAGAACGCTTGTCCTTGGGGGTATTCCAGTCGCATATCGTGCCAAAATTTGGGCCGAATGTAGTGGAGCCTCTGCAATGCGAGTTCCGGGATATTACGAAGATCTTGTCAAAGGAAGCTCAAACCACGATGCAGACCCGAGCATCATTGCACAAATTGACATGGACATCAATCGGACCTTGACAGACAATGTATTTTTCCGAAAGGGCCCAGGTGTTGCGAAGTTGAAGGAGGTTCTCCTTGCATACTCGCGACGCAATCCGGAAGTGGGATATTGCCAGGGGATGAACTTAATTGCTGGCTCTTTGCTGTTGATTATGCCTACTGCGGAAGATGCGTTTTGGGTTCTGACTTCTATTATTGAGAAGATATTCCCTCCCCATTACTATGACCACGGTTTGGTTGCCTCCCGCGCAGACCAGCAGGTGCTTCGACAATATGTGGCCGAAATTCTACCTAAATTATCCTTGCACTTGGATGATCTGGGCATAGAACTTGAGGCTCTGACGTTTCAATGGTTCCTTTCTGTTTTCACGGACTGCTTGTCTGCCGAAGCATTGTATCGTGTTTGGGACGTGGTGCTGTGCCTTAGTGCCCCAGCGATGTATATTCCTCCCACTGCACCACAGCCTCAGAAACTCTCTACCGCGGATTCCAGCAACGGCAATGCCTTATCCGCGCCCGGTACACTTACCAATCCGACACCCACCTCAACGGCACCGTCTGTCTCCGAAAACGAAGTGTCCAACAACACCGGTGGTGGTAGCACATTCTTATTTCAAGTCGCATTGGCTCTGCTCAAGCTCAATGAGCAGCAGTTACTCAGTACCTGTTCCACTCCCGCTGCAATCTATACGTACATCAATCACCAGATGACAAATCACGCGATTAGCATCGACGGCCTTATTGAGGCCAGCGATGCTCTACGGAATGTCGTCAGGAGGGAAGACGTACTTGCACGACGAGCTGCTGCCATGAAAGCCATGATTGCAGCCAAGCCATCGCCAGGGTCAAATAGTCAACGCTCCGTTGACTACGATGACTCGACAAAGGTATCAGACTGTGGAAATGTTTAGATATAAATTCGCTCCTTAAGATGTTTTTCTATTTATATATTTTCCTTTGTTGTGTTGCATTTGACGGGTGTTCATTCCATAGCATTAGCCATACAAGATACCCACTCCTTTGGCTTCAATTTGTGTGATAACATGGTGATTCCTTTCTGTACTCTCTTCAAGGCTTTCGCTCCAATGTTTATATATATTCACCTCTCTGAATTTGGGTGGCAGTACATACTCGACTTAATACACATTCCTTTATCCCTCACATCTACTATAACACTCTTCTTGCGAGCTGCATTCTCTTGGGTGACTAGGCAACGATGTCTTGAAACCTACGCGATTCTTGACTAACCCATGCCTTGAATGACCTCCTTTCTCCCAGGCGACAAGGCGCACAGCACTTTCTAACTGACCTTTGGGTTCACTCAGAGTGGACGAGGAATCACACGGCGTCCAGGATTCCACGGCAGCCTGCTTTCATGTATCCAAATCAAGGCGGAATTCCCTGCTCGTTGCCATGGACAACACCTGCTAAAGTTCCTTCCCCATTCCTGGAGATACGGGCATGCGATTTGATTTCCCAAACACCCTAAAACTAACCCAAGTATTTCATTACCCAACTGATTCTACCGCAGGTACAAAAAGCTGCGCTATTATTACTTCTGGCCCTTTTCTTCCTCGCTCTAGTTTCATTCTTTTAAGTTTTAGAAGCTATTCGGTTATTGGGAATCATGTTATCACGGGATTACATTTAACTACATTCATATCTTTACTTGCATTCTTGGTCCAAAAGAGATTCTTTCATCCTCATGAGCGGACATGCCGAGTCTCGTGTCTCTGCCGGTGGAGATTATCCTATGTATCTCGGACAACATTGGCATATCCAATCTCAACAGCCTCGTTCAGTCTTGTGTCAGATTCTATTACATCCTCAATAAAGATCTATACAAGCTCGGCTCACTCAAAGGACTCGGCCTCCACCACGTTGCAAAAGAAGGTCAGATCTCAGGAGCCATGAAGCTCCTATCCACAGGCTCAGACATCGACCTGATGATTTTGGTCCCGCTTAAGGCTTGTTCCTCTCACCGAAATGACAACGGCCCCGTCCGTTTCATCCGTGTCAGCCGCAAGTATAGAAAAGGCCGGCTACACATGACTCCACTGCACTGTGCTGCCATGTACGGTCAACTAGAAATGGTGAGATTCCTCATTGACCACGGTGCCAACATCGACAAGTCATGGGGTACTAAGGCATCACCCGTCTACTTAGCGGCCTTTATGCCTACCCGAATATCACAAAAATGCTTTTGGATGCTGGCGCTTCCATGGCTACTAAAGGCCCGGGCGTTGCCTCGCTTCTTTCCTGCGCTGCCACAGGAAATCAGAGTCAGAAGCCATCATGCGACGCAGAGCGCACACGGTTAAAGTTGTGCTTGATGCCAGTGCGCCGTTTGAGGCTTTTCAAAACGAAATACCATTTCGCGAAAAGTTCCTATTTATATCTTCTGATAACGAGCTAGTTAACGCCCAGGTGCGCCCTGATAGCGACTCTCATGCCCTTCTGAGATCCGCGGATATGTATGATGACAGGACCCGCGATCGTTTGCAGAAGATTGAATCTGGGTTATACGCAAAGGAGGTGGCGAGTAATCGTTCGAAAGAGGCCCCTTGGCGGATAAAACCGTCGGAATGTGTGTTTCCAGATTCAATTTGTGACCTTGATAAGGAGTTGGAAATGCCGTCATTGGCAGATCTCGGAGAATTTTCGGAACCCGATGAGACGCTGCTGGATGAAATGGCACTTAGCCCTGGTAGTACTAGAGAAACGCAGTCCCAAGACAGTGGTCGATTCATGCAACATACTGTAGGGAGCGACAAGGACTTGGGGTCAGATTGGGACACGAGACTGCCAGCCGAAATTGAAAAGCTTGCTGTCAAACCTGAAATCTAGGCCATGTTTGTTCGTTGGTGGGTGGCTGGTGTTACAAGGCGTGTTATGTTGCGATTCATGTATTTTTATGGTATCCCTTTTAATCGGATTAAAATTTGACATTGAGATTCGCTTAATCCTAAGTAACTAATGTGAATGGTACAGATCATCTGAAAGGAGCCAAAAACAACGCTACATCATTGAAAGACATATATCATCCCTCCCCGATCCACACTTACTGTCATCCCGTATGGCACCTCCAAAACCGCTATGTCAAGAATGATATCTAAATGGCTCTTTAACAACTGCTGCTGCTGCAAACTGATCACCGTACTTCGTGGTGGTCGTCCTGCACCGCCCCCCGTCGCACCAGCGCCGCTTTTCTTCGAGCCGGGACCGGCTCGTCCTGCCGCAGATGTCGACGCGCCAGAACTCGGCAGCCACTCTGTCGTAATCGTCAACGACGGCGTTGGATTTGTAATCTCATATCTCGGCTTAGCGGATAAACTTGCCCCGTCGGATATCATATCAGGAGAGCTTATTATCGTCGACGCGTCTGGATGGGAGACGTCCCAGAAACGAATTTTGCGGTCAGAGCCGCCGGAAATGAGGAAGCCACACTTCGATGAGAAGTTGTTGTTGGTCTGATTCCCAGTTGGGGCACTTGGGTCAGGGACATCAAGGCCAACGGCGATGACGCGGATGCCATTTCGATCGTTAGTGACGCTATTTGAAGACGAGTCGGGCGAGGACGCCATTGCGAAGCGGGAAAGGAGAGATTCGGGCTTTTCGTCGTCGACTCGCCATGGATCATAGGCCTTCCAAGTTGTGTCAGGAGTAAAATGGATGTTTCGGTGTGTTTGCGCGGCGGCAGCGGGGGGCTTGCCGTTGTCATCGGATGCACTACTAATGACAGCGGTGCGATATACCTCTCGGCATTGCATTTTGTCGATATCCCAAACCATTACTTCTGAACCGCTTTTGCCCCCGCCAGTGACGCAAACCCATCGGCCCCGTCCCTTTAGTGGATGTATGAGGAGCCGATTAACTGGCGTACCGCCAGGAAGACCCCATGATTTTACTAACACGCAGAATCGAAGATCCCATAAGTTGAGTATACCGTGCATGGTGCCAATGAGCAGCCAGTTTCGCTTTCTATCGACGCAAAATGTTGTTGGCATTCCGTAGTGGACTGGGTTTCGGAGAATGAACACCTCATTCATTGATTTCAAGTCAAGACCGATAATTTTGGATCGATTGGTGGCCATTAGGAGTAGAGAATGCACGTCTGTACGGTAATGTTCCATCCAAACAGCATACTCATTCTCTCCCCCGGATGGGGTTATCTGATATTGCCGAACAATATGTGGCTTGCCATATCGAACTGTGTCATTATAATTTTGATAATCGATTCGGACTGCGTGAACGCTCCCGTCTGTGGCAGCACTTATGAAGGTGTAAGTGTTTTCCACAAAAGTGACACATTTAACTTTCGTTCCTGCGGCATGACGGTGCGTTTGGCGGGATCGTGGAGTCAAGTTCTTTTCCAGGCGAGTCGTATCCCACACCTTAACAGTACCATCGTCCGAAGCAGTGACGAAAAAGGCATGATTAGGTGCTACAGCAACTCTATTGATGGGACCTGTGTGTTCGCCAAAGAGTGCAACCAAATTTCCCTGTGGTCTCCAAGGTGTATTTGCTAATTGCCCGCTGGCCTTTTTGATCGGACTTCGACTAGAAACCGGAGCAACAACTGGCCCAAAATCAAATAGATCGGTGGGGTAATTTTCTGCAAAAACTGCATCGAGGAGCTTCAAGATCGTCGGGTCGTTACCACGGTACGTATGGTTTGCTCGATATTGTCGAACAGGCTCTACTGCATTTCCACTATTTGAAGCTGCAATAGTCGGTGTTTGAGGTGAGCTCCTAGGGAGGGGAGTATCAACCTCCCCGAGCACATTTGTAGAGGTGGTCCCAGTTTCGGCATAGGCTTTGTAGTTCTCTTGGCGATTAAGAAGGTGGATTGGGCTGGATCGGCGCCTGATATCGTCGCCTCTGGCTCTTAGATATGAACTCTCTGATCCTTGTGCTGATGAATCGGACCTGACGAGTGCCTTCCCTTGCCTCATCCGATCGCCAGTATCTCTTCGCTCAGCATCTGAAGCTGCTGCAGAGGAGCTCACGGATTCCGGCTGAACATGTGGAGGAGAGGTAGCTGTTGAAGAGTCGCATTTCAGAGATTCTAACGTGCGTTGTCGAGATAGAGTCGACACAACTTCGGAACTGTGTTGTCTACCGCTGCGACCGATACCATGCCTTCGCAAAGGATCGTTCCCATCAATTGTGCTCGAAGCGTCCAATAAGGCGTCTGCAATTGTATGGGTCTTTCTCTCGCCGTCTGACGGGTAGGTTCCCCTTGCAGGTGGCTGTGAATGTTGTTGCCTTGGTCCTTGCTTCTTATCAAAAAAAACCGTTTGTGGTGTTATGTCGTATTGACTCAAGGGAACAATATCCGGTACGACCGCTTTCTGAGTCCCTGAAGGTCCTTTGAGCCTTCTCGTAGCTATGCGCCAGATGTACTCCTTTAGAGCAAGTAGTTTAAATTCGTCTTCCGGACCCATGCCTAAGTTTCTGAGGCGGCCGATCCACTGTTGATCTTCTTCGTTTTTCGCTATATTACTCAACGCTGATCGGCGTAATTTCCCAAAGTTTGTAGCTGCGGCACCACCTAAGATGAATGTGCCATCTTGGGCCGCCGATTCCCAGAAGACCCCCTTTTCCGCCTTTATAGCCCAAACCTGGGACATATCATATACGTTTTTGGGGAGCGGCCTTTTGAGGGCATCCAATAACTGAGATGTCGAGATATCCGTCGTATTAGCCTTGAGAAACGGGCGAACAAGAGGCGATACAATACAGTATTTATCTGCCACGGACAAAAAGGATGTGGAGGCAACCACAAAATTCACAGCAGCCTCCCGAATCCAAATGCTCGGATGTACAAAAAACCGAACAACAATGTAGAGAAGATCCCAGGTGGTTGACCTCTGGAAAAGACCTAACCGAGCCATGCTGGCAAGTGATCTGAGGGCTCTCTCGACAACAAACTCTTCGGGATCAGCCATGGATTGAACCATGAGTGGAAGAATGAATTCTTCAAGACTGATACTACCAACGTACGTAGCAACCCCAACCACCGCCTCGAAAAAGGCACATTTGAGAATCCAGTCCTCGTCGTTCAGATATGTATTCAAATGGCTTAAAATAACCTCACTCGCTTTAGGGCTGCCAAAGAACACGCAGAGACTGGAAACAGAGCCTAGAAAGGCGCGGCGAACGGAGACATCGGGATCCGTTAGAAGTGCTTTTGCATGAGCTTCAAAGAATTCTAACAAATCCACGCGAGCAACATCATAAAGATTGTGGTACGAGGCATCTTCCGTCCAGCCTGTTTCAGACCCAGCTGGGATTAGAGCCATTAGACGGACATCAGATCGCAGTGCTTGTACCATATCTAAAATTCGAAGAGATGTGTGAGCAAGCGAGGCAATACAAGAGGCATATGCTGCTCTGACCGTGGGGCTGGGATTGCCATTCGATCCTAGTATAAACGGTTGAAGCCTTGGAAACAGATACTCCGGGAAAATGTAGGCATTAACCGGCGATACGACTTTCACCATAGCTAAAAGCTGAGTCAGTGTGCGGATGGCTGCAACCTTGACAACGTCTGAACGGTCGTTCAACAACAACATGACGAATGGTAGAATTCTGTCCAGTTTTGCTTCGTCGGGTACCCTCTCAGCAAAAGCTAGGAGGATATCGCATGCTTTCACTCTAGCAGACGACTTGGCGGTATTTCGCAAGCTCGACACGACCAATGTGAGGAATATCAAGATGCCATCTACCTCGTTCGGTGGAGATTTAGCAGTCTGGCTATCGGATGTGAGTAAATCCAGTTGCATAATATCAGCTTGATGAGTTAATAGTGGAGTGGTCTCCCTCGTCCCACCTAGGGCAGTTTGAGGATTCGATCCCAAAAAATAGGATATTTTGTCAAAATCAAGAAAGACCCTCTCGATCCTATCATCCGCTTCATGTAAATCTGCGGCATTGATATCCATTCCCATACGGCCCGACGTCGGGTCCGTAATTAATCCCATGTATTGGTGAAGAAAACTATAAAAATATTCAGGAAATGTCTTCTTGCGCCAGAAGTTCAGGCATTCCTCCGCTGAGTAACGCGATTCTGGATCGATGCTTATCATATGTAGGATTAGCTCCCTGACATCTGGATCTCGAATCTCTGCTAGTGGGCCTTGCTCTGGACTGTATTCGCCTTTGCGATATTTGTAAAGTTGGCTTAACGTGAAGATGGGCGATTCTAGGAAGAGTTCTGCAATAACACATCCAGCGCTAAAGACATCCATAGCCCAATTGACCTGGCGGTCTCCTGGGTCTTCTCCAGCACTTAAAAATCGTTCCGGTGCAAGATAGCAAGTCCTGCGGCCAGAGGTGTCGAAGTAGAATGAAAAGTCGGCAGGATTATCTTCAGGAAGAAAAGTTGGTTTAAAAGACGAAGAGAAGTCGGACAGGTACACCCAGTTCCACGAAGTAACCAGGACATTTTCAGTTTTTATATCTCCGTGGAAGATATTTTGGGAGTGGCACTCACGAAGAGCACACAGAAGCTGAAAGGTTATCCACTTCTTTTCCATATCCTCTAAGAAAGGTCGAGTGCTACATAACGTTAGATGGCTTTATCTTCCTTGATACTCAGAATGCGACGGGAACATACCTCATTCGATCATACAGAGAACTATGTATGTATTGCCGAACCAGATACCCTCCAGTTCCAGTCTCGACAATCCGCTGATATGAGAGGACGTTCGGGATATCCCTCAATATGTTGCGTTCGCCTGAGAAGCTGTCAGATGGTTGTCACCATATAGTGGAAGATAATACCGGTGGGACAGACGCCTGATAGCTCTTTCATATGGGTCTAACTGCAAGCTTGGATATGGTTTCATGATCGCTTTAACAAAGACCAGGCCATTATGCTGTCGAGCTCGTATACTTTTCATAAACCTCGCAGTCCCCAGAGATTTCTCATACACAAGATCGGCAAGCTCTGGGATATCGATACCCGCAGACCCTGCCGAGAGGGTGGTGATGGAGTAGCCTTGGCCCATGGCGATCGTGCCTGTGTCATCAACAGAGCAGGAAGGAGACGGTTATTAGAAGCATTCACTGCTATCTTTTAAATTCTCAACTCGATTGGATTTGGTTATATATGGCCCCTGCCGTCCATTGTTTCATCGAATGGAGTCAGCCGCAGCACATGGCGCCGCAACCAGTATCGGGTGAGTTGCACTGTGATTCTGAAATCCAGCCACGGGCACAATTTTGCGACACCCAAGTCACGGTTCAGTTGTGGCAGCAAGCCCTAGAACCGACAGGGCCCATTCACCGTGAGATAGGAATGGTTGATACCAAAAGCAGAGCTGCCTCTCCCTGCGCACGTTCGTTCAATCAGCCGCAGGCGTCGGTGACGTTGCCTGAATGCCAAGCCCGATGACATAAGCGAGGTTGGGCAGGAGAGCGACGGGGCTAACCGCATTCGTCCATCCACTACGTTTCCTTTTTCCGCCGTTTTTGCGACCTCCAACTTCCAACCTCCTCAGCAGCAAACACGTCCAGCGGAGCCCGCCACCAGACAGCCGGCCAGAAGGCCTTGTGGACAATGGGCTGTGTTGAGGACAGGAGGCTGACATGTTGGGATAACATCCGTTTCATGCTCCTGCAGCCCTCCCCCAATCAGAATCCATAGACAAGGGTTGATGAAATAGCGGGAAGCCTTCAGCCGCGCTTAAATGTATTCTTCACGGATGGTTAAATATCATGGGGTCTCCTCTTGCTTCAAATTTAATGGCCATTTTCTTTTGTTTTCATTTTCTTCTCTCCGTCTCCTTCTCCTTATCCTCCGGACATTTGACCCAAGGGGTTCTAACTAGGTGGTGGTTACCAGGCTACCAACTGAATGAGGCGGCCTGTCATTCTTTAGGTGTCTTGCAGCAGCCGGTCTTCTTGCCCTTCTTGAGCGTCTCCAGGCTGGAGCGCTTCCGTCCTTTCGATTTCGAAGCCGCTGTACCATCAATTGCTCTTCCAACCTCTCTCTCTCTATATATATATATATATATATATATAGAGAGAGAGAGAGAGATTAAGGGTTGGTCAGTATAGTGATGGAACGTTTTTCTGCCCCGCATATTCGGAATATTTCAGAGCGTTGCAAAACAAGGTGATAGTTAACGTCGTTGAGAATTATCCTTAGTCTATGCGGCTAACCGCTCGTTCGTCTTTGGGAGCAGCACGTTTCAGGCGCAAAAGGGCCGTTTTCATCTGCCACTGTCGGCAACGCTGGTGCTTGCACCCTATGATACCAAGGGTGATGCCTACTAGAACCTGACGAAATGGCAGACGAGGTTAACCTTCATGACAAGTGATGGAAATTTTTTTTTTTTCCACTGAATCGTCAGCAACACAAAATGGGAAAGCTGTTCAAGGAATAGCGTTAAGAACAAGAAGCTCGAAGCTAATCCTTGAGAAGCCTCTGTGGCCATATCTACCGCTTTATTTCGGGTGAATTAGCCTCACTTATGACACATGGGACTCATTACCGGGCTTTACTAAGGCCTATGTCTCCCCGGTTGTATTCTGATCCAGTTACAACTAGAAAACAACCTCGAGAAGTTGCCCATGCACCTTCCAGAGGAACAGACCTTCGGGGAAATATACCCTATTTCATAGCCTCATGCACGAGAGCATCACTCAGGCGCGTTCAGCTCTGGACCTGCACCCTGCCTTTTAGCCTCGTGGATTCCTAGTCGATTCTGAGACATCGGAATTAGATGCAGGCTTCGAGGGACACAGATTTAGCCTTGGGTAGCGGTTTGTGCGGCAGTCAAGGAACCCCGTTTCTGGTTTGAAATACGGAAGGGCGTTCATGTATCATTCAGAAGATTGTTTCACAATCTCCTAACTGCCAATGGTCATTCCCTGTTGCGTCAGGCGGAGGTCGCTAACGGAGGCCGCCGATGGGCCTCAACTGCCCTGGAACGAATATTTCGGGTACTGACATTGGCCGGTTAGCGCTTCCAAGAGCCTCACCTGCGAATATTCCTTGTTAAAGCTTTGCACTGCCTCGAGACATAACAGGACGGTACCTGACTTATTAATAAGATCTACGATCAATTACGGACCATAGGTGACATCGTTCGGGCTCGAATGTGATTGGGATGCACCTTTCTTTTTCCCCAAACAACCCTTTCCTGTCCAGAAGATATGCATGACGCCGGTCACGGCTCCAGCCTCAGCGGCCTCACGTCACAGACCTATTTGGTTCGTATGCGGGGTGTTTACGGCCAGGTTAGGCCTTGTAACCGAGGCTAGACACTGCTTGTACTAGGTCCTTTGGCGCATCTCCACCTAAAATTTCTGCTAAGGGTGTGCTACGAAACGGAATGTGCACTGGCAAGAGGTTTGCGATGGAATTCTCCTTGAAACTGCAGGCAAATACGATCACTCCGCCGCCCTCTTTCAGGATTTTCAGAAGCAGACGCGACAGAACCTGATCCAAATATGATGTTCTCCGTGCGGAAAGCTAATCAACGACCTCCGACACGTTTAAGGTTTAGCGCCATGCAAGATTTCTCGGTGGCTGAATTGATTGGATATCAGGCAATATTTTTTCCAACGCGCTAAAAGACCCTTGAACAATGCACGCGGTTGCGCTCAGTTTTATTTTAAACGACAGGGTATGTTGAGAGAATCGATTGGCTCTGGTGCTACGATTGAAAAAGTTCCCCTACCACCCCAACCAGTAAAATCCTCGTCGCATCTGCAGAAGATCACGGTACCATACTATGTTGACCTCATTTTTTACCGCGTCAATTGGGAACGCTCACCAAAAATGGGCATCATTCACCTTGAATTTGTCCATGTTCCTTGATGTTGATTTGACCTCTCTTTCCTACCGTTTGTTCTCATTGCATTTCTTCTTCAATTAGTTATGGAGGGGCGGCTGGCAGTTTTATGGGCTGGGCCGCCCATATGATGGCATCCGAGTAACACCCAACTTCCACATCTGGGTAACCCCATCTAGCCGCTGGAGACTATCAATGATAGTTGGTGTCTGCATACAGACACGCAGCTCTTGTGATTGGTCTGTCCGCCTAAGCCCAATGCCTGACATTCTCGATCCCCGGGATCCTCAGCTTCTCGACGGGCTTTAAAACGAAGATAAATATGCCTTGGGATAAACAGCACTGCCCCTCCTTGCTTTGCTTCCTTCGCCAAACCGTCAAATTCGGATCCTTGCATTGTCCTAAGCGTGATGGTTGACTGGGGTGGTGTAGCTCTACCGGATATTGCTTCCCGCTCTGCCTCTGGGTGAGCCCCGCGCTGCTTGCTGCCTGCATTATTCTTTTGGTTTCTGTTTTGTGTGTGTGTGTTTGTGTGTCTCTAAGGCATACTAATGCACTTGATGGCGAGTAGGGGCAGTGACATTGCACGAGCATAACGCTGCGTATGCCAATGCATCAGTTCTTGGTTCCAGCAATTGCACAAGCTGCTGCGCATTTGGCTGAGCCTGCAGTTCCGGAGGGCCTCGGTCTGAATGATCTGACGCAAAGACATCTGTAACCACAGCTATGATTGACCGGCCCCGCTTGCCAGCTCAGATTCAGCACAGGTGGAAACCATGCAGGGAAATTGGATAGGACTGGAGGCAGATCAGGGTGAACGCTAGGCAGGCAATGAAAACCCAAGGCTTCCGGAAGTGTTCTAGGTGTATCATCGGGCGATCTCTCCGGATCATTGGTGCCTGTTAACAGTGGTGTTAAACGCCTCGCGCCTCAAGACAGCAAAAATACCCTTGTCCAGTAGATGTCTCGGAAATACCTCGCCTCGGCAGAATGTTACGAAGAATGGTTGATTCATACTTTGCGAAGATGAGCAGTATTGATCTTTGAGAGTAAAGAAGAAGGCGGCGCTGGTGTGCGCGCAGTCATTCTGGAATTGTTATGCCAATCCTTAGGTAACCGTGAGACCCTTGCGGCGGCTAGTCAACGAAAGTGCAATGTTTGGTATGCGTGAAAGCCAATTCTTTTCTTTTCTTTTCTTTTCTTTTTTTTTTTTTTGCTTTTTTCACCCCGTTTTGGATGTTTGCTCTCTGGATTGCCGTTGTGATGTACGGAGTACCCGGTACACACACAAAGGTATTGTGTATCGGGATTACACCGTATGCGCTGCAGGCGGTATGGTTTGGGGGCAAAGTACATCGTATGGAGTATCGCTATCTGCGGAGTAACCAGTCGACGGGCTGTGTGACATCGAACGGGCGAATCAAGGGCGCGAACCAGACTGTCGGGTCGCAGGGGCTTTTTCATTGATCGCATCCTCGATTCCTCCCTTTCTCCGTCCGCCCTCTTGCGCTCGCCCTCCCTCGCCAATGACGATCGGCGGCATTTTGGATCTCCTGCCTGAGTTAAAACGGGTGTGGCTTTTCCGTTTCTCTCGTCGCCATACTAGCTGGTTACGATTCACTCCATTCCTCCATGCTATTGTCTCCGATCCTGCCCTAAACACGACCCATGTCATCGCCAACGCCGAATACCTGACTGCACCTTGTTGCTTTTTTTTTTTTTTTTTGGGCCATGGGCTTCGCGGCTATCTAGCCTCTAGAACGATGCCTAATGCATTCATTTGCCCTTCCCAAGGCAGTGTATGCCTTGCGGACACTGTACCCTGTCTTTCCTCGAGAACAGGTTCTGCATCCCGCTGGTCAGTGCAGATGAGCCCTACTTTATTTCTTGCATCGCCAATCGAAAATCTTCCCGTCTTCTACCTTGCAGTGACCCAAACTCATTCATATACCTTCCTCTCTGCCAACCCTTTTTTCCCCCTTCTCTCTTCTCTTATTCCGTTGGTCTTATATACTTAACGTCTCCTCTCCCCAGCTAGCTCAAACTTCCCTTCTGTCTGCCTAGGAGTCAAGTGCCTCGATTTTTCCTAGTTGCCTCCTTGGATGATTCGAAACGCGCACAGCTATGGATCTCAACCCAAGGACTTTCTCTGCTGCTCCTCAGCAATACTGTCCTTCCTATAGATCGCCAATGTCCACCTCTCCCTATCCAACTCCTCCTCAGGCCGATATTCACAGCCAGACACTGTCCGCTCATACGTCGGCGATGGGTGGGCTTGATCTGCTGGGCTGCCTTCCGAGCCAGCAGCTCCCCATCTGTGCACCAGGACATTCTCTCCTTCCGTCCGCAATCAGCTGGTCAACCGACCCCAGCGCTGCGCATTGCTATTCCAATCCATCTCCAAACCTGGGTGAATACCAGGGTTTGGGAATCTATGAAAGCCTCAACACAATTGCGACGACGAATTCAACCTTCATTGCTCCTAATACCCATGCGACCATGCCTAATGCCTTCCTCAGCCCTCCTTCTCTACCTCGGAAAACAACCCACGTTATGTATCAACGTACACCGATACTGGAAGACATGGGCCTACATTACCAGTCGATCCCGCCGACCAGGCAATCTACAACACCAAGTAAGAAGGTGAAGATCAGCCATGATGGTGAAGCAAGCCAGATCGATGTTCAGAGGACTTCTATCCAAGAAGATCCTTTGCCATACCAATACGAAACATACTCGGACCCTGCGGAGTGCAATGAGGATCCGACCACCACATTACTCGAATTGGACAACAACATCAAGAGGCCTGTGCCTGATAACAGGATTACGGGGGAGCCCCGCCGTTTGCAGAACGAGGCGAGGAACACCGCCCAAGCCAGCTGTCCAACTGCTGTTTCAACTAGCAGGAAAAGGAAGCAGGCCCGGAAGGCTAGAACCGCGAAGAAAGGCAAATTTGAATGCCCGAAATGCGGCATGCAGTTTACGAGAAATTCCAATTGCAAGTCGCATATGAAGATACACGACCCGGATCGAAAATACCCCCATAAGTGCACTTTTGGACAGTGTACGAAGCAGTTTAGTCGCAAGACTGACCTGACTCGACATGTCGATAGTGTAAGTTGTCACTGCTTGTGTGCCTAAATCATATTGTTCCCTTATTGATTGGATTGCTAGGTGCATGAAAAGCTCCGTAGATTTGGCTGCTCTGAGTGCGGACATCGTTTTGCGCGACAAGATACGCTACGACGGTAAGTAGATGCGTCCAGTACTACCTGTTATTCCATCTGACTGAATCATCTCCATAATAGACATTGTGAAGATGGATGCAGGAAACAACAGCGTCAGGCCCAGCGCGCTGCTGCGGCAGCTGCAGCTGTAACGTCTGTTTCATCCGCTCTGTCCTACCATGTTCCTCCAGTCTCATACCAGCAACCTGCATCGCCCTCTCCATGCCGAGAGCTAAATTCAGAACACCATCAACATCCCCATTCCCACCAACCGCAGATCAGCAACGCCCTTATGCGATCAGCGTTATTTGACAATGCACACAATGCTTTTTCACAATATACATGACAGCTATGGAGTATGGAAATGAAGTTACAACCCCTAATCATGACTTATGCGCGGAGTGGATATCTAGATGCTTTTTCTCATTGGTCAGAGTTTCTATATAATATAGATTTTTGTTTTTCTTTTTTTGTCAAATACAAACATAGATACATATTCCCCTTGATGCACGAGTAAAGTTTATTTATTTGTCTTTATTTGTACCTTATTTTGGGCACTTTGATGCAAGGCTCCGTAAAGGTTTGCGAATTCCATGGGTCGACATCGGGGAAAAACTCCAGAAGCAAAGATTTGCAATCAGAGAGAAGGAGGCTAACCTTGTTCCCAAAGAAATTGCTTGTGTTTTTCGCGTAGAAGTTTTGTCGAAACTTGGATTGCGCTTCCATTTTGCTTCCGCTGCATCGTGGCTTGTGCTTCTTGCTTTTTCTTCCACGCTTGGCGCCCGTTGATGGACGAGGTGTGTTGCAGCAAACCATTTTTTTCCCCCTCCTCCATTCCCAGCCCCACTCCTTTCTTCAGGATGTGATAGGTACACATCTTCTGCACTCCAGACGGGATCGATATTGTATTTCTTTGTCTGTTCCGTTTTTTGTCTTTTACAATTGTTGTGGTGCTGCTTTGTGTCTTTGGCTTTTTCTTTTTTTTTTCAGCTGGCTTTGGAACAGGAAGGTTAGCTACATGCTTGAACATACCCCGCATTTGCACCAGTATCTTTGGCTGCTCTTGGATCGGATTCAGGAATTGAAATGACAAGGATTAAAACTAGACTGCAGAGCCGTCGCGTCCTTTAATTTTATTTTTTAACCGCTTTTTTAATTCGCGACGGCAGTTGATAAATCAGGAGAAGCGAAACCCTGCGCTAATTCTTTCTAGAATCCTTTTCCAGTTCGATTCTTCAACACAACTCGTGCTGTCACCGCCCGTCGCCCGTCGCCCGTTTACTAAGTGATTGGGCTTGTCATCTCAGCCCTATCTGATTGGGACATGTTTTGGGTTTAGTGTAAGTTAGTGGATGTTCGGGTGAAACCTAAATTTTACGGCTGCGGGTGGTCGTTTGCAAGGATGATCACGGAGGTGTGTTCAGCGGGGGATAGAGAACCGACCCTGGGCGATCCGGCGCTTCGCTGCAGAGATACAGACTTGGGATTGCCTTCTTGACTGGACCCTTGGTTCTGTTCTTCTGTGTTTGTTCTGGAAAATTTCTAGAATTGGGCAGCAATCCCCGAGATCTACTCCGTACTAGAGGCACATCCATGGGTCTTGGGCGGTACATTACATGTGTCGATCGTAAATAGAAGGTGGAGACATATTCAGATCTTCCACCAAAGTGATGGACGTGCATGTGCTCCGTATGTTCCTCTGTGCAGAACGTAGACATGATGGCGGTTGGCACTGAGGGATCGCCGGACTTGGACCAGCAGTCAATTTGTCCTCAGCATTAGCTCCCGGAGGCCGTCTGCGCGGGTGCTAGTTATCTTTTGTTAGATGAAAGATTTGAGTCCGTCCTGATAATGATAGGTTAATCTCACAAGCCAACGTAAGAAATCGATAGAAACAATAATAAGCCACGTCTCAAAGGCCTATTCAGCATTCCGCAGGCTGCAAGCCATATGCTGCTCTCGCCAATCACTCCACAGGGATTGTTTTCGGGGGCCGATCCCTGAGCATGTTCGATGCTTCGATGATTGTTCCATGCATGTTCCCCCTTAGGAAAAGGATCGCCGTACGTTGGGACGAATTTTCTTTTACTGTTTGTCTTTTCTTCTTTTTCTTTTTTTCTTTTTTCTTTTTCTTTTTCTTTTTCTTTTTCTTTTTTTTCCAAACCATATCAAAATAGGCTTTGACTTGATCTTCAGTCAACTAGCGTTTGAGGTCTTCTGTTACTAACTTCCATCCGAGATCCCATCTCCTCCATGATTTAGCATGGTCAGTTCACTGCTATGGAGCAAACAAGACCCTGGTTTCACTAAGCGCTGACATCACTACAAGCCCCTTCTCATTGAGCACCGCTTTCGGAAAGGTCAACATCTAAAAATTAACCCTCGAAACAATGTGCTTTATTCCCATCTACAGTACGGAGTATGTTGAAAAGTTCAGAACCTTTCGTCCCGCCCCACGGGGGATGACCTAGGCCGGTTTGAAACGCGCCCTGTTGTGTCTCCGTGGTTGATTCTCTTTCACTCTTGATGCGGCTAGTGTGACTTGAACGCAGCAGGCCCTGTTTTAGTTTATTTTTATCTTTTATTTTATGCACTTCTCCGGGACAGCAGCTGATAAAAGACACGTACATATCCAAACAGCAGGTTTCTACTGTACCCCTTGCAGATAGGCAATGCAAGTTCTAAATCTTGCTGCCATTGTCAAGGTCTTGGAGGGAAGAACCCCCAGATTCTGCGGCCCGTGTTTCTGATTAAGACTTAGCGCAACGACAGATGGTGTTCAGGTTTGCGAATGCATCGGCCTGTGCCTTACGGGCACTTGCTTGTAAGATCCCGTAAGTACGTGTGTATGAGTAGAAGTATAGGTACATTGCCTGGAGCTGTATCGTTTTGAAAAGAGTATGTCCCTGACTGATTGCTCGTGGTGTGTAAACTACGGCGCAGGCCCTCTGGGGAGAATCTGCCCATCTCGGCGCCTGTTCTGTGGCAACGTACCCTAGGCATAGGGCTGAGAATACCTTCGTTGATGTATGGTGTTTCATGCTTCCCTCTTCTTGGCTGATCTTGCTGGTCGACAACATCACGCTTCAACTCAATAGAGATGGCTGTGGGGGGGAGGCAACTCTCACATGGTAAAGGACTTTCCCGATCCATTTTGAGTGCGCCGCCAGGAAGAACAGTGTCTCGATGACGCGCGCCGGTATTTCAAGGAGGCTCATCAATTGTTACGGCCCATCCACTGTTGCAACTTCCGTGAATAATTCCCCTATGATGTCAAATGGAACCTGGAGAGGGCGAGGAGTGGCTAGAGGGCCGCAAAAATCAGACTCCGGCAGGCAGGCGATGCGATTTCTCCCATTTGCCTAGGCAGAATGGCGATGGCAACAAGTTGGTTTCTCCTGCATGCCTCTTGCTAGAGAGCAGGGCAGACAACGGCGTCAAACCCGTTCCTAGGCTGCAAGCCCCGGAAGATGGGCCGCTGACGTTCTCTTGTGCCTTGATTCGCCATCCTCCTGACGAAGTTCTCGAGCAAAGGTGGGAAAATCCATGGCTTAGACGTTGGTCATGAGGGAAATGCACTTCATCACAAGGGATAATAGAGATCCCAGGAGACTCTTGGAACATACCCTCATCGACGCGAGACAAGAAGCTCCCTCCGCTACCTAACGATGAGATCGTTGTCGGCAAAAAAAAAAAGGTGGCGAGCTGGTCACCGCTATCCCGTAAATGGACTGGCAAAAACACTGCAAATATCATTTAGCCCACCTCAAGTTAGCGGATCAATGAGGTGGTGAAAGCCATTTCGCTGTCTTCGAATCGTTGTCGGCTGATCAGAAAATCTGTCAGCGCCAGCCCAGATCGCGATGTTTCCCCGCTCCAACCAACCAGCGAAACCCCACTCTCCTCCAGAACGGCTTCAAATTCATCCCTCTTCACCCACGTTCATTCAGTAGCATTGTCGCTCATTGTCACCCATTGACGTAGCAATCTTTGCTATTTTCCTCCTGGCCTGCCTCTGGTTCCTGTATTGCTTTCCCATCCTTTCGGGACGCGTGCGCATAGCCCTTGACCGACCTTGTAAATACCGCAATTCGCGTCGATTTTTTTGAAAGGGGGAAAAGCCAAAAAAACCAAAAAAGGATGTCGACAACCACCCCAATTACGAGCGAGAATGTGTCTTCATTTTTCTCGGAAGTAGACACACGTCTCGTCCTTGATTTGAACGAACTAAAATCAAAACAGTCGGCAAGAGAGGGGGGCGAGTTGGAGGGCTACGATGAGGAACAGATTAAGCTGATGGATGAGCGATGTATAGTCGTTGATGAGAATGACCAGCCGATTGGTAGCGGTACCAAGAAGACCTGTGAGTTTTTCGTTTTTCTTTTTTCCTTTTATTTTATTTTATTTTATTTTTTTTTTTTTACCATGCGTCTACTCGGGATTCAGCAGGAGGGGAGAGACGAGTTTTGGACCAGGTTAACATGAGTGCGCTCTAGGTCACTTGATGAGCAACATCGATCGCGGACTGCTCCATCGCGCGTTCTCCGTCTTCTTGTTCGATTCCAAGAAGCGCCTTCTCCTTCAACAACGTGCCACGGAGAAAATTACTTTCCCTGACCTTTGGACGAATACCTGCTGCTCTCACCCTCTGGGCATCCCCGGCGAGACCGGTGTGGGATTGGACGCCTCTGTGCAGGGAGTGCGCAGGGCCGCGCAGAGAAAACTGGAGCACGAGCTGGGGATTAAGCCTGAGCAGGTTCCTCTTGATAAATTTGACTTTCTGACAAGAATTCACTATAAGGCACCGAGCAATGGCAAGTGGGGAGAACATGAGAGTAAGTTGCTTGAACCGCCTTTGGGCTTCCCCCTTTTGTTATGGGATGCATCTGACCTTTTGAATTAGTTGATTACATCCTGTTTGTCCAGGCCGATGTCGATCTCGATGTCAGTCCAAACGAAGTCCGTGACACGAGATATGTGACGGCGGACGAGCTGAAGGATATGTTTAACCAGCCGGACTTGAAGTTTACGCCGTGGTTCAAGCTCATTTGCAACTCGATGCTGTTTGAGTGGTGGGAGAACTATGGTACCGATTCGTTCAAGAAATACCTCAACAGCACGCAGCTGCATAAAATGGTGTGAATCGATGTCGAAAAGCCATTTTCATGCGGGGTTTTCGAGGTCAATAAAATACTTTGCTAAGATGGAGCTGTACGGAACATTCAAAAGCAGGCATTTCGGGCATGGGAAGGTGACGACGTCACCGTTATTTCATTCTAACCCATGAATAGAAGAATAGTAATAATGAATTATACCCTTTTGAAACAAATGCTTTCCTTCTTCCCAAGTAGCACGCGCTGTTGCCCTGGCGAAGGTAAAGTCGCCGCAAAAAGAATAATATCCACAAAATGTGCAGAACTCCCAGATATGCGAGGAAGATAGCAACACCAAAAGTCAAGACCCGAAACCAATTACGTGTCCAGTAAAAGAATTCGCCGTACAAATGCAGGGCACCGTTCTATGTGGCACAACACCAAAGTATCACGAAAGACGCGCCGGGTATACGAAACGAGCTTGCCTAGAAAGCACAAAGCCGACTAATTATGAAAATTAAGAGCTAAAGAGGGGAAAGGGGAATTTTCCGTTTGACTTAGAGGTATGCAGCCACCCCTTCTCACGATGTACGATTGACACTCAAGAGAATCACACACGTGCCGATTATGGCAATTGCCACAATCACGAAGACGGCCTGGGAACCCCAGCCGCTTTGTACGAGGGCCTTGTGACGGCTGTATTTCGTCAATGTCCGTACGTATATCGTAAAGCCGTTCGATAAGCACACGAGCGAGAGCACCCAGAAGACGATCCCCATGGGCAAGGCCATGCGGCGTTCCAGCCGGGATGGTTCAGCACGGAGGTGAAAAGAGAGCACGATGGCGCCGGAGACGATGCAGAGATACATAGAGAGACGGAGCCATGAGAGAAAGGTGCGCTCGTTGGCGCAATGGTCACGGCAGTCTGAGGCCTTGTTGTCGAGGACGAGGGTGCCCAAGAGAGGGCGGGAGAGGAAGAGAGGACGGTCAGAGGCGAGGAGGTTGCTGCGGAAGTGGACATGTGGCTCTGTTAGTGAATGGGAGGGTTCCTGGAGAAAGGAAAGATTGGTCAAAGTACAAATGAAATGTGGTTAATACCCAGTGACGTGCACTGGCTTGACATTCAGAGGGTTGGCCAGCGGGTTATAGGTTCCCTGGAGGGCATCATCCTCGATATCGGGGCTTGGTTCTCGGGGCATGGTGGAGCATCTCAGATGCCTATGAAGAGGCGTTGAGTTAAAAATACAGAGATAGAGGTAGGCGGGATTCTCGTATCAGTTCCACTCCCCCAAGTGAAGACAGCAGAGGGCGGGCGTTGAGGAGAGCAAGCACAAGGTTGCTTAAGGTTGCTGCAGGTCATCGGGCTCCGGCCGGCTGACCATAAACGGAACATCTTTCTCCCGAAACAGAAAAACGGTTTGGGCACGTGACCTGCCAAATAGAGTTTACGCTAGGAAAATTTATTATTCAATCGTTCACGTGGTCTCGGCTCGGCGACTGGAGAAAGGCGGTGAAGGGCGGCGTTAATCAGGGCTGATCGGCGCACGCGGCGGCGGAGAGTTGCGCGGTGGCGACAGTCGTGCAGTGGGAAAATTCTCTGGGCCCAGGAGGCTGACTTGCTGGGAGCAGCGGGTTCTTGCGCATCCAGAGTTGCGTGTAGACAAAAGAAGTACACATTGGTCTGGAGAACAGAGTCCTGTTGAAAGCGTAGTTGGACTTGGGTTCAGCCAGCTCGGCATCAGTGTGAGCTGATTTTCTATCCACACCCCCCCGGTGTTTGCCAGTTCGCTACCCATAAGTTCGTACTCACTTGTTCTTGGCTACCAACACACTAACTATATGCCGCTTGTTTCCAAGCCTCTCTCTCATCTCCGTGTCGATTATGGTGTGTGATTCTGACTCAGTTGATCGTCGTAGTCGTTGCATGTCTTTCGGATAGCACAGTACATACTCCGTCGCAATGCCGTCTCACTCTACGCCCTACGACAACCTCGGTGATGTCCATGCCCACGACTCTGCGGATGACGGCCTTCCTGGTATTGAGGACGATGGCCTGCTGGGATCGTCTCCTTTAAGGCGAACAACAAGCGCCACCTCACACTCTCTTGCCGGTTCGTATCGCAGGCCAAGCTTCTTTACAATGGGTGCTCGAGGAACCGTCGTCCCACACGCTATAGACCAGGACCGTTTGACGCAACAGGAGTGGGAGCAGGCAGTCGATGAAGAGAGGGACTTGTTGATCGACAATAACGTGCTCGACACGAGCACGGTCTTTCCTCCCGAACACCGGAGCTTGCAACGAAAGATAAGCGGACTGCTGTCTCAATCCCTAAGACAACCCCACGGCGAGCCGCCACAGGTGAGCATGGCTCATCCAACCGGCCTCCCGGTTGCTCCTGGTGCTAGCGAACGGACAGCTTTGTTGGGCCCCTCAGCAGAAGGTGCCGTGACGTGTCGCAGTGCCGAAGCGATTGATAAGACTTGGGAGGAGGCAGTGGAAGCTGGCTTGATCCATACTACTTGGAAGCGCGAAGCAAAGGTACTAGCCAAGTACACGGCACCGTTGATGGTTACATTCCTTCTTCAATACTCTCTCACCGTCGCCAGTATATTCACGGTCGGCCACTTGGGAAAAATCCAACTTGGCGCTGTGAGCTTGGCTAGTATGACTGCTAATATCACGGGTTATGCGATTTACCAAGGCCTTGCAACCAGTTTGGACACCCTCTGTGCACAAGCGTATGGTTCGGGGCGAAAGGACTTGGTTGGCCTGCAGATGCAAAGGATGATATGGTTCCTGTGGACGATAACAATCCCGATTGGATTTGTGTGGTTCTTTGCAGACAAGATTCTCATGGCCATTGTCCCAGAAAAAGAGGTTGCAATCTTGGCCGGCCAATACCTGAAGGTGGTTCTCCTGGGCGCTCCGGGTTACGCCTGTTTTGAGGCCGGAAAGCGCTTCGTTCAAGCTCAAGGTCTTTTCTCAGCATCGCTCTTCGTCCTTCTTTTTTGTGCACCGCTCAATGCATTCATGAACTGGCTTTTTGTCTGGGTAAGAGACTCTTCCGGTCTTTTTGTATGTTATATGCAGGCTAACATGACACTAGCATTTCGAACTTGGCTTTGTCGGTGCCCCTTTGGCTGTCGCTATCACTGATAATCTTCTACCACTCCTTCTTTTCCTTTACGTGTACTTCATTGGAGGCCGTGAGTGCTGGAATGGATTTACCCGCCGAGCTTTTTCCAACTGGGGCCCCATGGTCCGCCTCGCTCTCCCAGGATTCCTGATGGTTGAAGCCGAAGTTCTGGCATTCGAGTTGCTCACTCTTGCCTCATCATATTTTGGAACCACTGCCCTGGCCGCTCAGTCTGTGCTCGCCACGATCTCCAGTATCGCATTCCAAATTCCCTTCCCCCTTTCTATTGCTGGCAGCACACGCATTGCCAATCTGATCGGCGCGACGTTGACGGACGCTGCACGCACCTCCGCCAAGGTTAATATGGTGGGTGCTGTGATCCTCGGTGTGGGCAACATAACCTTGTTATCATCCCTTCGAAATTATATCCCTTTCTTATTCACTTCTGATCCTGAAGTTGCCGGTCTTGTTGCCCAGGTTCTCCCTCTCTGCGCGTCATTCCAGCTTTTTGATGCCCTCGCCACGAACTGCAACGGTATTTTGCGTGGTCTCGGCAGGCAGTCGTTTGGCGGTTACGTCCAGCTGTTTTGTTACTATGGCGTTGCCCTTCCGATAAGTTTCGGGACCGCCTTTGGACTAGAGTGGCACCTCTGGGGTCTCTGGGGTGGCGTGGCTGTGGGATTGCTTCTTGTGGGAGTTGTTGAAGGTATATATCTGACCAAGGCCGATTGGGAACGGTCGGTCGACGATGCGAGAAAGCGCAACGCCATGGCGTAATAGTCCCGATTTGGGTCTTTATGGATATCGTCACTTACATAAAAGTTTAATTTTGGATAACTAGCAATTACTGTTTGATACCAGGACTGCACGGATGGGTGGTATTTTGTCTTACAACATCCCCGTTGTTATTACTGGATAGACTTGGCTTGTTGTGGCATGACGTTGCGACTGTTTTGTCTTTCCTGAATACCTGTTTCTTGTTAATAATTCTTTCATTGTCTATGAAGTACCGGCTTACGATAATGTATATAAAAATAATACGTGGAGATAGGAATAATAATATGATGTCTGGGACTGATGTATGCATTCTATACATACCTTTTCAATGCTGTGCAATACCCGTAAGGAGGAATTTGTAGCTTTGAATTAGTTATAATGCAGAACCGGCCTTTTCAAGGCGTTAAACTTCAAACTGCGGCCGAGCCGCCTGGAAGCCATGCACCGAAGATCACTGAGACATTGCAAACAACCCGCTCTTCGCCAGCGCCACCCATATATCAAACGCCGAATAAACCCAACCAAGTAGCAAATTGTATACCAATCGAACTCTCAGTTCCCGGTCAATCAGCCCAGGACCTTCATTTTCTTCTTCTTCTTTCCACCCTCCTTATCCCCCTTGCCCTTCTTAGTCTTCTGCCAGTCCCTCCAGCTCCCAATCCTATCATCCCTGCTTTCTTCCCATGCCTTCTCCTCCTCTCTCTTCCTCTTCCTCGCCTCGATCTCCTCCTCCTCCTTCCTCTTCTCCCTGCCTTCCTCCTGCAATTTTGCCTTCAACTGCCTCCTCCGCCTCGCCTCGTCCTCCAGCAGCACCTGAACGGTCTTTTTACGCCATTCCTTTTTGAACTCTTCCGTCTTCAGCTCCGGAGAGTCCAGATCGTACTTCTTTTCGCGGATGAGAAGGCGTCGCGCGTCGGCTATGCATTCGTCAAGCTGGGCGCGGGCTTTTTCGTCTAGGAGGGCGGTTTGGGCTTTTTTGAGACGGTCGAAGGCATCGGGGGCGAGGGGATTGGAGGTTTTGTCCGGGTGTATGAGCAGAGACTTCTTGCGGTATTGGATCTTGATGTCGGAGTCTGGGACGCCGGGTTGGAGGTCGAGGACGGAATATCTAGAGAGCGGGTTAAGAATGTCGGGGCTCTTAAAGTTTTAGAGAGAGGTAAAATAGACGAAATGGTACGTACGCATCTAATTGGAATGCATTTCTTATGCGATCGATCTCTGCGTCCTGGAGAGAACATATCAGTGAGCCCACCGAGTATGAAGAGTGGGCTGGGAGGCGTTACTTGCCTTTGTAAACTCGGATGCCTCCTTTTCCAGAGAGTTGAGAGCTTCCAGATCTTCATCAACAGCCATCTTGCAGCGTAGCTCCTATTTTATAAACTGCAGATCTGAAGTTGTGTAAGCCTTGAGCTCAAGGCGGAAGATGAGGCTCGGGACGCCGCTTATCGATGTGGCTGACTAAGCGATACGATGCCTCAAAAAAAAAAGTTGAGGATATCGGACGTGACAGGTTGATGCAAGAGGCATTGCTCCAGAGCTCGCCATGGCTCCAGCACATTCGCGCACCGGGAAGCCCCAGAAGCCTTTCCGTCAAAACAATAGAAGCTTAAAGCGAAAGCGAAATGAAGACGACCTCAGCAGCCTGACACAGCGAGTCGGAGAGCTCAACCCAAAGTCCCTCGCCGAGTCATTTTCAGAACTCCCGCTTTCAGATGCTACGTTACAAGGTTTGTCGGCGTCGCATTTCAAGACGTTGACGGACATACAGTCTCGTGCGGTCCCTCATGCGATCAAGGGACGAGATATTCTCGGCGCGGCGAAGACAGGCAGCGGCAAAACGCTCGCATTCCTAGTTCCTGTCCTGGAGAATCTGTATAGGAAACAATGGACCGAATATGATGGGCTAGGCGCCCTAATCCTCTCCCCGACCCGCGAATTGGCAATTCAAATCTTCGAAGTTCTCCGCAAGATCGGTCGGTATCATACATTCTCGGCCGGGCTGGTCATTGGAGGAAAAAGTCTACAGGAAGAACAAGAGCGCTTGGGAAGGATGAATATTCTCGTTTGCACACCGGGGCGCATGCTGCAGCACATGGACCAGACGGCGGCATTTGATACGGATCATATTCAGATGCTTGTTCTCGACGAGGCGGACCGGATCATGGATATGGGATTCCAGAGCACCGTGGACGCGATTGTTGAACATTTACCCAAAGAGCGACAGACGATGCTATTCAGTGCTACGCAAACAAAGAAAGTGTCTGACTTGGCTAGACTGAGCTTGAGAGATCCAGAGTATATTTCTGTGCACGAGGCGGCGAGCAGTGCGACACCTGCGAGTTTGCAGCAGCACTACGTGGTCACGCCGTTACCGGAGAAATTAGATACGTTATGGAGTTTTATTCGGAATACGTTGAAATCTAAAATACTGGTGTTCTTCTCCTCCAGCAAGCAGGTGCGATTCGTTTACGAAGCGTTTAGGCATATGCAGCCTGGTATACCGTTGTTGCATCTTCATGGGAGGCAGAAGCAAAGCGCAAGAATAGATATCACGAGCAAATTTTCGAGGGCGAAGTATTCGTGTTTATTCTCCACCGACGTTGCAGCCAGAGGGCTGGATTTCCCCGCGGTTGACTGGGTTATTCAGCTGGATTGCCCAGAGGATGCTGACACTTATATCCATCGGGTTGGTCGAACAGCGAGATATGAACGGGATGGGAGAGCAGTGTTGTTTCTAGATCCAAGTGAAGAGGAAGGTATGCTGAAACGCTTGGAGCAAAAGAAAATACCCATTGAACGGATCAATATCAAAGCGAAGAAACAACAGAGTATAGTGAACCAGCTGCAGAATATGTGTTTCAAAGATCCTGCGCTGAAATATCTGGGACAGAAAGCGTTTACATCCTATGTCAAATCAGTACATATCCAAAAGGATAAGGACGTGTTTAACGTGAAAAGTTTGCCGCTGGAAGAGTTTGCATCAAGCTTAGGGCTTCCTGGAGCCCCGAGAATCAAATTCATCAAGGGAGAAGATACAAAATCGCGGAAAAATGCGCCTAGACACCTTGCGGTGGTTCCTAGCAGTGACGAAGATTCAGACGAAGGGCTCACAAAAAAGAAGAAAGAGAACGAAGTACGGACGAAATATGATCGTATGTTTGAGCGGCGAAACCAGGACGTGTTAACGGAGCACTACACTAAATTGATCAGGGATGACGACGAGATTGATCCGGATGAAAAGGACAATCCCGCCGCTGATGCAGACGAAGACGACGGGTTCCTTTCTGTCAAACGACGCTTTGATGCTGGGGATGAAAATCTGGGTGAAGGCTTAGGATCCGAGGACGAAATTGATGGCATAAAGAAAGGCAAAGCTGTGCAGATCGTCGGCAAAGAACCTCTAATTATCGACTCTAAGCGACGAGAAAAGCTTCTTAAATCCAAGAAGAAATTACTGAAATATAAAGGCAAAGGGACGAAACTAGTGTACGATGACGAGGGTAATGCGCATGAAATCTACGAGATGGAGGACGAGCAGCAATTCAAAGCCCAAGGTGATGCGGACGCTCAGCGTGCTAAGTATTTGGAGCTGGAGGCAGAACGAACCAGGTTGGCGGATATCCGTGACAAGGAGATCGCGAAACAGAAGAAGAGAGAGAAGAAGGAGAAACGAAGAGCAAGGGCGCGCGCCGAGCGGGAGGCCGAAGATGGTCCCGTGGCTGTACTTGCTCCGTATGAAGAAGACGAGGGTGTGAGGGAGGACGATTTCTCTGCTGAAGACAGAGGATCCGAGGATGATCGGGCACCACCGAGTAAGAAGCAGAAGAAATGGTTCCAGAGCGATTCCGATGTGGACGGGGAAGACGGCGGGAAGAAGAGGAAATGGCCTCGTGCACAAAGCCCGGCACAGGTTGAGACGCTTGAAGACCTGGAAGCTCTTGCTGCTGAATTATTGGAGTAGGACACTGCCGGCCATTAGCTAGTGTATTTGGTTATTCTCCTGGACAATCTGTACATCTCCACGGATTCTCGACTTGAACTTTTAGGAAACGTAATTGACTGTGATAGCCCGCTCTGCGGGAGCTCATCTCGAGGCGGACGAGCGTGGATTTGTCACTTTGGACTCTTGGTGGTCTTATTTTTGCTTTTGGCAGCGGATTCTGGACTGACAGCCATTATTAAACTTCTGGTTGTCTCAGCCGTGAAGCATCGCCTGTTCGTGCCAGTGCCAGCGCCCTCGCAGCGCACTTATTCCGTACTTGCGAAACCTTTAATTGCTTTTCTGCCAGCGGGCGATCCGGGGAAACGCCAAGCTCCTAGCTCTGCGACCCTCAACCAACAACCAAGACTTTGCGGCAGCGATCAGCATGCGCTCGGAGGTTAAGCGTCCACCCTGTCCTTGGATCCTGGGTCGACAGGACCGCTCTGTGCTCCACTGGTCGAATGCCGCAATTACGGTGGCGGATTGCTTCATTTTCTTTTTTATTTTGAAACCGTCTCACGCAAGCCCTTTCTGCGCTGACAGGTACGAGGCCGATGGCGTGGTATCTGATAATCACCGAGAAGAGACCGTTGGGGGGAGGGTGGCCTCACAATTTTGCCATTTGGTCGTTGAAAGCTTAACTGGCTTTTTGGGTGACATTGATGGCGAGGATGCTGCTGGATCTCAAGATTTTTCTGCCGCCCAGTGCTCCGTATCCTAGTGAGCTTCCCATATATTAGGACGGGATCGAGTGCTTCAGGGCTCCATCACAAGCGAACTGTGCCCAGCTAATCCCTACATCCGGACACGACCTGGCCAGTGAGGGGAAGCTGGGATTATAGTCAACGGGGGAGAGAAATAAATATACCTATCGCCCTGTTCCCTAGCTCGGTCATTTCCTTTGCCAGAGCTTGCTTCCAGGATAGCTTTACCTGCCCAATTTCGATCTGAGAGCGCTTGTGTGTCTGGATCAACGCTCTCGTGGGCCCGATCAAGTTTTCTTTTCTTTTCTTTTTTTTTGGTTTCCATTGGCTCTCAGAATGATCGCAATTAAGAACTAGAGGGACCAGGGTTCTTCGCGGCAGATTTCTTTCTTTCTTTTTTTTTTTTTCTTTCTTTTTACTATTATTTTTTATACCTCTGGTTGCGCTTCCGGGTCGCTGCTCTTTACCGAGCACCTCCGATTCCACTCCCTGCGACGCATCGTTCCGTACCTCCCAGAATTCCAAAGCAGCGTCATCGCAAAGGCCCTTGAACGAAGGAAGGATCTCCACCGGGATACGGGAAGGGGGGCAAAAAAAAAGGTTCTGTTGAATGCGTACGGCTGTGAAGCAGTTTGAATATACATATATCGCCTAAGATGGCGGCTAGCGGCGACGCAATAAAACCCAACTGCCATTTCGATGAAAAATCCGATGATGTCGAAAAATCGCCCCCGCCGGATACCAGGCAGCTCGAAACTGAACACGGGCCCGTTGTAGCCGACAATCTCGCGCGCAAGTTGTCCGCGCGCCAGGTTCAAATGATTGCAATTGCAGGTACCATTGGCACGGGTTTGTTTTTGGGAACGGGAAAGACGCTGGCAACCGGTGGTCCGGCTTCAATGCTCATCTCCTATGCAATTGTGGGAGCGATTGTTTTTACCACGATGTTGGCCCTGGGAGAAATGGCGGCGTTTATGCCCATCGCCGGGTCTTTCTGCACTTATGCAGGGTGAGGCATCCTCCAATACTCATCTGAGAGCTCTGTGAAAAGTCTTCTGAATATATCCTAATGGCATCCTATGTAGGCGATTTGTTGATGATGGACTTGGATTCGCGATCACTTGGGTCTATTGGTTCAATGATGCGGTAGCAACTGCTGCGGATTTGGTTGCATTACAGTTGCTTTTGGCCTATTGGGACGAGAATTTCCCTGCATGGGCGTTTAGTTTAATCTTCCTCGTGGTGCTGATTGGACTGAATATTGTCAGTGTGAGAGTCTACGGTGAAGTACGTATCCGATATGTTAATCCTTTCAGGTTACATTGGATTAGAAACACTAATGTGCACGATAACAGATGGAATACTGGCTAAGTATCCTGAAAGTAGCCACGGTGATTGTAAGTTGCTGTGTTGAACTTGCCTTTGCTTGCACTGTTTTAAGCTAACGGTTTGATAGATCTTCATTATTCTCGGTATCGCAGTCAACTGCGGTGCGAATACGGATAGGGAGTATATTGGCGGAAGGTACTGGCATATTGGAGACGCTCCCTTCGTTGGTGGTATCGGTGGCTTTGCGTCTGTCTTCGTCACTGCTTCCTTCGCATAGTATGTATCCGTCATGGCCAGTGCTCTCTGAAACTAAGGCAATGCTAACACATTCCCAGTGGCGGGACTGAGTCCATCGCGATCACCGCCGGTGAAACTCGCAATCCAACCCGCAATCTTCCTCGCGTCATCCGTAACGTCTTCTGGCGCATTCTCATTTTCTACATCCTCGCAGTCCTTATCATCGGCCTTAATGTTCCCTACGACTATCCCGACCTCTCCACCAGCACCTCCACAACAAGTCCCTTCACTATCGTCTTCCACAAGGTTGGAAGTAGAGTTGCCGGAAGCTTTATCAATGCGGTCATTATGACTAGTGTTATCTCAGCGGGAAACCATGCGTTGTTCGCCGGCGCGAGATTAATGTATACCCTTGCCGTCGACCGTCATGCGCCGGCCTTTCTTGGCCGGTTAACTGGACGGAAGGTTCCGTGGGTAGCCGTGCTGGCAACCTCCGCAGTGAGTGGCCTGTGCTTCGGTGCCAGTTACATTGGCGCCGGCCAGTTGTGGACTTGGCTTCAAAAGTGAGTTTGTTCTCATTAATATCCATATTATTTTCTCGTTTCCCCGCGCAAACAAAGACAACAAAAAAAGAAAGAAAAAAGCAAGAAACAGAAGTCTCCAAGCAAAATATTCCCCACAAAATCGCTGCAACAAACAACGCCAAGCTAACTCTTTTACTTCCCCAGCATTGTTGGTGTCTCTAATCAGTTATCTTGGCTCTGCATCGGAATTGCCTCCCTGCGCTTCCGCCGTGCCGTCGACATCCAGGGACTCACCCACCTTCTCCCCTTCAAAAATTGGACCTATCCCTACGGGCCTGTCCTCGCCATCCTCCTCAACTCCGTCCTCATCCTTGTCCAGGGTTGGTCGTGCTTCTCTCCATACTTCAAAGCCGTAGATTTTGTCAGCTTTTACGTCCAATTACCCATCCTAGGCGGATTGTTCGTGCTATGGAAACTTTTGAAGAGAACAAAATGGGTGAGACTTGAAGAGATGGATCTGGTCACGGACCGATGGGATGGAGGACGATTTGGGCCCGGCACCGGTGCTGGTGCTGCGGCTGCAGCCAGGAGAGGAGAAGATTGGCGTGATGAGAGGACATGGAATGGCCCGCAGGGAGAGAAGTCGTTCTGGGAGTTGTCCTGGAAGAGTAAGATGAAGCATGCTGGCCAGTGGCTGTTCTTTTAACCTGGGAATTCTTGATGGTAATGCACAGTGTTCGGCATTTGGTGTGCTTTTTGTCTTTTACCCTATTGAAGATTCCCCGAATTGCTCCCTTGTCTTCGTTTCTGGTAGATGATATCAGGGTAATGCATCCCAGAAAATGTTGATTTTCCCTTTCAAAGTACGGAATACATATACCTAAAATTTCCCATCATCATTTTCGCTATCATATATAAAGCCTTTCTATGGTGGTTAAACTCCTGTCTGGTTGAAGCACCTCATCGTCCTCACCTTCGTCACCTAAAACACCTACCTACATTCCGCAGGACCCTTCCTGTATTTATGATCATTATTATTGAGCTCTCGAATTATCTGATGTTAAGATGACTCTCCTAGCGAAGTGGAGCTCACGGAGAAAGTTAACCATGAACATTGAAACCATGTCCAACAAAGACATGTTTAAATGAATAGGAACATGGATATGCAAAGAAACTCTAATGAAGCGCGCATTCAATACATAAGTTTCTTCAGATTCTTCCAAAACCAACTTATTATTATATTGACTGACAATTTCACTGTTCCATCAAACTTATCCATTCATAGCGACTAATGAAATAGAACCCCCACGCAGATGACTTGTGGTATCTCAACTAGAAACTGATAAAGAAGATGTCTTTGCATCATTATCAAAGGAAACAACAAAATATTAATTATTCACCATTTCCCCAAGCTCCATCTTCCTACGCTTCACTGGCTGGATGTCCACACTCGCACCTTCGCTCACCGTTGGGGAGTTCAATATATCCCGATGTCCTGACGTAATCATTGCCGAAGCGCTGAAACACCTTTGCCGTTGGGACGACGAATCGGGTTGCCGGATAGGAGGGAGGGAGTACGAAGATGATATAAGAGAATGTTCGTGGCTCCACCTCCGCTCAATCAATCCGGATTCATCCTGTGTCAAAGGCGAAATTGGGTTGCTAGCAGGGTCAATCACCCTATCTGCTACGCGCGGAAGCTCTGTCCTCGCCGACCAGGGGGATGAGGTGTTGCTTCCAGTTTGTTGACTATCAATGGAAAAATCAACCTTCAGTTTGGGAAGTGGCGGGGGTATCGGCGGCAGTCGGATTGGTGAATGTACTGGATGTGTCGTTGGCCCTGAAATAGAGGAGAATGGCGGTGCAGCTGAGCCCTGTTTGTACTGGTGAGGTGAGCGGGGTGGTGGTAGCCGATCTCGAGAAAAAGGAGGACGATGCGCAAGATCGTTCAGGGACTGAGGTGGAACGGGCGGTGGAAGGCTTGGGCTAGGGATGGAACCGTGCCTATCTGACCGCGATGGGTTTCCGCTCGACAAAGGTCGTTGCAATGGTACACTGCTTAGAGGAGACGACGGCGGTAATGTTGACGATGGGGAAGGCAGCATCGAGGGTCCCCATGACGATGTGTTCGCGGGAATTGGAGGACTTAATCTTAGCTTCTGGTCTCGTCCAGCTTCGACTGCAGGGGCAGAACGACATTCTGTGTTTGGACGAATTTTTCTCGAGGAAGGCATCCGCTGATGATGAGCCGGCTGTTGATGAGAAAGGCGCAGTGTTCCAGACTGGCCGAACGCTGACTCGTAGGTTCGTATAGGACCTTCCTCGGCCTTCAAAGGCGGTCGTCCCCTTCGTTTGTGTGTTACATCGACGCAAGACGACTATAAAGAACATTAGACCATTTGGTAAAAGAGACGACAGATATCTATGATAGCTGTCAAGGAAGCGATATTGATGAAATATGGCAGCAATTTACTCACCTCTTTGCCAGCTACTACACATCTTCGACAAGGCCGTGCAGAATCACAGCCTAGATGCTTGCGCTTGCAGTTTACACATGCGGAAGCTACATGTGCTTTAGCACGGCGAGTTGATCTCGGAGGTAACGCCGTCGTTCGAGGTGGAACTGGCGCTGCTGAACCCAGAGCAGGGAGTATGTGTGGCTGTTCAGCTGTTGCTGAGAGAGATATCATTGAACCGTTCGGCTGGCCGACTGTAGACTGCCGAGTCTCGCTAATAGAGCCGCTCGTACTGCGATCTTTCGGAGGATAACCTCCATATGTAGCGGGTTGCTCAGATACTTGTTGTGAGCCATGCGGCGCAGGGGAATTCGAGCGCTTGCGCTTTTCTCCCTGAAACGAATGCAACTGGTCCTGAGGAGACGGAGAGCCGGACATAGGCGGAGAGGGATATGGAGCAGGACAGCTGCTGTAGGCGCACGATTCCGGGCCGCTTCGATGTAATGAGAACCTTAAAGGATCAGAGCCAGATCCGTAGACCTGTCGGAAAGCCGTAAAGGGGAATGGTTCGACAGGGCGTAGAGACTGCATCAGGGTGGTTGTGTCCAGGCAGACTTCTAAAATCGAAAAGAGAGGGAGATGCTTAAAATCAGTACAAAAGGTAGGTGTGCGTCCGAACTTGAGTCGTCAAATAATATCCAGAGAGCAAGTCACTGAATCATGCCGGTCGTAAAATCAATCGTAAACAAGAAAATTTTCGAAGTATAGGATATTCAGCCAACGAATCCAAACCAGCCCGCCAGCCGTTTATATGGATATTTTCCGATGTGCGGTTGTGGTTTAAAGGCCCAACACAGCAGTTGTGATCCGAGCCACCTGTATCAACGAGAGCAGAGAACCCGCCGCGCTCGATAAGCGTTTGGCTGGACAAATTGCTGGGCCGTAGTTTGGACGAAGAGCCGAAACAAAGAATGGAAAAACAAGTCCGCCACAACGAACCCGGGTATGTCACTTTCCAAATTGAAAGAAAAGGAACTGCGGGTGGGTCAGAGGAAGGTCGTGCAAGTGCGGGCCGCGCGATGTGACAGGTTAATTCCCAAACAGTTCAATAGCTACACGATTCTCTGCAGCTGGACTCCGACCGTTATCGAATAAAGTTGAAGATCACCCAACGACTCCAGTTCGACGATCGGCGCATCGGGTGACGGTATCCGTAAGAAGTACAGTGAGGCACAACAGATACTTTGTGAGTATGTAGGTGCGTGTGTGTTTTTGGGGGGGGGAAAGGAGGGTAGAACCCAAAATATGAATTGAGGGTAACTAGTCGCAAAGAGCGACGGAGAAAGAACTTCGACGAGGCAGGGTCAGCGAGATGAACAGGTGATGATTGAGGGGAGAACCATTCGCACGAGAAATAGGGACAGGAAATCAGTGAAATAAATAAATAAATAGACAACAGCGGGTACAGAGTCGTACTCGGCAGAGTAGTAACCGCAGTCTATATCGCCAGGGATGCGTTGAGTTACGAGAGGCCTGAAGGTTTGAGCGTTGCTACATAAACTTTGGTGCAATGAATCAAGCCAATTTATGATCATCTTCGTTCACAGTCTCATAGATAATACCTTAATATAATATTATCCCAGACGCGGGTGATGACTTGTCTCAATGTTGAAGATGGAGAAACGACCTAGGGCGAAGGTGCCAGGGGAGTTTCGAAATTCTGGAACAAGCATGCTGCTGTCCATCGGGAGCCCACTGTTGCGTTATGATCACATATCCAGTAGTGACCTACCGAGGTAGCAGAAATTATTGTTTGATTCAACAAAGGATGTTCTTGTGGTAAGTCAGGACGGAAGCGGCACATTTTCGCGTTGGAGCGCCACCGCCGACGGTGCTTGTCTCGACTCCAGAGATTTTCAGCCCTGCTAAGCATGGGGAAATCATCGTAAGGTGGATCACCGCTGTTTTCGAGAAACCATTCTCCGTACTCCGTACTGTTCGTGTTTGTTGAAATAACCAAGACAATAACGGGGGTAATATAGTAATAAAAGGGTCAAACTATTAATGTCACTGGTCCCCAGAATGTCGTATCTGGCCGCAAAGAGCATGGCCTGTGCAGCGGACAAGGGGCAGGAGTCGAAGATAAGTCCGTTTAAGCAGCAGTGCGCGCTGATTATTGGAGAGATGCCGTTAGACGGTTTTGGAGTGACGATTCGAGACTGGGGGTCAGGTTTGTACCGTTGTCACCAGGTGGTATTCCCTGATTTCGCATGTTTATCTTAATTGCGGAGTTCAAACAGGGTTGATCATTGTTCGTTAGTTGCCCTGATCTCCATCATGTCACGTCGATCATTTCAGGTACAACCCGTGGACCAATCACGGTGACCGGATCCAGTTTATCGTCGTGTCCATTATTCTTGACTTGTGTTTGAATAATTCGAAAGGACGGGCAAATTTGCAGGGACAGCCAATCGGACGTTTTTTCAGTTGCGGTGGAGAAGTGGGCTTGCACAGCGTTTTTATCCTCTGGGCAAACGGGCCCCCTGGGGTTTACTCCGTTTTCTCTGTGCTACGGCACTACTAAGTCAGTAGCCGCTGGCACACGAATTCCGAGCGGGTCAGCGATGGACTCCCGCAGAGCAAAGCAACAACAGCAAAAACAAACGGATGAGCCAAAAGAAGACGAGTGAGAGATAGAGGGTGAGTGGGCGAGTCAAGCAGAGAGATGACGAGCGACGTTGGGAGATTTTGACGAGCGGCGTCGAGCGAAACTTGTTTCCGCTTTGGGCAGCGTCTGACTAAGGAATTACGTGTGCTGGAGGTCGTGCACCCAGCAGCCTGGTGGCTCTCTGTGCCAACGACATCTCTACAGCTCGCAACGAGACTTTTGTGACTATGACTGTGGTGGTGGTGGTGATGATGATGATGATGGAGGAGTACCTTGCGCTAAAGATTGCCCTCAATTGCGTCGTTTGGGGCTTTCCAATGGCGAAAAGCAGTTGTTAGAGGTGGATCGACGGGCCAAACCGTCAGGAAATCCAATCAGACACCTTGCAATCCGAGTAGAGTGGTAATACTGATAGCAGGGGTCTGCGAAAAGGCGCCCAGGGCTCGAGACCTGTACCTTGAATCACCGATTCACGGTAGTTTGGGCCGAGCGAAGGGAGAAAGACTGTGCTCTCCCCGCATTCCTGCGCAACAAGGGGCATTATTTCAACTGCTTGCTGCATATCAACCGGCATTGCGAGAAGGAACCTGCGTCTTGTCCCTTTTCGGCGTTGCCATAGCATGTGGACTCCTGGCGAACCTTGGTTTAGCCTGGCCAGTTCCGCACGCCAGAAACAAAACTTGCACAGCAAAGAGGGCCCGGATCGGCGTGATTTTCTGGCATCTGGGGTGTAGCACATTCACCGGACGCTGCGAACTTCAAAGGAGAAGAAAAGTCAATTCTGCATAACTCGAGCACTTTGTTGCGTCCGAATCAGATAAAGGCACTACTTTGCATGATCCATGCAGGTTCACGTTTTGGTCCGCTCGGCAAGCCTAGAGACCAACACACTTTGACAAATGTTATTAAAGAAAAGTCAGAGGAAAAATTCTTGGGTAATCGAAATCGACTGGGCTTGTCACACTCGGTTTGCGATTCAACTCCACAGGTCAATTTTACCGCCTTGAATTCGAGGCTTGCTCACAAAGCATTTCTTATCGAGCTTCGCGGAATAGTTCTTCCATTGGCAGCGATATGAGCAGGTGGAGAGAGCAGGGCGGGAAGCCTGGCTGTTCATGGAGCTTCCCGCACTCACGGTCAATCTCCAGCCAATTGAACCTGATTACTTGAAAATGTCGAGCGTTTGATCCTCGAATAATATCTGACTTATTATGATTATTATTTCAACCAGGAGCTTCACAATTCTCCCAAACCCCGCATTCCGAAACGGCAATCGCTCCAATTGTACAGTACAAAGCATCTTCGTGAATGGACGGACGGAGAACGATTCGGACATACACACCACACAGTTTGCTCTGTCTTTTTGGACGTAACTTGGTCCCAGATACGAGGGTGCACTGACAGCCGTGCACCAAAATGACCGGTAGTTCAAGCAGGCAGCCCAGACTCGGAGACCCTCATCTGGAGGGCCGAACATGACCCTGTTTCACAACTGGCTTCCTAGGCATCAAAACATGTCTTGCAGGCATGCTTTCCAAGGATAAGGATCAATTTTGCTCGCCTCTCGCGTGTTGGAAAGGGTTACATGGAAACTTCTGCAAAGAGGTCTTGGGGGGGATTTCTTGCCGCCTTTCTTTCCCAGCCCAGCACGCCTTTAAAGTTTTGACTCCCTCGGAATGTTGCCATGAGGGTAAAGGCACGAGACCTAGGGCCCGGCCCCCCCCCCCCAAGATTGAAGTGGAGAAAAACAGGCCACCTAGCCAGATGATCGACACTAGCCATACTCTGTTTCAATCCAACCTAGCAGTAGGGACATCGAGTACCTTACTTCACGCATGATTCGGTCAGTTGTGGACGGCGGCGAGAGGCAAAATGTCGCTGAGGGTAGCATTGACCATCTGCAGAGTCAAGCGGATCTTAAGGGCAGGAACCTTGCCACCCTCCTTCAACCATGCTGAGCATGGCGAACAAGGCCTAACTGACGTGAATCAGCGGGGCTAATTGGCAGCAATATAATTTCCAAGTGGTGGATAGGGTAATAATAATACCAATAATGGCAGCGTTACTGGCGCTCCCGCCCACATTGATCACACAGATATCGAACAAGCGCCGAGGGCGAACCCACCATTCCCATTTCAAGTTCTTCAGACTGTCTGGAAGATCGGCGGATGTCCTCCTATCAGCATGAGTATTATTTTCCTGGAACGTTCTTAAGATGCTTCTAGGCTCCAAATAATGGCCATAAGCTCACCCTTAATGCAGGAGTATTATGCCTGACCAACTCGAAAAGGCAGGTAAATTGGCGCTCAGTCTGCCTGATTCATGTTCTTGGTACTCCGTACTCTGTTGATTCCAAAGCAAGTCAAGACTCAAACCAGAATTTTCTGTAGTTGTCATACCCAATGGATGATGGTTTCGGCGCCTCCGGTGGGGATATGTCTTTTATGCAAAGACATAGGAACGCTCTTCATACTGGGCCCTGGACGGACACTACATGAAAGGAGTTCCCTCCGGATTTGTTTCGGAAAAGTACTCCGTAGCTTCGTATGTCTGGGAGGGTTAAAAACAAAAAGAAAAGAAGAATACGTTGAATCGACACCGGCTGGATTCGAACCAGCGCTCCCGAAGGAACCAGATTTCTAGTCTGGCGCGTTAGACCGCTCCGCCACAGTGCCTTGGCTGGTGTTGGGGGGGGCCTCTTGGCGTGAGAAGGGAGCAGCCAATTACAACTTGGAGAGGGACAAACGTTCCGCTGAATAAACTCCGCCAAACCGTACAACAACCTGGCCGACGGCACATCCTGACTCTGGACGGAGTACGAAGTCGTCTCAGAGGGAATAACTACATATGCTCTGAACGCTATCCGGTTATGTAGATCGGACTCTCTAGTACGAATAATCGAGCATTGACCATCCCCTCCATCCACCTGCACTTCAGTACGGAGTACTCCGTATGGGGTACAGCATTCCCCAGAGAGATGACTTGCGCCTCTTGCAGGCCGCCGGGATATCCACCATTACTTCTTTCCCTTTTCCTCCTCTTCTTCTTCTTGTTGGTTGGAAAGGCCGAACCAGCCAAAAGGCGTTGAGGCGTTGCTCTTCTCACTTTGACCCTGCCGTGAAGTGGCACTAGCGTGGAAAAGAAGGGGGGGGGAAAACAAAAATTCTATCGTACCGCGCTTCATCTTTCTCCAGGTCAAGCCCGGAGGAGCGCCAGCAACTGGCACGTTCTTCTCCGCTGCACGACCCCTAAATCCCTGTCTATGCACCGTTTAATGAGCACGGATGACTTGCATATACATCCATATGGTCAGGTCTCCATACATCGCAGGCCCGTAGATCCTTGTTCCATGTCCGCTAGTTATATGTGCTCCATGGTATTACCTATGTGGCTGAAAGTAAGAGGATTAATCTCCGCGCCAACCCTTCGCACTGCAGCATGCCCGCTGTTCCCACTTGCTTAAAAAGCTAAAA